TACTGACTACTACTGGGGAGGGAATGAATTTACGAGAATGTTGGGGCAAATACACAAACACCATGTAAATCAATTATTCATGCCCCACCAGGCAAATGGCATAAAAACGTCATACTATTTGTGGCAATTACAAGTAGCAGGCGATAAATATATAAGAGAATATGCAGCATCAATGGGGCCAAGAACTCTGGCGTTAGCTGAGCTCTGATCCCAATCCATTTGGGCCAAGAATTATGATCGGGAATACCCAGTCCCTGGAAATTTTTCAAACTATAAATAGTTGAGTGAGTGATTGTGGCACGTTATCGTTGGGTTTTCTGCCACTCGAGTTTGGTTATTCCATTAAGTTGGACTTATTTATAGGCAAATGATTTATAAAGCTAAGTTAAAATGGGTTCTAAGGCTGGCATTTGGGGGATATAGATCAGTTTTGCGGGAAAGTTAGATATAAATTATATATAATTTTAATCTCCCAAAGCTAATTGCTTTATATTTAAGCGATTTTCACTTCAAAAATATTGCTCAATCCATCGCAGATAAAACTACAATTTATTTTATGGCCTCAGAAATTCAAATTAAATTAATTTACAAGTGCCACTGGCTGGATACCCTCACATCAAGCTCTCTTAATTAAATGCCTCCCTCCTCCTCCAGTCTTAGCAACATTCTACATTTGCCTTAATTGCATATTTAAAGCTGACATTTATTATAATTAAACTTACATCGCCTATTGCAGACGACGGCATTCTAAAGCTTGAAGCTGACTGGCTAAAGTCTGAGTCTTTCAGTTTTCTGTTCTTTTTCAGTTTTCAGCTTTCGGTTTCAGTTGCTTGTGCTAATTTCGCCTAGCAAGTTGATTAATAAGCTGCCATAACGCGGCTATCACAGAACAGCAGCCGCCAAACCGAGAGACCATCCATCTTCCAGACAAAGAAGCCCCTCTCGAGGGGATGGGAGCTACCTATCCTTTCAGCTAGGTGCTGAAAACGAAATTCATTTGCTACAACATGGCCTTGAGCCATGAATTATGTGCGCAATTACTCTTCGAAGTTGTCGTGCTCGTTCTTGGCGAAGAACTGGAGTGTTCTTCTAGTGGGGCTACGATCCTCTTTCATTTCTAATGGCTGGCCAATAAAAGTGCAAGTTGCTAGTTGCAAGTTGTGGCTCGTTGCAAGTTGCCAGTTGCGATTAAAGGAACTGTGCCAGTTGTTGGCTGACTTTTTTCTAATGGCGCCTCTAGACTCCAGTTGGGTCTGGCAGTTAATTACACCTTGTTGGCCGTGTTGCAAGTCAGCGTGTTGCCGATTCTCTTGCCGATATAGTCATAGTGTACAGATGCAGTTTGTACCTGCACCTCGGCACGTTGCAGCGTGTGAAATGAATGGCGCATGTTTTTGATATCATCGAACAACGAGCCAGCCAACCAACCAGCCAGCTAGACTCCGCATCTCTTCTCTCGTTTCGAGACCCTCAGATAGCCATCGTATTTCAGCATTTTGTTTCGTTGACATGTGAAAAGTCTTCTTCTGAGTCAGCGGCTTAAAAATCTCAAATTGCCTTGGGCAAGGCCGCCAAAAAGTCAAAATATTATTATGAAGATGAACAAAGTATTTATGGGAGTTTATTTTAATACAAATTTTAATATTTAAATTTAAAGTTTTGTTTTTAAAGATTATTAATAACACAAATAGGCATAAATTTTCTTTAATTTGTTTAACATAAAGTCTTAATGTTTTAAAATAAATTAACAAGTAATGTCTTTACAGCTATTAGTAAAATAAAAAATACTATTAAAGTAATCCATCTATCAAGTTTATATTTTAAGCAAAAGGAATTTATTACAAAAATGGTTAAAAATCTGATGAACGATATGTGTTAAACTTAAGGAATGTAAATCACAAAAAATGTTTAAAAAGCTATCAACTTAACTATTTTCGAACCTTTATATTGCTTCTTTTAGCAAAAGATTTTCTTAAAAATAATTAAAATTTAATACATAGAACTTGACCTATGTTTCAAACCAATGACCGGTAGGCAATTAGCAAAAAATTGGCCTTACTCAGGGCAGTCAAATTTGAGGGACTTTCAGATTTAGACCGCGTCATCGGCAGCAAGTTCTTAACATAATTGTTAACGCCTCAAACGGATTGAGTGGCAAATTATGAACGAAAATTACCTTACATCAAGTGGCCACAAATGGCTTGGTTTGAGCAGAGTTTCCCAGGCCTCAAGGCTGCGTATGCGGAAATCGCCAGCAGTTCAATTAACACACCCAAAGCGAAACCTTTTCCCACTGTTTTGATTTTGATTTTGGTTTCGTGTTTTGGTTTTTTTGGTTTATAAAATTCGATCGGTTTCTGCATGCCTCGAGTGTTCGTTGGGTGTTAAAAAGCTCTTAAATTACACAGCGTCCCCTGCATGCCAAAAAGAGTCACAATCTTGTGAAATTACAGTCCGAAGGCTGCAGCGGCGACCTTAACTTTTGGTTTCTTCGAGTCGTTGACACTTCGGTTGAGTTTTTCGGTTTCTGTAGCAAGTTAATGAATTAGCTATAATTCGAGTTACGTCACAGCTGTTACTCTGCTGAATCATAGTTCCGTTCTGTGAAGGATTTGCCTTGATCGATTGATTGGGCTTAAAGGGCAGGCCACCATGACGTATACTTGATACATTCGCTTATCAATCATACGCCACGTTGAACGCTGTCAACCCACACTATTCACTTGAGACGCCAGATCAAGAATTTGCCATTATTTTTAGCCAATGCTATTCCTATGATGTTTTTTCAATTATTTTTGTTTCTTTGTGTGTCAGCACGAATTAACGCTGGCGATTTAAATCGCACCAAGAAGCCAAAACAAACAACACGATGCGGAAATTGTTTGTACAACATGGCTAAAACAAAGGCGCCCAAACAATTCATTATTATTATTATTGTTGATATTATTGTTAATTTAACGCGATGAGCAGCCAAATAATTGTGTATAAAACACTGTTTAAAATCAGAACTTAAAAACCAAATTCCGAGCTAAGCCAACCTTGATTTCAATTAGCAAATTTTTGGAGTGACTGCAAATTTCTCAATTTGTTGCCAACAGAAAAAAAAACCAAGAAAAAAAAATCATATGTATTTGCCTAGCCATTTTCTCCCAACTAAAAGTTTGTTTCTCTTTTTTTTTTTTTGTTATTTTTGGTTTTATTTTCCGTTTTTAATGTAGCAAGGTCGTTCGTTGGTCCGCGACGCCAAAAGCAATTTGTAATGATTATTAAAACAACGACCTGCTTGGCATGCTCCAAGCAGCTCCAAAGCCCGCCCCTTCACCCGGCTTATAACTGCCATTGTTTACTGTACCTGCTGCCGTAGCCGTTGCCATTTGCCGTTTGGCGTTGGCTTTTAATTGAAATAGCAAAAAAAAAACAAACGGTAACAAGGCAGTGGCTAAAAAATTATATTTGGATTACAACATGGTCAGCCGAGCTGCGAATATATATGGTATATATATATATGATATTGTACTTTGTAGTATATGAAATTCTTGGGCAATTATTGCCGCACAACGCAGCCTTTCGATACGTATTCAGCCGGTGATTGAATAGCCATGAACATTGTGATTATGACAGCCGGACACTCGAGGAGTTCTATTTAAAGCACCTAGCACCCATATAGATCTCTGGGCATTCCATCTGTGTTAGCTCAGCGTTAATTTGGCAGTACACAGCAGTCCCCTCTGTGTGTCTCCCCTCTCTAAATAATTGACTTGTGAAAGGGAAATCCATCACATAAAAATCTTAGATGAAACCATAACCATTCTATGCTAAGTGACCGACACACCCGCCAAAACATGATTCACTTCTTTAGCCAACTCTGAATTTTAAGCACATAAATTGCATTTAATGCTGGCCAACCAAATAAGCCAAACAGCCATAAACGAACCAATCTCAGTCTGAATTATGTCGCTGGTTGGGTTAATCAAAAAAGAAACAAAAAACCAGAGCCAAATAGAGAAGCTTGCTGAACGAGGGAATTACCCAGGGGGAATAGCGAGGCTCAGACACATCCGCAACGGGAGCGGCGGCCCAAACAAATCAAAAGTAATTCACACGCTCAACATGCGAAAAAAAAGGAAGAGAATAAACAAAAATGTTAATTTCTAGGCACTGGAGTAGAGGATTGTGCTACTTGAGGGAGTTCTTTGCTGAATCTCAAGGAAAAGAACCATTGAAATAATTTTAAATCAAATTTTAAAACCAATTTTTAAGAAAAGGTGTCTAAGTATTGAAAAATTATGTATACTTTTTAAAATTGTTCATGCTTGATAAATATTTTTAAAAAAAAGATTGCTTAGCTTTTTGCAGCTTTCATTAACTTTTATAGCTGGAAAATGATTAATTTATATATTCAAATATTTCTAAAAGACAATACACAATTTAAAACCATTTCATTTTCAGAATTTAACGTCTTTACATGCTAAGCAAACCTCTTAATTTCTAGTTATTTAACAAGTTTATAATTTATAGTACCATAAACCAATTAAACTGCTCATTTTATAGATCTATTTTAATCAGCATTCACAAGTTTAACTCAAAACGAATATTTAACTTTCGCCTTGATTTTGGCAACACGACATTTAAAATTTTGTATTTGTCATTCCTGATTTAAATTTTAACTTTTTTTATAGCAAAAAGACTTTTATTTATAAAAACAAGTTATTTAAATTGAACAAGCATTAAGAGATCTGAGATCTTGTTTTGTTTCAAGTAGAAGCTTTTACAGAATCTCAATCATTGTTCTTGTTTGAAGAAGCTTCTTAGAGATTCTTAGAGAATCGCAGTCAACCTTCTGGTTTGGCAGTCGGCAGGCGTCTGCGAGAGTTTGAGAAAAGCGGGAATTCAGAGTGCCCATCAACGAGCTAAGAGCTTCGTTTTCGTTTTCGACTTCGGCTTATGGGAACTTCGGGCCAGTTTTGGTAAGCCAACAAGTTGGGCTGTCTTGCTGTGGGGCTCACCGTTAGCCGAGCAGTCGAAACACGCAGCTTGAGGCGAGCGGTTCTTGCGCGCGCTTACAAACCGCCTAACTACTTAACTCTTTTAACAGCGAGAAGCTACTAACCCACAGCAGTGTCTCAGTAGAAGACGTAATCGCCAACGTAATCGTCGCGAGCGCAGAGTTCTGAGAGTGTTGTGCCAATATTTATAGAAATTTAAAGACAAAAATATCAAAAAACAAAATAGAAATAATAGAATTACAAAAAACAAAAAACAATACATAATTGAGGAGAAACCTGGCTGATTGATTGATTGTGGGCGTAACAAGTACACTTCTGATTCACACTCGGGAATAAATCCAGCATCGATCAGGGGACTTACGGATACTGCATTGCACTTTAAAGCAAGGTAAGTCATCAAGTGAAATCCCATCCCATCTCCCCCATCACGACCTTGACATTTGATGGAATTGATTTTGTCGTTCTCTGCTAATTGAAATGAATGCACGCTGAAGCGGAGAGGATCGTTTGATTGGCACTTAAATTGTGTTGTACCAATCATCTGGCTGCAAAATTGTCCAAGACAAGATTTTAGCCACAGCCGACAGAGTTTTTAATTAGCATTCTGTGGTGTCTTATAAATAAACATGGTTTTATGGTTGGATGTGGATGTGCTAAACGCCAAAGGCCACTGAAACGCGCTGTCCATGAGTGTTAAATAAAAGCTAAGCTAAAGTTATAGCTAAAGCTAAAGCCATATGCTATATAGTACTATATACTATTTCTATACTGGGCCAAATGTGTGTTAGCATGTAAATTACAAAATCAAGTTCGTTGCCTGAGTCTTTTGTTTGGCGTGCACAAAAGGTTCTTTGGCTCGGACATGGAATGGAAACCAAGTCATGCCAAGCTACCGCCAGTGCAGTGGAAAACTGTTCAACAACCTTCACTGGCCCTGGGAAAACCCGTTCGCGGTTCGAAATGCGTGTGCTTAATTTACACAAAGATTAGCATTAACGTTGATATAATTTCATATTTTTATTAACCCAAAAAAAAAAAAAAAAATTTCAAGCCCAGTGCGGTTTTTTGGCCGCTTGCCTTGGCCAGAATTTATGAGCGATGTAATCTCCGCTTCGGCTGAAACATTCAATGCATACGAAATTCCCGAAAAACAAAAAAGAATTAAGGAAGCCTGCCGAGATCTTGGCGATCTCTCGTCATGTGATTCAGCCAACTATATAGTATAGTATCGGCACCATCTTCCGGAGGTCTTTGGCCTATTCGCCATTTACATTTATTTCTATTTTTCTTGGCTTTTGTTATGGATTTGCCATTCCCCACATCTGGAGATCTATGTAAACAGAAAGACTTATTTGCATGCCAAAACGAAAGCCTAATTAGGACAGACGACGAGGGTTTCTTTGGCCTGGCCTACATTCAAGTGGTCATTCTGCCATTCAAGTAATCTCGGTTGCCCCTGAATTATGTCCACTTTAGATAGAATTTTACACCCAATTATCCACGCAATTGTTAATTACGCATTTGATTGTGCCCCGGCGACGGCTCAATTTCATTTCGAAGCCGAAATTAATGAACTCTAATTAAGCGTTGGGTGGAAGAAAACAAAAAAAAATTATATGTATGGGAAATAAAAAATACGAACGGCCTTTGTTGGAGTGCTGAACGAGTCTTTTCCTGCTCTTTAATTGTATTTCATTTTTTTTCGGCTGCATTGTAGTCGCCGACAACTCTATTGATTGGCATAAATCGGTTTGAAGAGTTACCATTTCCATGATGTAATTCGGTGCCGAATGCTTGTCATGAATCATGGGCCAACTGCCAAGCTGCCAATTATCAATTGCATTGCTGGCTGGCTCTGCCTGTCAAATAATATTAGCATAAACAAATCGAAACCGATGACTAATCGAAAGCAAACGAATGTCAGAAGAGAACATAACAAAGTCAGATTTTAATTAGCCAACAAAAAAATGAGAAGAAAAAAGACACGTCAAGTCATCTTCCATCTCGAGCTATTATCTTTGGAGCCAAGAATTTTGTGCGCCACTTGTTGAGGCCTAAGAATAGATCATAGCCAAGGCCCAAAACGTGCTTGGCCAAATAAAAGCCGAATTTTTGCAAGTAATTTGAACATTAAAAACAATGTCGGGTAATAATAATCACTCAATGGCAACAACAGCAACAAAAGCGGAAGTCAAAGCCACACGAAAGTGCTGTGCAACATTTTTTTTCTTACTCCTTTTTTTGATTTGTCTTTTCTTTTATTATTTTTGGTTTTTTTATTTTGTTTTTTTTTTTTTTTTCGACGCCTTCCTGGCACGAAATACTTTGGTGAGAATTGCATATTCTCAGCTTTGCAATGGGAGAGAAATAAGTGAAAATATTATGAAAGGCGCCGAGGCAAGTGAAAATCGGAATTTATAATTTTCGTGTGCCGATTTTCCAACCGCAAAAACGGTGCCCCAAGCAGCTGCCACTGCCACTGCTGCTGCTGCTGCTGCTGCTGTGGCAGCATTTGCTGCAATGGTGATGGTGATGCAATCATCGGCTTGACATGCACATCGAGTGACAGAGCAGACATTGCGCATACGCCGCATTGTACACCAAGAGCTCCACAAAGATGAAAGCCAAGTGGGGAGTCGCTGGCCCCGCAGCCAGACCATCTCCAAATCTGAATACGAATCCGAACCAGAATTGGAGCAAGTGAACAGGCCAAACACAATGGCGCAGCCCCAATGCCCTAACTTTCCAACCATAAATCCAACGAACTGGCTCAGATGCGATGAGATAGGTGCCAAGGCATTAAAATATTAGCATTTAACTTTATTAAAGTTCCGCAATCTAGATGGGTTTCAAAAGAAATGTTTAACAAATAGTTAAAGATACAATGATTACAAAGAGAAATGGGACATTTACAGACAGCTTATAATTAGTCTATCAGATGAAAGTAGAATTTAAATCGATAAAACTGTGAAATTATCTTTTTCCAAGATCTTACTTTATATATTTGCTCTTAGTTTAAGTTAATATTTCAAACATTCTAGAACTATTACAGTTGTGCAATAATTAAAAGCAGCCATTAAGCTCTGAACTAGTGTAAAATATGATTAATGTGTCTTTTAATTAAGAGCAAAGTTATTAAAACAGTTTTCCGCGGAGTGTCTTAAAAAATATGCATAAAATTCCAATAAAAATCAATGTAAAATGAATAATTAAGCTAGTTACAAGTTTTTAAATCAGATTAATGGTTATTTAATCTCAGCATATCTTAAAAGTAAAAATAATAACAACAAAAGTTCAATATTTAACAAGCTTAAGAGGCAATATAAAAATATTGATTAAAGTTAAAGTAAAGAACAACTTTCGAATAAGCCTTTAAAATGGGTTTGTAGATTTTAAAACAAGTTAAAGATTAAACTTTAAAAATGTACATATACCCCAGACTTACCCTGCTTTGTTAATATAAACTATATATATATATATATCTGAAGACCCCCCGATGGTTATGACACTCACACGTGCCCAGCGTCTCGTCTCGTCCAAGACAGACTCTTCATCCATGAGTTCCTCACTTGGATTTTCTTGCATGTTGCGTGCCCCACCATGTATATATATATATATATCTCTTTTTTTTCATCATCATCATCTTCTTCAGTAACAACAATATGCGATTTAATTTTCATTTTCTTGGTGGCTGTTTTGTTTTGTTTTGTCGCCTTGCTCACATGGAGACGAAATAAGTAAAGTGCCAACTCATAATAATGTAAGCCACAGATGGCCGTCTTGTTTTTGTTGTTAATGGTACTGTTGTTGTTGTTGTTGTTATTGTTTGTTGACTGACTTTTGTTGCGTTGCCTTAAAATAAGAAACAAGTGCAGAGCCGCCCGCGACATTGTGCAAACAGTTCATACAATTTGATATGATTTCTTGTTTTGTTTTTGCATTTAAATCATTATGCCATTAAAAGACAATTTCGGGCGGTGGCAAATGAAAAGAAATTTCAAATTAAAATGTCTCATTTTTTGACTGGTTGTTGAGTGCTCATAATTTTGCGTTGATTGAAACCGAAAATACACATTTTATTACCAAGATCCGAAAAGTAAGAGCAGAAATATTGCTTTCAATGATAAATGCTTAAATAAATGCGCCGAAAACTTGTTCCAACCGGACATGTAAACGCATGGGGTAAATATGCGAACTCCAGTTTCGGTTCACAGCTCCGTGCGGTTCACTTTCAAGGTTGTTCGGGGCGACAAGAACTTGCAGAAACCGTAACAACAACAGCTGAAAGGCAAACTGCAGCTTGTCTCTTTGCCTTACATTTTGGGTGTGGGTCTCCAGATGACAAGACACTACCACACGCGCCTGCCATTTGAAAGGCACAAGGCGCCTAGAAGTGCATGGCACAAGCCATGGAATTGCGCAATTGCAACTGACTCATAGCCACACAGTAGTTCGCCAATTAACTGACTGCTAAGCGGCTTAGCCAGCGGACAAAGGAGAGCCAAGTTCCAAGACGAAAGACTTCCTTCTGCGCCACGGCCTTGGGGAACTGGTACTATATAGCTCTATATATATATATGTATGTAGTTCTGATAAACTGCGTACTCACGCACAGAACAGTTGCCGCGTTGCTAAAAATACACTGGCAGCGGCCTTGAGGGGCTTACATAATTAATTGCAAGCGGGTTTGCGGGTTCGCAGCAAAGTATGCGGAAAATGTGCTCAATCGAAAGACTCAAGGCACGAACTTTTGACGGGCATCGAAAGACTCCAGGCACGAACTTGATTAGCACTTGCTGCACTGCTCCTCAAAGGGCAACATTCTTTTCAAGACACCGCTTTGTTTATCATATCAGCTAGTTTCCCAAAACAAAAACAAAAAAAAAATAATTAAAAAAATATAAAACCAAACAAGCATACCGAGCTGGGGATTAATAAATCAGCAAACAAGATAAATCATCTGCTGGCCATGTAAGAAGCTTTAATTATTTAATGCAGTTTAAACTTTTCATAACCAAAGGCCAGCTAGATAATTAAATTTCATACCCCTGTCTTTGTATATATATATCTATATATATATATATGAGATTTCGGGTGAGTGTGGTTCTCGTTGTTGTCGAATGCGATCATCGCCAAAAAATCAACATCACGTTCGGCATACAAAAAGATTTTATATACTTATTAGCCAGGCAACAGCAGCATCAGAAAAATAAGAGAAAAAAAGAAGCAAAACCTCGCCGGTGATGGTGAAAAGAACGAAATGTTATGCGTATATATTATACAATATAAAACAGTCTGTCAAGAGAAGACAACACAATACAGAGGGGTAGGAAACCAGAACCCCATTGACGTAGGAACCCCAAAAAACTTAATCATAACGCTCTAAAATAGAAGATAAAACAGTCAGAACTGAATGTTGCTCTTGGGGTTTTGACTTCCAGTCGAGAAGAGGTCAAGTCGTGGCCGGGCAATGATACTATTGTGATATTTGGCCATCATTAACAGCAGGGCCCCTGACTCATGAATGAAAGTGGAGTGAATTCTAATTAAGCAAATGTTGGCCAATTCACAAGAATTCTAATAGTTCTCAAAAAGGTTACTGATTGTGTAAGATTGAATCTCTGGCAAGTTACAAGACCGTCAACACTTTACTTTGAAAGTAAAGTAACTTTCCTAGAACTTTTTCCATATTTCTCAAAGATTTCTTTGAGCCGCAAAAAGTGACAAAATCTCTTGGCTCGTGGGCGTGTCTACAAGTTCTAACAGAATATTATTCGCCATAAATCTAAAACCTTTGCCAAAAAGAAAACCAGTTATAATTTCAAATTTCTTTCTGGCCAAAACGGATCTTCGAGCTGGGAGTTCTGTTTTGGAGACAGAGAAGTGCGTGACATTTATCAGGTTTTATGGCCATTCTTTTTGTTAATTAAAGAACCAACGCCAACGCTTAGCCAAATAGAAAGCCAAAGTCGGCGGCTTCAATGGTTTTATTTTGTTTTTGTTTTTTGTGGGGGGATTCAGTATTTGTAAATGCTGGACGGGAAACTCGATCGTTGGCCATTAATGTTCAGCCTGCAGTTCTGGGTAATTTGGAAAACATTTAAATTAGGGCATGAAATGGTTTTTCATTAGACAATGCTGGGCATGTCGTGCCCTTAATTCGACCACGCTCAAAAATGTCACATTTTTGTTTGGTATTTCTAGTTTGACTAGGGAATGGGAATGGGAATGGGAAGCTAAAGTCCCCAAGCCAGACTCACTTTCATTGCCACTCGTCGAAGCTAAATATGTGACACACATTTATTGGTAAATCGCATTTGGCCCACAATTAATGCCAATCACGTGGCTGACCGCCAATCCACCTGACTGGTGCTACCACTACTACTGGATTTTGTCAAAAAAACCGCTGACAGCTCAGTGCGGTGCATAAGCAAATCAGTTAACTGACTTTGAAGAAAAACCCCAAATGGCCAATTGAAATGCCAGGCCAGTTAACCTGACCCGAACAAATGAGAAATAAAACTAAAATGCAAAAATGCGAGTAGTGTTCGACAAAGTGTTTAACATCGAACAATTGTCAAGGCATCGCCGTTGGTCAATTAGAGGCGGTGACATTGATGATTCGATCGATCCAAGGAGCTACCATGTGTATCTACAAAAACACCAAACCCCAAAAACCACCCATTGTTGTCCCCATCCATGGAGCAGAGTTCATTGGCTCGCAGATTGATTGGACTGATTGCCTAATAATCTTTTCAGTGCGTGTCCCATTCACCCGGGGATTTAATTTTGACTGCTAGTCAGATCCAATCACAGACATTCGCACCCGCTCTTGGCTCAAGTTAATTGTCTCATAATTATTTATTTATAATAATTTTTTGGAAAATGTTCTATCTACCGTTGCAGAGGAAACGAATCAAGCGAATAGACGGACAAGATGATTTCTCGCCGCAAGATCATATCGCGTTCTCTGGACAATTTGGATGCCATTGGGCAGGAAGAGCAGGAGGAAGACGTCTGGCATGATCGAGAGAAGCTCTTTAGGGTGTGTGCTTTGCCCATTACATCTCATTTGAAATCTGTGTCATAATTATATCTCATTTATTAACTGCCCGCAGGATCACATTAACGAGGTGTTGTCCAAGTGGGAGCAGATCGATGACGAGATCTGGGCCAAGATAATTGTCTTCGAGAAGAACCGCCGCGTGGCCAAGGCCTACGCCCGCTCCTCTGTGATAACCATAAATGGATCCAAGAATGGATTCGATGGTGTGCGGTGAGTTTGATTTTAACACTAGAAAGAATTTTATTTTCCAGATTAATTTAAAATTGTTAACTAATTTTGTAACATTGGCTCCACAGCATTGGCCTAAATGGCTTTGATAATCCCATGCGCGATGCGGAGACGAAAGTGATCAAAAAGTCCATAGGCGATGGATTCAAGATCAAAATGGACGACACTGGCAATATATTCATCAAGCGTTATGGCAAGAGTAGCATCTATGTGAACAGCACTTCGCAGGGGAACGAAGAGACTGTGATTGGTGGCGACATTATCCAAATGCCCCAGATGTCCCTCACCGCGGGAACCTCAGCCCGGCTCTTCGACATGAAAAAGTTCCAAACGAACATCAACCGCGAATTCGCACGCACATATCCGGAACGTGGACGATTGGAGCGCCAGTGCCTGTCGGCCGTATCGCTGGTCAAGTCGAATAATAATCTAATCAACTCTCCGGTTTGGATACTCGTTGTCAATGTGGTGGCCATGGACATGCTGAGGAGTCGCCTTCAAAGCATTCCCAAGTCTTTGGATGCGATGGGTATGCGAGTTCCATTGACGAACAGCAGTGAGGATCCCTATTCCACTATTGAAAGTCAGGTGGGATTAATCTATCCCACGCCTGCGGCATCGGATGATTCACAGAACTCCCAGAATTCCCAAAACTCGAGCAACTCCAGCAAGGGACGGCGCAGCATCTTCAGTGCCGCTTTCCTCAACGAGGGTCCATATGTGCCTAAGGTGGGTTTTAATTTAGTTAATACTTAGTATAAGGTTATAATAGTTATATTATGTAATTAAATTACTTAATTGATTTACAGCCGGACTACGAGGTCAGTTCATTGACTCCCATCTATGCGGATAAGAAGAGGCAAAAGAGCAGCGGACCCCAACAGAGGAAGAAACAGGATGATCCGTACTACTGCGGCCTCTTGGCGCGGATTCCCAACTTTATCAAGTCCTCGAAGCAGCCTTGCCCCGGAGCATCCAGCAAGCCCAAGAAGGAGCCGAAGATATCGAGGAAGATCTCGGCGCAGCACCAGCACCAATGTCCTAGAGAGCGCCCACGAAAAGTGCACGGAGAGATTGGCAAAGATTCAGGATGGGGGGGCGGAGATATGTCATATGCAAATTAATTGCTACTTTAGGCGAGTTCAATTTATTGTTTTCTTATTATTTTTTGCTGTACATACAATTCATATGTAAATAAGTTCGATTTAAAAACATGTAAACGATATTAGTATTCATTAAAAGAAATTTCTAAAAGTCACTTATGATGTTTGATTTTAAACTGGATATTTGATACCCTGTTTAGATTAAGTGGGAATCTTGGGAATCTTCATTTACAAAATATTTATTGCTTAAAAACCTAAGCGAAAACTAAATATTGCTGTTACGAGTACCAAAACAAAAAATAAATAATATTAATTTAATAAGCTTAAATCAATTTGAATTTACCAGTAAATTGATTAACCTTTCGTTTCGTTTAAAAGAAAACATCCTCAAAAAAGACCGTTAAAAGTGCGATTCAAAAAGGTACTAATATCGGATATTCATGTTCCGAACCCATTATATCGATTTCTTAGACCGATAACAAATCGCCCACATTCACGCCACGGGTACTAAAATCGGCTACCCGAGTTCAAAACCAAATATATCTTTTTCATATACCGATAACCGATCGCGCACATTTGGAGATCTTGGACTGCCCTTAAACAGTCACACTTAAACATTGTGTTGCATTTTTCTAAAGGTTTGGATTAGAAAGATATTGGCGCGTCTTTTGCAGAGTTTTGCGACCGACTTTAAGTGCAATAAAGAGCGGATTAGTGCAGAGCACCTAACCCGTAACCATGGACAAGTTCCTGCTGCGCAATCCGACGTGGAAGACAAAGACATATGGCTCGGTCGTGGCTAGTTCCAGTTCCTCGGTCGCCGCCAAGAAAATAGCGGCGTCACCCATCCGCCGGCCGTTGCAGGATTCAAATCTTGGGGACACCAGGTCTAAGCCAACTACTACCCTGCCTTCGAAATCTCAATCTCAGGCTCTGGCAGGTTGGCTGTGCATTCCGTTTTTAGAGATCTAACACCCCAGTAGTTTTAGTTCCGGATGCTTAGCTAACCCAAAATTTTTAGTTGTAGAAAGTAGTAAAAAAATATCAGATCACCATGTGGAGGAATGACCCCAACATTGCTAACAAGATGCGTTCTCTGTTGCTAGATGACCAGAAGGCCAGGGATCAGCTGATGCTCAAGCAAAACCTAGCCGCCATCAAAGCTACCAGTCAGCACCGCTCCGAGTTCCAGAAGGACCAGAATCAAGACGAGGCGACAGCACCGGAAGCAGCTCAAGTTCCTCCGAGCAGGATAGCTACGCCCACCAGGCAGGAAGGACAGTGGGCACGACTGCAGCAAGATCTCAACAGCCCCAATGCTGCACTGCGTCTGCGCGCCATACGTGCCTTAAAGTAAGATCAAACTGTTGTTGCTCAGCCACCAAATGACTATGACTTAAGAATAATGTATTTAATTTACGATTTCCAAGAATCTTTTATATGAAAACCTTGCTTGCTAAAACGGCCAAAGGTCTTAATACTTTTGCTTCAGCTTTATGTGTTGTATATTGATTTTATATCTGTTTTTCTATAGATATCGTATTGCGCAATTAATTCTTATTTAAACTAGCATCTACTATACATATGTATTTTTAGGAGCCCCACTAAGTCGGCGTACAATACATTCGATGTGCCAATTGCCGAGCAAAGCATCATTACAATGGAAGAACGCAATCCACCACAGCCACTTAGCTTACCTGAATTGCTCAAAGACATCGTCGTCTACGTGGAGGTGCGAACTGGCAACGACAATCGTTCAGAGGGCGTAAAAACAATCATTTCCAAAATGGGAGCCCAAGTCAAAGATCGCCTAACGCGGTAAGTTAATAATATAGCATTTTCATAAGAAATTATACTGAAAACATCTTTCAATTTGGTTACAGCACCACCACACATGTCGTCTTCAAGGATGGTCTGCTGTCCACTTACAAAAAGGCAGTCGAGTGGAAAATACCAGTCGTCTCAATATTGTGGATTGAGGCCTGCAAAGTGCAGCGCAAAATATGCGATCCCAGCCAATTTCCCATCAGCAATATACGAATGTACGAGTATCCAGAACTCTTCGGTAAAATACCGGTAAGTGAATCTGGTTTTTATATGCAATTTCAATAGACTGGGATTTATATGGGATTTACACAGACGATATTCTTGTTTTTTAATAGGACTGTAGTGATTTATTTGACGTTTATCTACAGTTCGCTACAATGTCCGAAATGGAATTTTGCTTCAGTTGATAACGAAGCTAGACTTCATATTCGTATTATTCAAATACATTCGATTTAACAGCCTGTTCAAAGGCTTTATCAGCTCTTAGTTGATAACGTTGTACAGACAAATTCATCAACTCCACTTGAGATACCGGTTGAAATTAGCTAAAGTTAAATAACATTTCCTCTTAAAACAAATAAGAAAGCCTTTAATTAGTTTAATCGATGGCCAATATATATATATGACTTTCCTGACTCAGATGTTTACTAACATTTTTTTTACAGGGGGAATAGGAAAGCCTTTAATTAGTTTAATCGTTAGCACTATCAATTTATGAGTTTTCGGGCACAGAAGCAAAAGCATTAATTCCACTCGAGATATGCCCCTAACTAATGGGTCATTGAGGGCTGCAGTGTTTATGGCTTTATGACGCTAATAAAGAACTATTAAAGTTCAGGTATGGAAATTCCTTCAAAGCTACCAAGAGGTCTTATCGAACACTTTTCTTGATGACCACGATCACAGTGTATGGACTGTGGCCCGAGGCACTTGTGCTGGTACATACATAAATATCAGAAATGATTAGTTAATCCAGAAAATGGCGAGCACAAACGCAGGGCCGTGGCCCGTCTGAAATTGCACGTATCTCAAACACGGAATACGCGCAATATTGGGAACTCTTCGTGTCCGCCAGATTCTTATCACTTATCACTCGCTGACAGCGAGTCAACCAACTGTGTTGTTGGCTCTTTGGGTTATCTAATTGAATTTACTTGTACTTATCAAGCTATAGTAGGGCCCCGGCGACGGCCAGGAAATTGTGCGGACGACGAGGCCAGCTTTATCTGTCCGGAGAAGAAGCAAATGGATGTAACAGAGAGATGTTCATTTGAATGCGCTTTGTTTTATTGCTTAAACATTAAACAGTTTAAAAGACACAAGCTGCTGGACGCCGGTGACAACTTAAAACCTAATTCACATGCACATTTGTTTACAATCTTTCCGAGAACGATTCATTTACATAACTCGCTGGGAATTTGTCATACAGTACACAGATTACAATTGCACGGATGCCACCGCGGCATAGCAAATTCTCAAGTTTCTTTTCTACAAAACTTACACTCTACGTTAGATTATTAGATTCTCGTTTTGGGCTGGTTTTGAGATTTGTACAATGCCCGCTTCTATTTACAAGCCAGCAGAGGAATAGCGTTAAGTACAATGGAATCTTTGAGTTTTACACTAGCTTAGGAGTTCTGCGAGGCGGGCGATGGCTGGCTGGTGATTCTTCACGACAGAGCCACCTCCAGGCACATCATTATCAGGAATCCGGATACAGTACCCCACGTGGCGATCGTACCATTGCCGCTGGCATGTGCCTCGGGTAAAATGTCATCCGACACAATGTAGATCATAGCTCCAGCGGCGAAGGACAAGGCATACGGCAGGATTAGGTTGGCAAAGGTCACAGCCACGGCACCAAGCACGCCAAAGATAGGCTCCACCATTCCCGACAGTTGTCCGTACCATAGGGCCCTCTTCACACTGAATCCTGCGGCATGCAGGGGCAAGCTAACGGCTAATCCCTCGGGGAAGTTCTGAATTCCAATGCCTATGGCCAGATTGCGAGCACTCTCAAATGTCGAAGAGTTTGTAGATCCAATGGCTCCAAAGCTAACACCCACCGCCAATCCTTCGGGTATATTATGGACTGTAATGGCCACAACCAATAGCATAATCCTCTTCCACTGGGACAAGGCCTCCTCCGCGCGCTGTTGCTCCTCCGGTGTGGTGTAGGTGCATTGCTCCATATCGTTAATGCTGCTTCCCTTCTTCCGGCGCCTCGATTCCCCGCTGTGCTGGACACTCAAACAGTCCGAAAAGCTATCCAAACTCTTGGAAGCCAATCTATCAGACGCCCCATTTCGTTTAGAGTCCTCAATGGCAATGTCCGCTTTGTCCTTGTTTGATTGCGTCATCTGAATCATCATGTTGGTGCTATTAAGGCCAAGGTAGGACATCAATTTATCGCAACCGTAGACGAAAATGGATCCCAGGAGGAAGCCTCCAGACACAGGCAAAAATGCATAGACTCCGTACAAATGGGAACTCTCGGCCATCTCAATGGCTGGCTTGAGAAGTGACCAAAACGATGCTGCTATCATCACGCCAGCTGCAAATCCTAAGGCGGCATCCAGGGATCTCCTCTGGTTTCCCCTCACGAAAATTACCAGAGCGGCGCCAGCAGCCGTCAATCCCCAGGTGAGGAGGGTGCCCAGCAGAGCCTGCGTTACGGGTCCATAGCCGGGAATCATTTTGTTTATAGAGCTCCACCGCCGTGCTCGTCTCCGGCTGGTATGGAATTGTTCTCAAGTTTTATTCGCGTGTGCGGGGAAAACAAGTTTTTTTAATTGTTGTACCACGATTGTTTACCTGCAATTGTGCGCAGAAATGTGCCACGTTCTTGGGCACTGATTGCAGGGTAAACAAAACAACTGAACACAATTTTCAATGGAGTTTTAAGTTCTCGGTGTTTTTCAAGGGAATCTCCGGGAACACTTGTTGCTTATCGTCTTGTTTTAATGGAATGCTATAGAATGCAGCGGGGGAATGTAGGGGGACGCGTAATACTGTCGGGTTGATTACAAAAAAAGGTCTACTAGCTCTACTGGAGCGCGTCGGAAAGTGATGAATGAGCCGCTGACTGAGCTGACAGCCCCACAAAAAGCAAATTTTATAGGGCCGCTGGCTGTATGCCGCAGCTATCGATAGTGCTATCGGTGGTGTTTATCGATAAACGACAAGTGCTAGGTATGGCACTCTCACGGCGCCATTTTTAAATTAAAATTCGTCGTTAAAAATAATTAATTTGAAGTTATAAAAATAAATAAATTTAAGTTAATGAAATATCAATTTATGCATGATTGAGTATTATCGATTATGTATTAGTGTAAAACCTTCTCAGCAGGCAGCGATATTGGTCTCAGTCCAGATAAGAACGTTTTTTATTTAAACAACGGGCCAGCTATCACGTAGTTATAGACAAATAAAACAGTGTTTTCTAGTCAACATGACTGACAGAGTCGGACAAAAAGTCGGCAGCATCCGCAGCATCAACAATAAAAGCAAAGGGCATGAGCTGCTCCCCATAATTAGACCCAGACTTAAGCCAACTTAAATTTATTCTTGAATTTGCAGCGTGTTAAATTTATGCAGCCGGATTCTGAGTTGAGTCAGAAACCACGTAAACGCCAAGGAACTCCAACATCTTCCAAGGATAATGAGTCAGGATCCGCCAAAAAGCGTGCACTTCCGGAAACTCCTACAACCACCACACCAAAGGTATAAAAAGAACTCTTTTTTATTTCATCAAGTTTTTAATACCTATAAAAATGTAAAACGTTTTTTACTGTTAAAAATAATCCTATGTTACGTTGAAAACATATTTTTTTAATTTTCTTCTTTCAGAATGACATCAGCCGTTTCTTCAGGAGCCTTAACCGAAAACCTTCAAATGATGAGGGAGTCGAGTCACCAGCCACCAAACTACTCAACAGGTGGGGTTAAAAAATATATTCACATAAAAAAAAGGACTTTTTACTAATACAAAACATTTTCTGTTTACACAGAATAAGCAGTGGTTGCTACACTCCTTTGGGGGCAGTTGGTGTTTCCCAGCAGAAGGAAACCAATGGAAGCGGAGATGCTGGAACCGAAAAAGTGCAAGCCCAAAAGAGTTTGCAGTTTGGAGAGCAGGCCGGCAACAATACACCTCAGCCGAATCCTTCCAGCACTACACGCCCACGGCGGAGCACAGTGGAACCGCCACCGGTAATGACGCCACCAGTGCGTACAAGTCGACGTCGCAGCTGTGTGGCCGAAATCGGCAGTCCCGCGGCATTGGAACCAAAAATGACTCGACGCCGGAGCTCACTCCACGTTAGCGTAGTCGTCAAATCAATACAAGAAGACCCATCCACAGCTTTAGAGCCCAGAATGACTCGTCGCAGGAGCTCATTACTATTGGCTTCCACGCCAACAGAGGAATCAGAGCAAAAGCAGATCATAGAGACCATAGCCGAGGAGCTGGCTCCCATTCAAGAGAACAGAAATTCAATTGTTATGACCCAAAAAAAGATAATCAATCAAACGGATATTGTTGAGCAATCAATTGAAATGTCCGCAGTTGAGTCGGAACCTTCTTACAAAGCTGACAGGCGTGGCACGCTCTATGCCGCTGAAAGTATGGATATAAGTGCATCTCGACGTCGCAGCGTGGCCACATCAAGCTCAGATCTGACTAACGTGACTACCCAGACTTCGATCTCCAACGTGGAGGAGCCACTGACTCCTCTGTTCAGTTCAACGCGACTGCCGAGCGGTCAATCCACAGGAAACCGGAGACGCACCATCTTCAACCTGGACATGGAAGTGATAAACGAAAGCATCGAAAGACTGAACCAATCGCATCGCAGATCCCTAGCTTTGGCAAACGAAGCAGAATTGGGCGAGTGTCGCCAAGTTACACAAGAACCACCGCAGGCGGAAGCGAACTTATCGCAAGAACCGAAAAGGCGGCGCCTTTTCAACCCAAACGACGAGGTTGTCATTTCACCACCGAAGAGCAGTAGGAAGAGTCGTCTCAGCATAATTGGTTCATCCAGCTCAGTCCAAAAGCGTCGACGTTCGCTTGCCACTCCTGCCAAAACCTCGTCTTCGGAGATGTGTATCCCTGTCCCCGTTCCCAACCCCATTACAACCATTCAGGGTGAAAACTCCAATAAAAAAGAGACACCTGAGGCTTCCATCAATGGCGATCTTGAGCTAGAGAATTCCATATCAACTGCTGAGGAAGCGAACGACAAACCAAAGAGCAAGCCGCGTTCACGTACTCGCACTCTAGTACACACCAACATGCGTAAGGAGCAGGTCCAGGTTATCCAAAAGGTTGGTAGCACGAAGGAGTGACCAGTACACCATCCATCCATCCATTATCCTCTGATTGTAACCTTTGTAGGAATAGTTAGTAAACTGTAATAGTTTGTAAATTAGCATATTCGCAACTCGTTAATGGCCCATATTAATTATTGATTAAGCATAAACAACACTCGGTAGATTGGTAGAGAAGTTCCTCATTTGTAAAGCCTCCCGCACAATTGAATAAATAATATCCGTGGCGGTCATAAATCCTAATCGAAAAACCGCCCTTCAATCCCAGGCCCTGCGCAAGTTACGCGGCATGCGGCATGAATTGACCGTAACCGAGCGCACCACCCACCTGGTTAGCCTGGAGCCGCGCCGAACCCTGAATCTCCTGCGCGGCTTGATGCGCGGAGTCTGGATCGTTAGTTATCAATGGGTATTAGCATCAATACGGGCCGGCAAGTGGATCAGAGAAGAGCCCTACGAGCTAACAAGGTTTTCTCGAGCCATCGAGGTGAGTTCTATAAGTAGTTTTTATATTAACAACCAATTCTTATTTATCATATTTCTTCTCTAGATTTGCCGTACTGAAAGGCAAGCCTTTGGTAAATACTACAAGTGCGAGTTGTTCCGTTTCATGGAGCCCTTTTATGTGTCATCCCTTTGCCGGCCAATGCAATTCAACAATATGAAGGAGTTGCTCATTCTAGGTGGCGCCACTTTGACCGAAAATCGCTTTAAGGCTAAATACGTAATTGGGGACAAGCGACGAGCCGAGGATGAGCGAATCTACTTGGATGCCTTTTGGGTGCTAGACAGCATCACTTGCATGCAAATCCAGAAGTTTGGGAAATACCTAATGAAAAGTGCCATAATCACGGCCGGGGGCATCAGGTACGAGGATCCTAGAGAGCGTGATGAGGACAGCCATTCGCATAGACGACATGACTACGTCGACCCACCCTTGGTGATGGACAAATAAAGCTTGACGGCGGCTTTTCACCTTACAAAATTAACTATCGCACTTAGAGGACCGTTTTCCATATCTGTTTCGCCTTCTTTGTTGCGCTACAATTTTTAAACCTCCCTATGTAAATATAATTATATACATTAGATAATTTTATTTTGATTTGACTGATTTTAATCGTTTTAATGATTTTTATTTTTCTGGTCTTTACGAAACTTTTAATTTGTACTTTTTAGAATTCAGTGGTTTAAAATGATTAAAATATTTTTTTAAAAAGTGTAATTATTTCCATCTACATTTAAGTATACTTTAAAAAGAACCAAATAATGTTAAATATAAGACCAATATATGCTGTTTTATGTAAAGATTAAAATCACCTGCTGTATAAAAGTATGCAAAAAATTAGTAATTACTCTTTACTAAAACTAAAAAAACTGGAAACTGGTACTCAAAATTTTTTTTTGCTTTACCAAATAAATTTTAAAATTTTCTACCTGCGTTGAAGTATTCAACTACCCCCAATGAAACATTTCAACACATTTAGTTGCAAATGCTCGCTTTATTTAAACGATTGAGGTATTTGTTGTCAGATTTGATTGTTGTACTCATCAACTAGCTCTTGTTTGTACTTTGTGGCATCGACAAGGGGAATGTGGCTTGCGGGTGGTCAATAGCGCTGAAAATCAAAAAAGCAACAACCAAAAAGATGGTGCTTTTAATGGCTGGGTGGTTAAAGGTTTAAAACAAAATAAATACAAAAATAGGGTTTTTATTTTTTGTAAATAAAGTTATCGCTTCTATTCTGGTTCTTTTCATGTGTACAAAGTAGTGTGTGCAAAAATAGGGTAAGATAAACGATACATATCAAATTAAAAAGGTTAATTTAAACGATATTATAAATGCTACAGAGGATATCTATATATGATACCATAAAGAAGTCAATTCCTTATAATATCATACGTAGTAAACTAAAGATCGACGGGGAGATGGAGGAGGAGTGGATGCATAAATGCATGTTTTTTTTTCCCAAAGTGCGCACTCATCCTTGGGATCCACCGTTTCCCATGTTTTAGGCGGCGTCGACTGCATTTAGCATTCGTATCCGTCGAAATTCCTTTCGATGGAAGAAATTAAACTTTTGCTTCTGCTGGAACATCATCTTATCGGTCATCTTGCGCAGTACAGGTGTTGGTGTTAGACTACTATTGTGCTCGCTGCTGCTGTTGTTGCTGGTATTGTTGAGTGGTGTTGTTGGCTGCATTATGATGTTTAATTGCTTGCTGCTGCTTGTTGTTTTTGTTTCTGAGTGGGTGCAAGCCAGCTACTTCTTGCCCTTGGTGGCCTTCTCGGCGGCCTTGGTGACCTTGCCACCGGAAGCGTCCTTGAAGTTGACAGCCTTGATGACACCGACAGCCACGGTCTGCCTCATGTCACGCACAGCGAAACGACCCAGAGGGGGGAACTCCTGGAAGGACTCCACGCACAGGGGCTTGGAGGGCACCAGGTTGACGATGGCAGCATCGCCAGACTTGATGAACTTGGGGTTCTCCTCAGTGGTCTTGCCGGAACGACGGTCGACCTTCTCCTTGATCTCAGCGAACTTGCAAGCAATGTGAGCGGTGTGGCAATCCAGCACGGGGGTGTAGCCGTTGGCGATCTGACCAGGGTGGTTCAGCACGATGACCTGAGCGGTGAAGTCGGCGGCGCCCTTGGGGGGGTTGGACTTGGAGTCACCGGCAACGTAGCCACGACGCAGCTCCTTAACGGAAACGTTCTTGACGTTGAAACCAACGTTGTCTCCGGGAACGGCCTCCTGCAGGGCTTCGTGGTGCATCTCCACGGACTTAACCTCAGTGGTGATGTTAGCAGGGGCGAAGACCACAACGGTACCGGGCTTCAGCACACCAGTCTCCACACGGCCCACGGGTACTGTTCCAATACCGCCAATTTTGTACACATCCTGCAGGGGCAGACGCAGGGCCTTGTCGGTGGGACGGGCTGGGGGGAGGATAGCATCGAGAGCATCGATCAGGGTCTTGCCGTCAGCGTTACCCTCCTTGCGCTCCACCTTCCATCCCTTGAACCAGTTCATGTTGGTAGATGGTTCCAACATGTTGTCGCCGTGCCATCCAGAGATGGGCACGAAAGCAACGGCAGCTGGGTTGTAGCCGATCTTCTTGATGTAAGAGGAGACTTCCTTCTTGATTTCCTCATAACGGGCCTCGCTGTATGGTGGCTCAGACGAGTCCATCTTGTTGACACCAACGATCAGCTGCTTCACACCCAGGGTGAAGGCGAGCAGGGCGTGCTCGCGGGTCTGGCCGTTCTTGGAGATACCAGCCTCGAACTCTCCGGTTCCGGCGGCCACAATCAGCACGGCGCAATCGGCCTGCGAGGTACCAGTGATCATGTTCTTGATGAAATCCCTGTGTCCGGGGGCATCAATGATGGTCACGTAGTACTTGGCAGTCTCGAACTTCCACAGGGCAATATCGATGGTGATACCACGCTCGCGCTCGGCCTTCAACTTATCCAAAACCCATGCGTACTTGAAGGAGCCCTTGCCCATCTCCTGGGCCTCCTTCTCGAACTTCTCGATGGTACGCTTGTCGATACCACCGCACTTGTAGATCAAGTGTCCGGTGGTGGTCGACTTGCCGGAATCGACGTGTCCGATAACGACAATGTTAATGTGAATCTTTTCCTTGCCCATGTTGGATGATTACACGATGGCTGTTGATTTTGTGTTCGTGTGTTGGAAGGTTGGAAACATTGGAAGGTTGCAGGTTTCGGTGGGTTGGCGAGCAAGAAAGGTTGGAAAAAACAAAGGGTAAAACATTTCGTTAGCATTCTGTTGGTTTTTCTACTTTTTTTTATCTACTACAATTATTAGTGGGTACAACAAATTTTCTCATTCCCTTGCGTACTTTCGACTTTTGTTTGCATGCCCAAACTCAACCTAACCTCAAACCCTGACTAACGCACAAAACGTGTTTTTTAAGGTTAGGTTGAGTGCCAGCATGTAGGGGTGTGGGTAAAAGGGAGACAAGACTACAGATAAAAAACGCGTGCAAAATAATATTCCTATAGGAAACTCGATTCATTCAGTGATTTTGGTATTTTTTTTATCGTCAAATGTCTTCAGTAGCAGAACTGAAAAATCATCATCATATTGAATCGATAAGTCCAAAGGAAAATTCCAGCAAATTTAATTCGCGAATATACACATGTGCTTATCTACTTGTGTGTGTGTGTCCATGTGTCTGACGCTGTTGCCGGCCGGAGGAAAAAGAAAGAGAGGAAAAGAGAGCAAGCAAAATGGCGACTGGGCATGAGTGCGTGTGACTTATACAAACGCAAGCGATCTCGCCGCGGTGGCACAATTGAAAATTGAAAAGTAGAAAGGAAAACGATTTCATCAAGAATTGTAAGTGCAACGGCAGGCATATTGACTGAACCGAATGGAAATTGCAAAATCGAATATGTAAATGCTATTTCGCCAGATATGATAATGTGCTGAAAACTCGAAAAATCGCATTTTTTTTGTGTTGCTAAGAAGTTTTTTTCGCCCACTTGACTCACACCAATGAATAGCGTGATCCGCCATTTTGAAATACTATGCCGCATACATCGAGAAAATGAAAATCTCGAAGCAACAATATAAGCAAAAATGAAACCACGTTTTTCACGTGTTAATTAGTACATCTGGTGGATGACCTCTGTGTGCAGCGTGGGCGTGGCAAATTAATTACACACCAATTGTACCATATTGAAAATGAAAATGCGGCTGAAGAAGCCGGAAAAATGACTAAGCTACTGAGGGTGTTAATAAGTAGTAGCCACGCAAGGCGATTTAAAATTTTTCGGCTTTGCAGACTGCCACGTGTTTGCTTTTGCTGGATGGCCACCTTTCACTTTGGAAAATCGCCGTTAGAGGTTATCTTCAAAACTAACACACACACACAAAGAGAAAACATCACGAAATATGCACAAATTCGGCGTCTTGAATGCATATTTGTTTATTAATTGTTCGCTACCTGCATTTCGATTGCAGAATTCACTTAATTATATAGTCTCACTGATGAACTTACTCTCAAATAAGCTGAATGAGAAATCACGAAGTCTAAGCGGCGACGGATTCGAACAAAGTGAACGAGTGTTCGGTAGCGCTGAGCGCAGGAAGCCTCGTTTGACGCGCTGTGTGGCCGTAGCTGAGAAGCTGTCAAACCAGCGATACTATCGCACTGAGGTGTTTCCACTTAGCCGTTTCCACTAAATGCGATTTCAGGGCGCGTCAATTTGTAGGTCTATAATATCACTGTTTAGTTACGACTTTTTATATATGTTTTATAATAAAAAAGGAAAATTTTTTTTTATATTTTTCCCTGATTTCAAATTTCATAAATAGATGTCTAGTTTTTTATATCTGTTTGCAATAGCAATATTTTGTTTAATCTTCGAATATTTATGTATTACGTCAATATCTCACAACAATCTAGTTTTTAATAAAAATTTATTTTTCAGTTAGCTCCAATATGCAAGAAAACTTATTAATGAGAACATTGCAAAGTTAATTGAAAATTGAATAGTTAATTGAAAAATAAAAACATATATATGTATTTGCATTCAATTTTTAACTATTACTCACCACTTGTCACTCACCCTTGTGAAAAAAATATGCGTAATCAGTATACGCCGCAGCCTTATAATGCAAACCATTTAAAGCTTTTTCAAATCGTTTCCTCGTTTTGTGAAATTAGTTTATATTGGGTTATTGGGTTATATTGGGTTAAACTAAACCATGAATTTATAAACTAGATAAAGTTATAATAAATTATATCCATATGTACATATAATTTTATAAAACAAAGATCAAATCGAATTGGGTTTCGCTATAGCTATTCATCCCTATTTTAAAATTATTTTTATTAAACAAATTCGAAAGTAATGCTTTGTTATCGCTTAATATCTAAAAAATGTACTATAAATACGATAAATCACCAAATTATAGGCAAAAAAATAAATTAATATAAATTATCTTAAAAGCTCTTAATTAATTAAATTAAATTTTAAATAAAGCTTTCTTATATCTTGATTTTTTGCTTTAATCACGCCTGGGCACACCACCACGAAGCAGAATAAGAAGCGACGTGGCGAAAGAGGCGAAACGCAAAGTTAATCGTTGAAGAAAATTGAACCGGTCCGGTCCTAAGTTTTTGTTGTAGTAGTAGGCGGTCGACGGCCTAGTTGAACTTAAATTATTTACCGATATCGTTTTTTAAATAATATCCAACAATGATGTGGCGTCTTGCTGGAGTTCTTCTCCTGGGCTTCATTGCCATCTCATTCGGATCGGAGCAGGATGTTCTGGATTTGGGAGACGACGACTTCGCCACCACCCTAAAACAACATGAAACTACATTGGTCATGTTCTACGCCCCCTGGTGAGTGGTGGGCGTGGCAGGGTGTCTTGTAGTGTAGGCCAAATGCATTGCGTGTGCAATTCGTGGCTAATCAGCTTGTTGCGTCTGCAACTTAATTTAATTCCCGATTCCCCGGCATTTGTATTCGCTAAGTACACGTCAGCGTTTGCTTTGCCGGCAAAAAAACGACAAAGGGAAAAGGCGAGAAAAGAAGAAACGAGAAACGAAACGATATGAAGGAACAGCACAAAGATGACATGCCAGTATTGGTGTTGTCGGCCATTTTAAAGAGCGGGGTGTCAAGTTGGTATAAATGTACATACAATTACCTCTCAATTTGTCCGTGACTCTTTTACTTAGGGATAATGATAGTTAGCGCCCTATATCCCACTCTGTATTTTGGACTATTTCCATTATTATAGCTTATATCATCCCAGTTTGAGGGCTCATATTATAATAATCAACTTCCTATTGATATGGTTCATATGCGAGTGCTAGTACATAATGGTGGTGATTAAGCTGACAACCAGCCAATGTTATAGGTTAAACTAATATATGAATATATGTACAATGTATATTTAAATTTTCGTTGATGCCAAGTCAGCAATTCAAAAATTTACATACAGACATATAACCCATTAAATGCACCTTTATTCCCTTAAGAGGTCGGAAAATATATATTTTATACGAACTTGAGAAAACAGATTATTTATTTTAACCTTAAAGTGATCTCAAAACTACAAATCTTTGAAATCTGTTTGTATGTAAATGAACATTATAGCTCTTATTTATATTTATATTTACTCGCTTTGAGCAAATATGTTTGTCTACTATCTGAGAAAAACTATAAACTCACTTGAGCAATGAACCTGCTAAGTAAATTATTTGTTTTTTTTTGCCGGCCGGCGCGCTCAAAATCCGAAAGAGCTGTTGGACTACTTTGGCATGAAACTTTAATCCACAAACCATAAACCTTATCATCACTAAAACACAAACACGCAGAAAATAATTTAATGTTAAAATCTAAACAAATATTTGGTTTCTTTCTTTTTTAATGTTAATTGCTTAAAAATGTTAGTTATTTGTTAAATATTTATAGACACATTTTTTAACGTAGTTTTTTTAATAATTTGTACTTATTTAAATATACTGATGATGGGTATTGATATTGACTTTTAGAACTATTATTTAAGATAAGAACTAAGGCGTTTCTCCGCCTGTAGACTTAATGGGCCCCTTGTACTTGATAAGGCACTTGATATGATCCACACCCCAACATTAATTAAAAGGCCGTTTTTCGGGAACTTGTCTTTTCGTTGCCTTGATAACGAATGATGAATTAGGCAGTGCTGTTCCCAAAAGATGTTTTAACTGACGTGTCCTAATAGAGTTGTTCTCTCTTTGTTTCAAGGTGCGGCCACTGCAAGCGATTGAAGCCCGAGTATGCCAAGGCGGCCGAGCTCGTGAAAGACGATGATCCACCAATCAAGCTGGCCAAGGTTGACTGCACGGAAGCTGGCAAGGAGACTTGTAGCAAGTACTCAGTCAGCGGCTACCCCACGCTGAAGATCTTCCGTCAGGATGAAGTGTCCCAGGATTACAATGGACCGCGCGAGGCCAGCGGCATTGCAAAGTACATGCGCGCCCAGGTTGGACCCGCTTCCAAGAACGTGCGCACCGTCGCCGAACTGGTCAAGTTCCTGGACAGCAAGGACACTACTGTGTTCGGCTACTTCAGTGACATCGACTCCAAACTGGCTAAGGTATTCCTGAAGTTTGCCGACAAGAACCGCGAGAAGTACCGCTTCGGACACTCCAGCGAGCAGGAGGTCCTCGATAAGCAGGGCGAAACGTAAGTGGGAGGATCTATTCAAGATTGAGTTCCTTTTCGAACATTTTCAAGACTGTTTTTTGTTTTATATATTTTATAACTGTTAATAAATAGCTTAAGTGCGAGTTTTTTAACTTCAATTTTTTAATTGATTAATCCCTTTCAGCGATAAGATTGTCCTGATCCGTGCCCCTCATTTGAGCAACAAGTTCGAGTCTTCCTCGATTAAGTTTGAAGGCAGCTCCGACTCCGATCTAACCACCTTCGTCAAGGAGAACTTGTAAGTTGAGTTATCGCATTCCGCTTGGGAGAAATAACTTTATACCAATCTTTCCAACAGCCATGGTCTTGTGGGTCACCGCAATCAGGATTCGGTCAAGGACTTCCAGAACCCCTTGATTACTGTTTACTACAGCGTAGACTACCAGAAGAACCCCAAGGGAACCAACTACTGGCGCAACCGTGTGCTTAAGGTGGCCAAGGAGTTTGTGGGTCAGATCAACTTTGCAATCGCCTCCAAGGATGAATTCCAGCACGAGTTGAACGAGTACGGCTACGATTTCGTTGGCGACAAGCCTGTGGTCTTGGCCCGCGACGAAAAGAATCTCAAATACGCCCTGAAGGAGGAGTTCTCTGTCGAGAATCTGCAGGACTTTGTCGAGAAGCTACTGGGCAATGAGCTGGAGCCTTACATCAAGAGTGAACCTATCCCCGAGTCGAACGACGCTCCCGTCAAAGTGGCTGTTGCCAAGAACTTCGATGAGCTGGTGATCAACAATGGCAAGGACACCTTGATTGAATTCTACGCTCCATGGTGCGGTCACTGCAAGAAGCTGACTCCCATTTACGAAGAGCTGGCCGAGAAACTGCAAAACGAGGAGGTTGCCATCGTCAAGATGGACGCCACCGCCAACGATGTTCCGCCAGAGTTCAATGTGCGCGGCTTCCCCACCCTCTTCTGGCTGCCTAAGGACTCTAAGAACAAGCCAGTGAGCTACAACGGAGGTCGCGAGGTCGATGACTTCCTGAAGTACATTGCCAAGGAGGCGACTACAGAACTGAAGGGCTTCGACCGCAGCGGCAAGCCCAAGAAGACCGAGCTCTAAGCTGCACGCCGGGTTGACTGGCCGCCAACTAGCATTTCCATATTTTTGTAAAATCGAATGCATTCTCCACAATACTTCAGCGAAAATTGTATTAAATTATTTAATAGTGATGAAACGCGTATGAACACAAATTGATGATTATGTCGCAATAAACTTAAATCTTCATTTAATTAGTTAAACAGTTTGCACATTTTCGTTTCATATTTCTTCGGAAATATATTTTGAATGGTTTTGTTCTTCTTAAATCTAAATTGATTGCGTCCTTTGAGGGTATAGGAGTCTACTTAGACAAAGCCGGTCCTTCCTGTTTCTTCCGAAGTGCGTCTTCAAGGTGTTCGTCCAGCATCATGCGGAACCAGTCCGAAATGAATGTGTATTGGTTACGTCCTTGAAAGGCCTTGTAGCCAAATTTCCCATGCCTTGCGACGAAATCGAAGAGGTATACTGTGCTGGGACAGTCGATCGGGGCCATGATCTGGGACATGCAGCCAAGTAGGCGCACCATAAAGTTGGCGCACACACTGGTGGACCAATATTTTTCCTGTCGATAGTAACAGTTACACAGTTTTGTCTAAGATAATATTTTTAAATATATATATGAGTATACTAACGCAGTCCTTCCACAAATTCCGCACGTAGGTTTTCTGTATATTAAGCACAAATCCATTATCGTCGCGATAAGCTATGTAAAGGTTATCGATTCCCAACAGATAGCACTTCACCCACCATTTAAGGGCTTCCGATCGATTGTGGGATGTCCAATCCAGTCTGCTCATATGCACCTGGCGCATCTGCAGTTCTGCCCAATTCTGAACGGGGCCATCCCTGGAATCGGAAGTATAAGGGTTAATATTTCTATTGAAGGCTATTTTGTAAGAACTTACAATCCATTAGGATTCGGCTCGGCCAGTACTGGTGAATCGAACAACACTCGGATGCCGTTTAATTCAATGGAAAAGACACCATGGTATTGACCAGAATCTTTAGAGGAGGGCACTAGGACACCGTTTTCTAAAAGAACCAAAATCAAAAGAGAGATTCAGTTGATTTAATGGTATTTCCAGAGTTCTCCTACCAAATACACAATATTTGTGCAACTCCTTAAGCCAGGATTCTTGCATGATCTTCCTTTGATTGTTCTTGTCGAAGGCGTTGGCTTGATCGCTGTCCATGCGGCAAATGTACATAGTGTTGCGATATCGTGTGACTCCTAGTGACCATCCCGTCATCCTTTCGTAAGGAGCACACATCATTAGCTCGAGAACTTCACTACTGCATACTATATGGGCATTAACCTCCACACGCATGTTATTGGTCAGCATGAGCAAGGAAAACCCCGAGGAATCGATAAACTGAAGCATATTGTCCAAAAGCACTTTGGGGATCTTCTCCTTTTTCTGAGTGTGCTCATTATCTCTCAGACAGATCGGAAATCGGTTGATTGGCGGCACCACTATATAACGGATTCTTTGCGGGTTTCGCTCGAAATGTCCTGACGGGGATAAAGTAAACCCGCCATACGAAATTGGCTTGCTAATTGTTGGAAAGATGAGCACGTCCTTATCTGTCCAGGAATGAACTTGAATATTTAAAAACTGATAGTTTGAGATCATTTCTAATTAGTTATTTCTTTGATCGTTTTTGCAAAAAGAACCGTTGTTGTTGGCATATGGCAACGCCATAGAAATGATTTAAATTACACATTTTTTGATTTTAGCAAAACATACAGATTTTAATTATTATATAGTTTATACAATAAATAAATTATAAATATTATAATAATAGCTTACATATATATTACGACTTGATTTTTAATCTATAAAAACCAAAATACAACAGCATTAAAATTTAACAACATAATAATTTTCGATCTACTTCTACAAGTTTTTCAAGAAATATATACATTTTGATATCTAAAACCGACATCTTTTTTCATAAATATAAAACAAAATTACTTAAGCTGTTAGTTTTTACTAACGAGTGACTACTGTGGTTTCAAAAAATATACAAGAAATAGCAACAAAAAGTATCAAAACATGCCGGTAGCGTTGCCGGATTTCTATGGCGTCCCGGTAAAAAATGTAAACAAACCAACAGCCTGCCGGATTGTTCCAATCAGATAATTGTCTTATAGCTGGCTGGCAACGCTGGTTGTGTCTGCTGCACGTGTTTTAAATTCGGGTGTGTTTTGCTCTTCGTTCCGGGTTATTGTGGTGCAATTTAACAAGAAAAAGCTGAAATAATTTTGAAATATCACTAAGAATACGGTTGACTGGTGCCTGTCGAGATGGAGGTGAATGCAAGCAAGCTGCGGCTTGGGGCAAAACGATTGCTGCAGTTGACTGAACATGAGTCTGAAGACAACGTGTTTTCACAAAGCTTACAGAAGTTTATCAAAAAGCAGGTGGGTTTCATGATTTAAATTGAAATTGTTTATGTGTAGATAATCTTTTTTCGGTACTTTAGAAATATGTGTCTCAGGATGTGGAGCGACTGTTTCGAACACTAAGCGAGCAGTTGCCTGTGCCCGCTTACACAGTGCCAGTGGCTGTGAGTTTCGAAGAGCAGCTCCTCCTGTTGCTTTCGATGGCACTCCGTTGGGATTCCGCTGACCAAAGTTTTCGTCAGTATCAACTAGAGTGCGTAGCGCTGGCCAAGCTTTTGGATTGCTCCCTAGATGCACAGAGGTTGGTTCATAATTGCTTTTCCTTCAAACACAATATATATATATGTCCTTTTTTAGGTTTGCCAAAAGTTATTTCCACGACAAGCCACCTCCATTTGAGAAACAAATCAATGATACCGTACCCAGTAAAAAGTTAAAGAATGGCACTCAAACCGCCGATCTAGAGGAACTGGACCTCATTACATGCTGCTATCAATTGCTAAAATGTGATACACCTTATTTCCGCGAGCTGTGGGACTGGTCCAGCTTTATAGCGAGCTATGCACAAAATTCATTAAGCCCGAAGACACAGATTTACTGCAACCACATCATGGCTATGCTGACCGACATGAGTGCCCCCCAGCTAAATGCATTAAACGAGCAAATATCACCAAAAATACGTCTGGAATTCAACCAGGAGCAGGAGAACGCATGGGCCTTAGCTAGGAGCTCTTCTCCAAATTATAATACAGACGATTCCGATCAACTACTAAACCTGAATCTGCAGGGAATTAATCAGGCTGTGACCAACATCGAGGGTGTTCTTTTACCCACTTTTAACAAGGAGAACTTAGAGTTCTACGCTAACTCTGATGGATGCTATGATCGCATTGTAAAGGTGGATTCAACAGTGGTAAATCTACGAAGTATTGCCCTCGGAGTTGCAGCTACCAAGCCCATATGCCTATCTGGACCCGTTGGCTGCGGCAAAACAACACTTATTGAATATCTGGCTCGAAAAACTGGACGCATTTGTCCGAAACCCAATGAAATTGAAAGTAGAGAAAAAGCTTTAAAGAAAGCTGAAGAGGAGGAGCAGCTGTTGACGCCGAAAAAGAAGCCAAAAACGACAGCGAGCAAGAGAAAACTGGAGGAGATACCTCTGGAAGAATTGCTAGAGTTGGGTGAGACTACCCAAAAGAATGGATTTTTACGTATTCAACTTGGAGATCAGACAGATAGCAAAATGCTACTTGGACAATATCGCTGTACAGATGTGCCCGGCGAATTCGTTTGGCTACCTGGCGTTCTGACCCAGGTAAGTTAAGGAATTCTTAAATTCATTAGCCTACCACATATTTTCTTTTTAAGGCCGTTATGCATGGCTACTGGTTATTGCTGGAAGATCTGGATGCAGCCACTCAAGACACTTACACCATTCTAAGTAGCCTCTTAGAACGCAAGTGCCTTAGCGTTCCCGGCTTTCGTGATTCAGTGAAAATAGAGCCAGGTTTTCAATTGTTTGTCACAGTGCGGTATGTAAATTATTTGGAAATAATGCATCTTTATTTAATAGCATTTTAAATCCTTTAGAACCAACAAGTCTGCCAGCAACTCAAGCCAAAAATCCCTCTACTCCCTGTTGGATAAATATTTGTATACCATCAACATTCTACCTCTTTCCCGTAATGAACTGTGCAAAGTGGTTAGCACCAACTATCCCAAGCTTTCTACAGTGGCCAATCGGATCGTGGATGTGTTTCTAACCTTCTCCAGCGGCCATCATACATCGGCAGATAACTTAAGGCAACAGGAATCAGGCGACAAAGCAGACAACACGGAGCAATACGTGGCCCTTCCCTTTGAGCAAGTCTCTCTCACATCGAGCCCCAATTCTGGCCGATTGGTGTCCACACGTGATTTGGTGAAGCTGTGCCAACGCTCAAGTTCACAGTTTTCGGTGACCAGCTCGGAGTGCGCCTACTTTGTCTTCCAAAACGCAGTTGATGTCTTCTGTTCATATCTGCCGCAAAGCAAGGAAAAGATTACCCTTATCACAAGCATAGGAGCCAAGCTGGGCATCATTCGTTCTCGTTGCGAACATTTCGCCAATGAATACAAACCAGAAGTGGAATTTGGGCTAGAGCAAATAAAAATCGGAAGAGCTAGTCTCTTGGCTAAATCGGAAATTAATGACAAGGATATTTCCGAACAGGACCTTAAGCGACAAAAATTATCCCAGCAAACAAGAAGGGCTATTGGTAAAGTCGACGGAAAGCGAACGGTCTTTTCGTTTACTCGGCTCGCCAGCTGTATCCTGGAGCGGATTGCCGTGTGTGTCAGCCACTCGGAGCCTGTTCTTTTGGTTGGTGAAACTGGAGTGGGCAAGACCTCTTCAGTGCAATATTTGGCCGAGCGAACGGAACATAAATTGGTGGTAGTCAACATGAACAACCAGTCGGATGTATCGGATTTGGTTGGTGGATTTAAGCCCGTGGAGTTTAACTACGTCTTAGCACCACTGCGAATGGAATTCGAGTATCTTCTGTGCGAAACATTTAATGCGGAGAAGAACTTCCAGTTCCTGCGCTTGTTTGCCACACACTATAACAGCGGTCGGCACAACGTAGTTGTCCGAACCATGATCAATATCTGTTTATCTGTGGCCAAGAATCCGGAACTGAAGAGAAATAAGTTGCTTCCCCGCTGGCAAACTTTAAGAGAAAAGCTGCAAAAGCTTCAGATGCAACTAGAAAAGAGCATTAACATCTCATTCGCCTTCATACCCGGATCCCTGGTTAACTGTATTAGCAACGGAGATTGGGTACTGTTGGATGAGATTAATTTAGCCTCGGCAGAGACATTGGAATGTCTCTCAACTATCTTGGAACCAGAGGGCTCCGTGGTACTTTTGGAACGTGGTGATTTTACGCCAGTTAAGCGACATCCAAACTTCCGAATCTTCGCCTGCATGAATCCTAACACGGATATTGGAAAGAAAGATTTGCCCGTGGGCATACGTAATCGGTTCACGGAATTCTTTGTGGATGAACTGACAACGGATGCAGATTTAAATTTGCTGATCAGCGATTATTTGGTTAATACAGGTATTCAGAGGAAGTCCGTTCACAGCATCGTTAAGCTATACAAATCCCTGAGAAAACTGTCCGATCTTCAGTTGAATGATGGTCTAGGAAATCGCCCGGTATATTCCCTGCGTACACTATGTCGTAGTCTGCGCATTTGTGCAAGGAATTTGTGCGGCTCCATCGAGCGAAATCTTTACGAAAGTTTTTGCCTAAGTTTTCTTACCCAATTGGATCCAGATTCGCATCATGTGGTGCTTCTCCTTATACAGGATGCATTGCTGTCAAATGTTAAAGCTATTTTAAATAAGCAGCTGCCCCAGTTAGGTGAAAACTACCTGGACTTCGAGGGCTACTGGATTCAGCCGGGCAACTTGGAACCGCAGCCGTGCACGCACTACATTCTTACAGAAAGTGTGAAAAAGAACCTTAAAGATCTGGCTCGTATCATCTCGATTGGAAAACTACCGATTTTGCTTCAGGGTCCCACCAGTGCGGGAAAAACCAGTTTGATTGACTACGTGGCTAGGAGGAGTGGAAATCGCTGTCTGCGAATCAACAATCACGAGCACACTGATCTTCAGGAGTATATTGGAACCTATGCGGCAGATTTAGATGGAAAGTTAACCTTCAGGGAGGGAGTACTGGTGCAAGCCATGCGACATGGATTCTGGATTATACTGGACGAGCTCAATCTTGCGTCTACGGATATTCTAGAGGCTCTCAATCGAGTTTTAGATGATAACAGGGAGCTATACATTGCGGAGACACAGACCTTGGTAAAGGCACATCCCAACTTTATGTTGTTCGCTACGCAGAATCCTCCAGGGCTGTATGGTGGAAGAAAGACCCTATCCCGTGCCTTTAAAAATCGTTTTATAGAGCTCCACTTTGCTGACATACCACGCGGAGAGTTGGAGATAATTCTGGAAAAGCGCTGCTTAATTCCACCCACTTATGCCCGGAAAATGGTGCACTGTATGACCCAATTACAGCAACACCGTCAAAATACCTCCAAACAAGTGTTCACTTTGCGTGATCTCTTCCGGTGGGGAAACCGATATACCCACGCGGATAAGTCCCTGCATGAGGACATCAAGTACGATTGGAATCAGCATCTCGTGGAGGAGGGCTATCTAGTTCTGTCCTCAAAAGTGCGTTCGCAGGATGAACATGAGCTGATAGAGAAAACTCTTTTCGCCAACTTCCGAAAGAAGGTGGATCTGCAGCTGCTTTTTGATATCCAAACGGAGAGAGAGAGCGCCTCAATGGTGAGTAAGAAAATCCTTGATGCCATTAGAAACTTTAAACTTCGTAGAGACATTGTTTGGACGCGAAATATGACACGCATGGCTGTGGTTACGGCAAAGGCTTTGGAGTTCGACGAACCAGTGTTATTGGTTGGGCCCACGGGTTGTGGCAAGACCACAGTATGTCAACTCCTTGCCAGCATCGCGGATGTCCAGCTGCGTATCCTTAATTGTCACATGCACACCGAAGGAGCAGATTTTCTGGGAGGATTGCGCCCTTGTCGAGAAAAGGATTCAACACAACTTTTCGAGTGGTCCGATGGTCCGTTAATATACGCCATGCAAGAAGGTTCTTATTTCATGGCCGATGAGATATCCCTAGCCGAGGATTCTGTGCTGGAGCGTTTGAACTGCATCCTAGAACCAGAACGTACAGTATTGTTGGCTGAAAAGGGTGGCGTTGCTGATGCAAATCCTGACTTTGTAGTTCAGGCCAAGTCAGGTTTCCAGTTCCTTGCCACTATGAACCCCGGCGGAGATTTTGGTAAGAAGGAGCTTTCGCCTGCCTTAAGAAATCGATTTACGGAGGTCTGGTGCTTGCCCTCTGATAACAAAGAAGATCTCATTGAAATTGCCTACAATTGCATGAATCGTCAAAAAGATCATGAAAAGCAAGTGATTAACACCCATAAAGTGGCAGAGTACCTGGTCGAAATCGTGCTTCACATTCGCGATGCCAATGAGAAGTTTAAGTTCTCAGTGCGTGACATTTTGGCCTGGGCTAATTACATGATCAGCAATGAAAAACTGAGTTTTGCAGAGCAGGCAATCTTCGGCTTGGAAACTATTTTTCTAGATGCCCTGGAAATGCTGCCCCATGAATCACAGGAACAGGTGGAGCTCCTTAAATCCAGTATAGTAAACGAGGCCATCAAACAGGCGGGTCTTATCCTAAAAGAAAATTTTACCTTGGATCAAGTTACTCAGGAGAGAGGATGTGAAGTCCAATTGGATGAAAACCGATTTGGTATACGACCATTTTTCATAGATGTTAACCAGGATCGCTTGACGCCGGTTAAGGAAGATTTCTTATTCGATGCTCCTACTACCAAGCAGAATCTATTCCGTTTGCTATCCGCACTTTCCCTTCAAAAGCCAGTGCTCCTGGAGGGTCCACCGGGTGTGGGAAAAACGTCCATTGTGGAGAGCATAGCGGCTGCCATTGGCTATCAAATTGTACGCATTAATCTTTGTGAACACACGGACTTGGCTGATTTGTTTGGAACCGATCTGCCCGCCGAAGATAATTTGCTAGAAGGAAATACAGTGTCTTCTGGTCGACAGATAGGCAGCTTTGTGTGGCGCGATGGTCCACTTCTGGCCGCTTTGAAGGCAAAGAACACTTGGATTCTACTGGACGAACTTAATTTAGCCCCACAATCCGTGCTAGAGGGTCTCAATGCAGTGCTTGATCATCGTGGAGAAGTATATATCCCGGAGTTGAACAAAACCTTCCATTTGGCTGGCTCGACTCGCATTTTTGCCTGCCAGAATCCCCTAAAGCAAGGCGGTGGTCGCAAGGGATTACCTCAATCTTTTCTAAATCGTTTTACTAAAGTTTATCTACGCAAGCTTTCCACTCAGGATCTTCTCCATGTGGTCCAGATGAAGTACGGAAACTACTTTGATCAACTAAATGAATATTTCTCGAAGTTATTAAGTAAGGAAAAAGAAGGCAACCTTTTTGAGATCTACGCAGGAAAAGAAGCTTCAAGTGAATCAAATTCATTCGATTTGGCCGCTCGTTTGGTCCGTTTTTCTGAGCAACTGGATCGTGGAGTGCTTACCATGGAGTTCGGATATAAGGGCGGTCCCTACGAGTTCAACTTACGTGATATTCTTCGGTGGTGCGATCTGCTGCATAACCCAAAAACTGGCTATATCTTGGCATCTTCACCGTCATCCTTCCAGTCTGCTTTCAAGAATTTCTTGTTGACCCTTTACGAGAGGATGCAGTTGGTGTACTACCAAAGGATGCGCTGCGATCAAGATAAAATGTACATTCGAAATGTCTTTTCAACTGTGTTCCAATGCGATGCCGAACAGCTAAATCAGGTGTCGGACGATGTGGCTCTTTATTGGACAGCGGATAGGGTGTATCTTAACGATGTGGTTTTGGAGCGAGAACAAGCCGATGTGTTGGACTTGGTAACCCGTCAGGAGCAGGCTCCTTTGCTGCTGGACAGCCAAAGGCAGTTGCTCAAGCAAATCGTCGAGGCAGTCCACATGGAGAAACCCCTTCTCCTGTGCGGATCTACGGATAGTGGAAAAACCAAGTTGATAGATACCCTTTGCGTTCTGTCCAATCGTCTTTGCAATACGGATATCATCGACGACTCCGTCACTGGAAGTTTCCAGCAGGTGAGATTTTGGAGTTAATCTTTAACTTAACCCATGTAAATAAATCTTTTTTTTTTTGGTATTTAAGATTGACTTGAACCGTCATTTGGAAGTAATTTACAAAAAAGTGGAGACGCTTGTCTTTGCCTGTGTCCAACGGGCCTTTGTCCGGCATATTCAAGCTGAGTTTGTGGAGCAGTTGTGGAACAACTGGAGCAAATACAACAAGCTGGCCCAGGTAACAACAGGTAAGTGAAGGTCTTCTAGTGTGAAACGCAAAAGTTTTAGTTAATTCTTTGTAGAGTCCCAACAACACAGTGTTTTGGATGAACTAAAATTGTTCAGCGAACGTCTGGCATCTTTAGGTAACATCATCGAAGTGCTCGAGTGCACCCCAGAGGATTGTCAAGTGGAGGCAATCCAGCATCTGCCGGAAATCAAGTCGCAGTTCTTGTTACTTCAAGCCTATATAAGAACAGCAGATTCCCTTAACACGGGCGGATCTTTCGAATGGGTGGACTCTCAAATTGTGACCTCATTGAAATGCGGCCAGTTCATCTTGCTGGAGCATGTAAACCTTTGTTCTTCTGCTGTTCTGGATCGGTTGAATCCTGTTTTTGAGCCAAACGGAAGTTTACTAATCGCTGAGAAAGGAATAAGTGCGCAGGATAGTGCTGAAGTTGTTTACAAATCAAACAATTTCCGTGCCTTCCTAACCGTTGATCCCAAGAACGGTGAACTATCGCGAGCCATGCGAAACCGATGTGTAGAGCTCTGTTTATCCAAAGATTCCTACTCTGTAGATGATATGCGTGCCTTTGTCCATGAACAGGGTGTGCATCAAACGGAGGCCATAGATTGCATTCTGGGAGTTCATAAGAGCATAAGTCAGCTAACAGATTTTAACAACTACACCATATCGCACCTCACGCAGTTCGCTTTTTTGAGCGCTGGCTATAAGAGAATTGGCTACCAACTAAAACGGGCAATTTATGTGGCCGCCATGGAGGTTTATGTGTACTCTGCCAGCACGGATTTGATGGGCTATGGGTTGTCTTACTACCAGAACAAACTGCGCGAAGTGGTGCTGGCACAAACCGAAGACTTCAAGGAGGATGTTATTATTCAGGAGGACTTTCTCAGCGATGTCATACTAAATTCTGGAAACCTGAACTCTTTGACATTGATCAAACTTCAGACAGTGGCACTTAAAGTTTTACTCGATGGATCCTCAGAAACAAATATTCCGCAAAAGCAGTTGGGTGCTCTTTTCCAACAGATAGAGAACCTGAAATTGGATCAGCTTAATCCACAGCAACTGATTCGCCACTTTTTGTACATGCTCTACGAGTCTTCAGCCTTCGGGGACTTGGAAATGAGGCATCTATACCTGCAACCTTGGTTGCAGAAACACACTTCCCTCCAAGAGTTTTCTGAAAATCTTTACACTTGCCTTGAGAAGAGGAGTAAACTAGTTAAAGGAAAGTTAGTAAATTTGCCATGGAATCAACAACTTTTCCCAAGACTGCGTGATTACTCAACGGATAATGAAGTTTCTGAATTAAAGCCTCTAAATTTAAGTGCTTTGCTTCTGGCGCGCCTTGTACTCGATGACATTCCTGCCAATTCAGAAAGCAGTGTACAGAAAATGAATGCACTGCAGTACTCGCAGGCCCTGCTCAACGAAGAAGTTACTCTAAAGTACGCCAATGATTTCTTATCCAATTTATCAAACTTTTTGGAGGTTCTGCATGCCACCTTGCTGGAGGATTTGGAGGCAGTCGATTTGGATTTGACGCAATATGCAACATTGGTGACACGTTTCCATTGGTTTAACCGAATTTTGGCCACGGCCCAGCAGAAGCTTCTTTACAACAATGAGCTCTATGTGCCGCTGATGCACAAGCTGGTGCTGCATTTCCAGTGGCTTGAAAAACACCTTTTAAGTCCTTTTCTTGAACTTAATGCCGCAAATTCCTCTGATAGATTGCAATTTATTAAAGCAACTATTCCAAAAATCAAAGGATACATCGAGGAAACAAGACGCCCTCTAAACGTAACTTGCAAAATTTATTCGAAACAGTTTACCCAGTTCCAGCCCTATTACCTAGATCAACAGGTGAGTGGAATATAGCTTTATGTCTAAATTAAATTTATTTTATATAAATTGATATTCTTTTTACATATAGATTCAACTGCACACGGAATTGGATGAATTGGAGAAACTGCTCTGTGTGGTACCCAGCTACGGCCATTTAGAACTGTCTTCCTGGCACAAAAGATGGCTGCTTCTTCAATCAGATGAGGCGAACAAATGGCGTTCATTCCTTCGTAGTCACACCCACGGTCTTCAACTCAAGCCCTTTGAATTAAGTGGATCCTTGCCGAATGAAGCTCTGCAATCTCGCCTTCAACGATTACAAACAAAGTTAAAGGAAATTCAGGAAAACAATGCAGAAAATGGATTCGGTTTGGAGTTGGACCTTAATAGTCTCAAGACGCTTTTGGATACCGAAACGGAAGACAGTCAATCCTACATTCATCCAGATAGTATAGCAACCAACACTCCACCACTATTACTAGCTGCTTTGAGGGAATTATTTGTTGAGCGCCTATTGCTAGGAACTCTTCGCGAGGACTTCGATGAGCAAGTGAACCCGCTGTACACGGATCAATTGCTCACATTGAACGGTAATCTTTGGCGGTGCCTGAAAACGCTTGAAAGTGCTCCTTATGCGGAAGTCACTAATGCTTGGATTGAACTAAAGAAGGAACTCAAAAAGGAAAGTCTACATGATCAAGAGGAGTTTGCAGCTCTGCTGTACAAGATTGGCAGCAGCTACAAAGGATTACGGACTTATCAAAGGCAGTATCGCAACTCTATTCAATGCTTCCAGTTAAATAACTTATCCACCCGGCTGGACTGTGTTCAAGGTCCTTCAGAAGAGGGCAGCGCGGTTATATCCAGTCAATTTAGTTATCAGGGACCAGCTTTATCAGGTGTCTTTTTATCACTGATATGTCAACCAAATGGACAACTACGATCGGTACCTCTAAGCGAGTTGCAGGAATGGCGTTTATCTCTGCAGCAAACACGGCACCTGCTATGGGAGAATTCTCAGCTATTGAGTACCAAATACAGCGGACGGGTAAATAATTTTGCGCTGGCCAAGGAAAACGCTAGTCAGTTGCTGCAAGAGCTGAAATATGTTAGACATTTAAGTCAACAGAAACAGAAACCAAATCCAGGCTTCGAAAGCTGTGCCAAAGATCTTGAAAAAATGCTTGCAAGTCTTCAGGAAGAACATGTCAATTTAGACTCCATGACTTCAGCTTTCAATGTTTCACTAACTAATGCCATAGTGGGCGCCATAGAGCTGTACCTGCTCACAAATGCCCCATTGATCGATCCTGTAGAAAAGAATCGCCTTAAGAATCTATATATAGCAGAGGATATCGATTGCCTAAGCACTTTGTCAACCACCTATGATTTCATGAAAATTGTTATGAAATACCGGCACTTTGGGGAGGAGATATTTAGTGAACTAGAGGCCAGGCTAAAAACGGCTCACCAACGGCAGCAACAGCTTTCACAAAAGTTGGCATTGCGTCCGGAACAGTGTCTGTATGCTGCTTTGGTCCAGGATATTACTCACTTCCTGCACTCAAATGGTGATTGTGAAACGCTCTTTAAGTTGTTCCAGCTTATAAGAACTGAATGGGATAACTTCAAAGGACCCCTTCCTGCCACAAAAGCGACACTTAAGAGCAGCGCAGAGGCTTTAGGTAAACTGGAGCTGTGGTTAGCCAATGCCCAGAGATTTATCCATCACACACTCTGTAGATACTCTTCATACTATCAAGACTTTGTGGAGCCGATAAAATGCTCTGTGAACCAGTTGCGTTTTGGATTAGAATCACTTAAAGTGGTCTTCGCCAGAGCCCAGCAGGGAGGAAGTATTTCGCTGGCCGAAGAACTGCAGCAAACCATCGGGGATATAGTTGAATTTCCATCTCAGAAGCCACTGGTTATAAGGAACAGCAGGCTTTATGGATTACTTGCCGAGCTGCCTCATAGCGAGCATGAGTACTTTACTTTGCTGAAAGCCAAGTTAAGAGAGCTGAGCAACTATATCTCACTGGGAAGTGTGATAGATGAAGCGACATTTGCGGCCTACGATGATGCTTTGAGTATCTGCAATCAGACCTGGCAACAGGAGGAGCAACGTCGCTGTCAACTCAAAGCGGAGGCAGAGAGTTTGTATGTGACCAAGACGAAGGGAGGAGTGGATAGTGAAGAACTTATCGAGATGCAGGAAATCGAGCAGAACTTCCCAACAAACTTAGACGAAGACTTTGCCGAGTTCGTGTCGCAGCCGACTTTGGAGCAGGTCCTAAAATTGGACAAAAAAGCCAGTGCCAAGGCCAAGCAGGCACAGATTGTGGTGGAGGAGGATTACGCCTTTCTGGCTCGTAACTTTATTGAAGTGATGACACAGCATACTCCAGTTTATTATAGAGAACGGCCAAAGTCATTTAAGGAGTCGGAGCTTCATTTGCTCGCACCCTATCGTGCTCGCTTCCAGGTGTTTGCACACTTACATGGTCACTATAAGACAGCCTTGGGATCAAATCTGGATGAAAAGATCTGTAACGGATTGGCCTTTGGACTGGCTCTGCAGCAGAAACAGCTTAAGGATATTGAATTAGAGGAGGGTGTGGCTAGTTCCCCCTACGATTTCTACAAGGACTCGAATATCAGTGAAATTCAAACGTGTCTGGATGTCATGGAGCGGATAGAGAAGCGTGTAATGGAACAACTGGAGCTGTATCCAGAGCACGCGGGACTGGCGGACATCAAGCTAGTGATCTCACGAATCCGTCGATTGCCGGCTCACGCCCCTGTGGTTCGTTTCAATACGGGTTTCCAGCTGCTGAGGCAGAAGTTGGCTCTTTGGAATGAAGTAGCTCACAAAAACAATAATCTGGTTTCGGAGGAAATCGAGGTGGCGGAGTTTGTTCAACGCTGGACTAGGTTGGAGCTGCAGCACTGGCGTAGTTGCCTGGGACAGACAGCCGCTCAAGTGGAGCTACAGGCTTATCGGTACTGGTTCTTTATTTATAATCTGCTACAGCAGTTCCTCCACCAAAAGCAACTGGATCAGTCCTATACCGACATCAAGTTTGCTGAGCAACGGTTTGCCGAGGAACAATTGCTGGATGCCCAGGACTTAGGAGTAGCTCAGCGCTTGGAACTTCCTCAAGTTGTGCGAATTTTGAGACAGTTTATGGAGGCCTCTTGTTATGGTGATTTCCATATACGCCTGCAGCTCCTTCAAGGATTTGAGTTATATTTGCATAATGTGGAGAGAGCCGGAAAGATTGCAGGATTGCCTCCTCTAATTGCAGCCTTGCATAATCTCCAGCTGTATTTCTCCCAGTTTGCTGGTGAGATTGCAGACTCTGCCAAGTCCCGACGTTCGCCCATCGAAAAGAAACTAAAAGAATTTGTGAAGATTCAGAGCTATAGCAAAGACTTGAGCTACTTCAGCATGCGAAACAGTGTGGCCACTGTTCATCGCAACCTGAACAAATTTCTAAAAGAATACCGACTGGCGATCCAAGAGAAGATCAGCGAGGTATTTCAACCAAAGGATTCCACTGCTAAGGACTACACCTTTGGCACCGACAAGGGCAAGGGCTTGAGGAACTACAATAAGATAAAGTATCTGAATACTGAACGACAACAGTTCGTGGCCAGTGAAAAGCTTCTGGAGAAGTTCGCTATTCAGGCGGAGTTCGTTTCGGATAATGCTCTGCTCCAACGCTTAGACAAGCATTTCAGGACTGCACGTCATGTTGTGAAAGAAACTTTGGGACATGTTCCCTATGGCGAGCTAATAACAGACTTGGATGACTTGCTGGCCAGCCAGTTGGAGCGATGTGAGCAATTGCGTTCCTTGAACGTTGATCGGTCCAAGGAGAGACCCCAACAGAAGCAGGAAGCCAAGCAAATCCTTCAACAAAAGCGCAAGGCTCTCACAGATCTCTTCAAGATGCTTCATAGGCTGGGTGCCAGTTACAAGGCTGGACTTTTGGAACTCTCGCTGCGCAATGAATTTGAGGACTTCCAGCTGCCTCCCTATTCAATTCGATCCATGTTACCCCGACTGCATTCTACTGCTCAGCAGTTGGACGAGCATCTGGACTTGTACTACATGAAGAGTGTGTTCAAGTTAAAGCTATTGCAAAACATAATGTTGACACCACTTTCGGAACTGGGTCCGCCTAATATTGAGCGCATCAAGGGCTTTGCGGTGGATTTGTTCCTTTTGGTGCAACAACAGCGGGAGCAGCTTTCTGGAGCCACCAAAGAGCTTCATGATCTAAGAAATTCGATGGAAAGCTTGCGAAAACTGGCTGAGATTGTTTCACAGGCCGAGAACAATTCGGTCACTCCGAGTTTTGTGAGAAACGCAGATATAGCCACGGATATAAAACGTAATCTGTGCCAGATTCATTATGTCTTGAAGCAGTGGAAGCTGCTGCTAAGCTGTGCTCCAAGTGCCTTCAAAGAAAGCTCCGGCAATAACTTACTGGTGAGGACAATTCCATTGGCCCAAATTGAGCTCCAGGACTTAAGTAGTCAGATCATAAGCAGCAGCCATAAATTGCTAAATGAACTTAACACAGCTAATTTGGAGTTCCTATCTATCGAGAAGTGTGAAAATTACCAGAAGAGCTATCAGCAAATCTTGCAGATCATAGAGAAGACATTGGAAATTCTTCGAATCGGTCAAAATGAACATCTGCCGTTGGCTCAACCACTTATCGAGCTTTTGGCCAGCTTGCGAATGGAAAAGCCAACTGAGATTTCTTTAGAGAGCATAGATGTGGCCAATGCGGACACAGAGTTGGCCAACATAGCACATAGTGTCTTAATCTCGCTGCAGAAGATTTATAAGCACCACGCAAAGCCTGATGAGGGGCAGCAAAATGGCGATGTAAAGACTCAGAATGAAGAGTCTAAAGAGGCGCTGCAGGAACAGCATCTCAAAAAATGCCTTACTGGAGAATTGAATTCGGATTGGGAACAGCTTAGCCTGCCCCGCGTGCTTGGTAAGCTTTCCAATGTACTTCTGGTACTTAAGCACTCTAAATACGAAGACCAGGATAAGCTTATTTGCGTAAGACGAGCGATCGGTCTACTGCCCATTTTGGAGCAGTACCAACTACTCGCGGATTATTTGTTCCTTCAACAGCTGGCCACTCATAAGGTTTCCGCCAAAATGCTATCCATAGTACTCACAGTTTTCGTGGAGATTGGAAGCAAGGGCTTCTGTGTGCCTCCGGATCTCATGCAGGATGAGGAGGGCCAGTCCAAGCAGGAATCCAAGAACGGCGAGGGTTTCGGTCTAGAGGATGGAACTGGTGAGAACGATGCCTCCGACAAAATTGAATCCGAAGATCAACTCGACGATGCGAAGCGGCCGGAAGACCGAAAAGACGAAGGCGACAAACAGGAGCCAGACTGCAAGGAAGAAAAGGGTATTGAGATGAGCGACGATTTTGATGCCAAAATGCAGGATGTAGAGAAACCCGAAGAGGACGACAGCGGTGAGTCCGAAGAGGAGGAGGATCTGAATAAGGAAATGGGCGAAACAGAGGAGGGAGCCGAAAAGCTAGACGACCAGATCTGGGGCGATGACGAAGAAGAAAAGCCTGAGGAGGAAGAAGAACCTGAGATGAACGAGGAGGATCAAGGTAAAGGCAGCAAGGATGAGAAAGATGCCCACAACGATCTGGATACAAAGAACGACGCGGCTAAGGAAGATGGTAAGGATGAGCACGAAAAGGACGGATTGGATGCTACCAACGAACCAAGCGGTGAAGACAAGCGTAAGGAGAAGGCTAATGACATTGACGACATGAAAGATCCCGAATTGGATGAGGAGCAAACAAATGCAATTCATAATGAACTGGAGGAGCCTCCCGAGCCCGAAGAAATGGATATTGGCGATATGAATAACGTTGATGAGGGTCACGACGATCAGGAGGATCAGCCCACAGACGAGAATCCATTTGACATTGATGCGATGAAAGAGAATATGCAACCACCTGAGGAGCCCGAGGCAGATGGCGAAGAGGAGCCAGCTCCAGAGGCAGAAGGTAATCCCGAAAGTGACGGCAGCGACTCTGAAGAAGATGAGGCTGGTACGGAAGCAAAACCAGGTCAAGATGACCAGGGTGAGGGGGATGAAGCCACGCCTGAAGAAGAAGAAAAAGAAGAGGCTGAAACCCAGACACGCGGGGAAGTGGAGGATGAAGATGATCCTAAGGCAGAGGATAATCCAGATGAATCTAAAGAGGAGGAGGAGAAACGCGAGGACAAGCCAGAGCAGCATACAGATTCTAAAGACAAAGCCAGCAAGGAGGAAAATATTCAGTCTATGCCGGATACGGATCAGAGCAGCTCAGCGGATCAGGTACAGCAGCCCCAGGACTCAGATATTAAACAGGACCAGAAACTCGATGAACAGGAGACAGGTGAAGAGAAAGATGGTGTCGGTCAGGCCGAGAACGATGTAAGTTTCAGTTTTTGTTTTACTTAATGTATTTGTTACTGAAACAAGCCATTATTGCAGACCAACGATGGCGGCCATCAGGGCATTGCAGAGACCCAGGAGACGGTTTCCCAAGAAGATCGTAAAAACGAAAAGCAAACGCAAGAGAAGCGCAAGCAGGGACGAACAAACGAAGAGCGGTCCTTAGGTATGCAACAGACTACTCTTATAATTATTATTCACATTTTTTATTGAATATTTTAAAACATCAATTTCAGGCGAAGCTGAGCAAAATAAATTGAAGCAACTCAAAACAATCGACCAACTTAAAGATTCTAAGGAATCAGACGAAGCTGACCAGGAGAAGCCAGATCCATCAGAGCAAGCGGAAGCAGAGGAATATCAGCATGTAAAGGAGCCTAAAAACAGCGACAAAACCACACTAGATAATGCCACCGAGGAGCAGTCGAAAAAGATCCAGCACCAGGAGGATGAGCCACCAAAAGAAGAGGAAGCAGAGGCGGAGAATGTGGATGAGTTGATGGAAACCGATGAACCAGCAGCCGATCCTGAGGATGACGCTCAACTTGAGCAGTTAGGTGCCGAGAAGACGGAGCAAAAGTCCGAAAAGCCCTCAAAAACCGAAAAGTCAAAGGAGCGCTTGGAAAATCCTGAGAGTATGGAGATAGAAGGCGAGGTGGTGCCCACCATGACGGTTCCTCGCAGCTCCGAAACCACAGCGCACAGCAAGTGAGTATAATAAACCGTCCTAATTTCCTTCGGGATATATTTATAAGTTTTTGTGATGTTTAACAGCGCGGAAATTCTTTTGGACAAGAGCTCGAACGCACAGGAACTAAGCTCGGCGGAACAGATTGAGCTCCGGCAACAGTATCAACAACAGTTGACCACATTCCGAGGGGTATGTTTTACTCTTTGATAAAATATTGTCAATGCTCAATATTTAATTTTTTACTTTAGGCACAGCCTCAGCACGAAGATTACGAGAGCTGGCAGGGCATCTCCAATCGCATGACCCAGAATGCTCGAGAGCTCTGCGAACAGTTGCGTCTTATCCTTGAGCCCACCAAGTGTACCCGGTTGAAGGGTGATTACCGTACTGGACGACGAATTAACATGAAGAAAATTATTCCCTACATCGCATCGCAATTCCGCAAGGATAAAATCTGGCTAAGGCGGACAAAGCCAGCCCAGCGCGACTATAAAATTACAATTGCCATCGACGATTCCAAATCGATGCACCACAATAACTCCAAGACGCTGACATTAGAGGCTATTTCACTTGTTTCGCAGGCGTTGACGCTACTTGAAAGCGGTCGCCTTAGCATTGTGTCCTTTGGAGAGGCACCGCAGATCATTTTGAACCACACGGAACAGTTTGACGGTCCGCGCCTAGTAAATGCCCTGAATTTCTCCCAAGACAAAACCAAGATAGCTGGTCTACTGGATTTTATACGCACTGCTAATGCGGAGGAGAGTGGCTTGGGCGGAGACAACGGTCTGTTTGAGAACCTTTTGCTCGTTCTCAGCGATGGAAGAAATATATTCAGTGAGGGTGCACAGAAGGTCAAGAACGCCATTAAGCTGGCAAGGCTACAGCGCATCTTCCTTGTTTATATCATCATCGATAATCCGGACAATAAGGTATTGAGTTTTATAAACAAATTATAATGCAATTTACTCAAATCTATTTACTTTTAGAACTCAATTCTGGACATTCAACATGTGGCGGTTAATTCCGATGGATCAGTGAATATCAGTTCCTACCTGGACAGTTTTCCATTCCCCTACTATGTGATCGTCCGGGACCTCAACCAACTGCCACTGGTGCTTAGTGAAGCCATGCGACAATGGTTCGAGCTGGTTAACAGCGAATAACTCTTTTCAATTACTAATTCTACTGTATAAATCAGAACCAAAATTAATTTTCAATGACTTATTGCGAAGTTATAATCATTCAATACCTTTAGAGCTTAAACAATCTTTAATATTTGACACATTTAGATATAATGCCTATGTAAATAACAAGTGGTACACAATGAAAATGTATCCATTTTTAGTTTTAGCACAGAGCTTGTCTTGCTCCTAGTTACGTTTTGGATTTATTTGAAAATGTTACATATTATATTTTTTCAATTAAAATTTGTATATAAACCTTACTCGTGTTTTGTTTGATTAAGTACGATAGTACATGATTCTTAATTGGAGTCCTAGAGCTCTTAATATTATATTTAATTTCTTGGGAGATACCAACTCCGTTAGTGATTTAAACCTAAAATCTCCAGATTACATTAATCTCCAGATTAATATGTTTTAGTAATGAACTCGGAGGGTTTCGTTAGCTATTGCAACCAATGGATCATGATGGTCTCACAATGCATTTCCGAAAATTATTGAAAATGTAAAACAGAAAGAATACAAATTATTGTTTTCTCTATTATAAAAACAAGAGGAAACGTTATAGTCGAGTATCGCATCTCTAAAATACATATTCCTAACACTAACTTTTTAGCTCTTTAGTTCCCGAGATTTTTGCATTCGTGATTTGTGGGCGTTAGAGTGGGCGTGGCAGGATGCGCTGTCCCGGGACCTCAAGAATCTTCATGCTTAATCAACTTTGTATCTGCTATAGTTCCTGATATCTCAGCGTTCATACGGACGGACGGACTCGACTTCGCTATTGATCCTGATCAAGAATATATAAACTTTATAGTGTCGGCAACGCATCCTTCAATCTGTTACATACTTTTCAACAAATCTAGTATACCTTTTTACTCTACGAGTAACGGGTATAATAAAATTAAATCTTGAAATTACATTTTAGTATAATTAATAAAATTTGTATTTTTTCAGTTGTTCGTTTAGTATATTATAACTTACCCTTAACTTACCTTAACAAAGTTGGGAATCATTAAACAAGGCCTCAACAAAATTTAATCTATACTATTAAAAGAATAGAATACACATTTGGTATCAGTGGATTAAGAGGTCGGACGAATGCAATAATAATGTAATAATCAATGATAACGATACCCCTTAAGCCTATAAATATTTTAGAATTTAAGTACGATAACGTTGGGTCTAATAAGAATTAATTAAAGCTGTAACACATTTTTCGTTCACAATAACATTTACCGTCTTTATAAATTAAGACAATTATGAAGCTATATTTTAAACTCTAGTCAGAAATATGTATTTTAAACTGATCTGATGTGGGAACTCTGGTCTGAATAAAGTGGCTGATCGCTAGTAGTATAAACAAAAAGATTAGTCTCACAATGGACTCGAAGGTGCAAGAGCCGGACAAAGAAAGTGGAGAGGTGGTTATCTAAAAGAATAACTGAGCTCATTTAAACATCATTTTTTTATATCCTAATAGGAAGATGGGCAAAAACTACAGACCACTTCAATGAAATTCTCATGGGTAAGGACGCTAGGCAACAAAATTTCCCCCTAAAAGCTTTCAATTATAACCTACAAATTTTTATTAAACGAAAATAAATCAATTTTATTTATTACACTACATAATGACTAACATTTATCCAAAATCCAAGCACCAATTATTAGTTTGAATCTATGAAGTTGAATTACATACATATATTTATTCGTTAAATTAATTTCCAGAGAATTCCAAAATCGACAGATAAGCGTTTTACTTTGCTTTTTTTTTTTAATCAGAAGACTCTTATCGAGGTCAGGAAACCGTGACGTAGCACCTTTAATGCGCAATGTTTATTTTTTTGTTTTGATAAGACAAAATCTTAGAATAAAGATTCAATGCATACAATAATCCAAAGTAAATAATGTAAGCATTGATTCAACCATTTAGATTTTGGAAAGAACATACAATTTCTTTATCTGTTCGTCACTACCTTGACTGAAACCCCCACTGTGATATATAGTATACAAGAACAGCCAGCATGGTTTTCTTTTTTTCTTCTTTTATTATTTTAGAACGGAGAGATTGCCCGAGATAGAAATTGGATTCCTGATAATAGATCCAAGGAAAGTGAATTGCGCCCTGAGAGAATGGTTTTTCAAGTTGTAAGTATATTATTACTTGTTAAGAAAAACTATCCAAAAATATGATTTATTTCAAATTCATTCAATAGGATGCACTTGGGGGATTCCCAAGTTCCGAAGCGCAAACATTCGGCACAGTTTCTAAAATTAAGCTGCAGCCGCCCTTTGTCGTCATTTTGCATCACGTGGACTTTCAGAATGATCCCAAAATGCAAAGGAAAGGGAGCACCAAGGATGTGGAGGCTCTGCGCAACACATTCTGGAAGCTGGAATGTTCAATCACAGAAGTTGACAATCCGACATTAGCTAAGGTCAAGGAGACAGTTGCAATGTGTGGGTTTTTTTTTTCATTTTCATTATGAACTTAATAATATTAATTACATCTGTTTATAGTGTCTTCAATGGATTTTGCACTATTAGCTGGCTTGGTCATCGTCATCTTGAGCCATGGCGATAGAAAAGAAAGAATTATTACGTGCGACCACAGGGAGTACGACTTGGACTCTGATGTCTTATTTCCCCTCTTCGAAAATCCTTCCCTGGCTGGAAAACCTAAAATCCTAATAGTACAGGCATGCAAGGGTTCGTGGAAGGTGGATTCTGTGACAACTAAAAGGGATCCCTCCTCCTATATTAAATGGTACAGCTCGACAGAGGGTTTTGTTAGCCATCGTCATGAAAAAGAGGGCTCGATTTTTATACAAGCCGTAAGCAAAGTGATGGATAAATATGCCCTTGTGGAGGACCTTAAGTCAATTATTGAAAGGGTGGACACTGAGGTCAAAAATAAATGCCTATCCGAAGGGTGAGTGTATTTTTTGAGATCCGGGAAAATAATTTTCAATGTGTAATCGAATTTTGAACATTTTTTAGGCACAACACTATAACCTTTTACTTTAAGAGTACATACATATTAATTTGATAATATTATCTCGTTGCTTTCCAGGTTGAAGCAAATTCCATCATATACATCGACACTGAGAGAAAGATTCTGCTTTGGAGATTTTGTATCGAACGCATATGCTTCTACTTCTACTTCTACTTCAACTACTAATCAACAATAATTTAACCTATATATATTTTTTAAAAATGAGAGAGAAATAAAAGAGTTTATTATTCCAATCAGTCTTTAAAAACGGATGAAAAAAGGTAAAAGGTAAAAGGAGAAATTTGTCTACCTAATGTCTACTAACTAAAGCGGTCAGCGGCGACTAACTAACTCTATTTTTTTGTTAAGTTTATCAATAAAAAACGTAAAATTTAAGAGTACGACATTTTTTTCGAGATTGTATAAATATGAAACTTTTGGGTAATGTTAGCCTTGAAACTTTGGACATTGTTTTGAACAGGTAACTTCAGCAACATCGTATTGCGGGCATCACTGGCACAGATGTTGCTGAACACCCCAGAATGTTGCAATGTGTTTAACATGTTGAAATAACCGTTATCAACTAATATAAGGTTAACAACAAATAAGAAATTGTGAGTAGCGTATCTCCATTTGGCATTTGCCACCGCCTTTGTGTATATTGATTCACTTCGTCCGGATACGTGAATTTATATAGATATTTATTTGTATAAAGATAGGAACCGATTGTAAAAAAATTTACTGTCTATTACTGCAATTGCGGCAATCAGTTTACTGTACGACAGCAAACGAACACCATGTATTTCCCTCCTAAGCCTGAGCACCAAAAAGTACGTATTATAAATATATATATGCAAATATTAATGTTATTAGTGTTATAAATAATATTATTGCAACCTAAAATCTGCAGATTACAAAGCTTTATGAAGGGAATGAGCAGTATAATCCCATTGCAAGAGTATGTATTAGTAATACGACACCTTCGAACTATTTTAATATAATATATATATCAGGGTTCCGATGCTCAAAGATTTAATGGGAACCTAAAACGACCTGTTGTATATATCTTTAACCACGAGGAATTCACAAATAAATCTATAAACCGACCAGGCAGCACAACGGACGTCCAAGCTCTGCGTAAAACCTTTAAGAACATGAAATGTGAGGTTAACGAAATTTCCAATCCCACATCGGCTGAGGTTAAGAATAAAATTAGGGAGTGTAAGAATAAGAATTGACCATTATTTCTTGCTTTGGATATTCAAAAGTTTTAGTTTACAGTGGCTGGAAAATCATTCGACCGTCTGTCCGGATTCGTCATCGTCATCTTGAGTCATGGAGGACGAGGAGAGAGGATTGTGGCATGTGACAGTAACATGTACCATTTGGATGATGACATTCTCTTTCCGCTGTTCGCAAATAAATCTTTGAGAGGCAAGCCAAAGATCCTTATTGTGCAGGCCTGCAAGGGCGAATGGGAAGCAGATGCGGCATTAATAAGAAGAAACAACGAACCTTATATTAAGTGCTACAGCAGCTCCGAGGGTTTTGTTAGCTATCGTCGCCCATCTAAAGGTTCGATTTTTATACAAACCTTGTGCAACGAAATGGATCATGACGGCCTTACCAAGGATTTCCGGAAAATCATTGAGAATGTAAAACAGAAGGTCGAGAATGAATCCAAATTGGAAGGGTATGCTATAGTAAATTTATTTTGAATTCATTATTAATATGCTAACTTTGTTTCTTTGTTTTACAGAAGCAAGCAAACACCTTCTGTGTGCTCAAATCTAACAAAACCATTTTGTTTTGGAGACTATGATCCATAGAGTAAATAAATTGTGAGCACGAAAAGAAATTACTTTAAGGTCTCCAAAAATATTAAAAAGCCTATAAAATTGTATAAACTATATGATAACGATATTAAATGACTTACATATTTCTTAAAATCTTCTTTTGATTGTTTTCTTCATTACCCTGTCCATTGGTTAGTTATAAATAAATTAATAACAATTTGATTTACCCACTGGTTTTTAGTAATTAATGACACTTAACATGAAGATGTTTGAAAAAAAATGTGACTCATAGAAAGCAATTAAAAAACGATATCTTTACAACTAAAAGATTAGAATGAACCTTTGGAAATGCAAACAATGATAGTAACTAGTACTCCAGTTGTCTAAAAGACTAACCCTTTAACTGAACCAACCTTATATCAAACTTCATACGAGTATAAAAATAAACTGTTTAAAAACAATTATAAATAAATAACAAGTGCTTAAAACGATAATTTGTTTACTAAAAAAGAATCAATTTAAATTGTAAAATATTTTTTCACTTATTGCAGAAATATTAACAATTTTCTACACTATAATAATCGAAATTTTTGAAATAATACACTTTACTCCAATCACTCTTATATTCATCAGACCAATAAAAACTAATTTTTTTAAACATATATTTCAGAGATGTGGTAACTCTAGAAAAGCTTTAAGAATGCGCCAGCGGCTTTTAAAATGGCTGATCGCTCTTAACGCCAAAGTTAGTTATATGGTGAAGAGGTGCTTATCTAAAAATGACTAAGCGCCATCAATTACTATTTTTATTGTTGTATCCTAACAGGAGGATGAAGAAAATCTTCAGATCACTTCAGAGGAATTCTGATAGGTAAGGACACAAGCTGACAATATTTCTTAACAAATATTTAATAGTTAGTAAGTTTTTGTTTTCTTTTATAGCGATTATTCCAAGAAACAGATATTTCTGTATTCAAAACACTTTTTAAAAGACGTACAGCTTTTAATGATTTAGAATTAAAATTTTTTATAAGCTAGTCCATTTGTTTAACTATCGTTGAGTCGATTTTGTCAGATAGCAGGATACAGAAACTTTAGGTTTTTTAGTGTCGTGTTCGGATTGTAAATCGAGTCGCCCAAAGGATATCTCAATTTTAAATGAGTTAACTGAATAGATGCATACAATGTATTGCAATTAACTCAAATATTATTGGGGATAGTAGCCCTTGGATAAAAGGATAAAACAATCCGTCAACAATTAGAGCTTATGTCGAGGTAATCAAGCTTCTCTGACTTCTGGAGGACTTCTCACTTGGACATAAAACGAGTAGACGACGAGCCAAAAGTATATAGCAATGCCTGAAAGTTATGTTCTTACAGCATGCAGTAACAAAAATCCACAAGTAACTCACAAATATATATAACCGATGCAGGGACAACTACCTCCCGGTATGGTTCTTCGTTCACCAGCTGGTAGATGCAGTACACAGTCATGATTAAGCAGTTGGTCAGGCTAGTGATAAGAAAGAACATCAGCAGGATCGTTGATTTCTATGGTCCATTTTTGAGTTAGGATAATGGGATGAGCTACTGATTGTGCCTGGACTTACGATTAAAGCTCCGCCCAGTAAGAAGGTGCAACCAATGCAATGGCAGATGGCAACTGCCTGCTCAATGTGTGCAACAAACTCCTCTAAATGTTGGGGGTTGCATTACAAGAATGGGATTATGAATGGATATATCAATCAGACACTTACGACCGGACAGGTTGAGCACCACCACGTTGATGAGGAAATCCAACACAGCGATTATGATGCAGGCCTTGCGCAATTTAATGCAAAAGCAGCATCTTTTGAGCATCTTAAAATTTTGATCAATAAAGGCTAGAAAACTGATTGAAAAGGCGCAGCAATCGTCAGAGAACCAATGGGCTTAGAACTCAAGATAGGAATATATGTTCTCATAATGCGTTTTGGAAGGATTACAAATATAGTAAATAAGTATGGATTTTAAATTGATTGGAAACAAGACTGTATTATTTTGACACTAAATACTAAAATTACTGATATAAATACAAGATTTGTACGAGGATCGTCAAAAATGTATTATTTTATTATAAGTATGTATAACCTAATCAATATCCTTGATTTGATGTCATCACAAGAACAAGTATATTAATGGTATTTACCCGTTTTCATGGGTTAGTAACCCTTCGATAGCCCGAGCACCCCATTAATTTTTATGTGCCAGATCGTCGATCGCAATGACCGTCCCTGGCCTAACAACGGAACGTGCGATCGTGTCAATCGAGTTATATAATAAATTACAAGTGAAACATCGCAATCGACCATTAAAGTGTATGCTTTTCGCAAATATTGGCCGAAAAGGAGCCGGGAAGACCCAAACAAAACAAAAAACAGAACGTGACGACGACGGGCCCCTCCCGACCATTTCATCTGTTGGCCTGGGCAGCTTTTGGTTTCGTTTTCATCACTAATGGGAGGGAAGGGAAACCGTATTCGAATCCGAATCGGAAACGGAATGCAAGTCAACTCGAATCGAAAACGAAACCGAAATGGGCACAATGCGTCGTCGGGTAATTTGTATGCATCGCGAATTGCAGGCGGGGATTGAAGAGCTCCGCGTAACGCGATTGGGAAGCCATCGGAAATATTATGCAAAGGCGGGGGTAATGCGAATGTCTGTGGCTATGGATTCATATAAAATGCTTGATTGACCTGCAGCAGTAGCTTCATTCGCAGCCGAACCATTGACAAGATCAACAACATGCAGACGCAGTGTATCCTCCTTCTTTTGGCCGTCAGTCTGGCCATATGTGTGGCCCGTCCGGAACCACCGAAATCCCGATATGGACCACCACCACCACCAGCTCCACAAAAGGAATACGGTCCTCCGGCTCAAGCGGCCCAGCCTTTACCCGTTTATGGACCACCAGCAGCCTTTTACGGACCGCCAGCTGCCTCGGAGGCTCTCGTTACCAAGAACGTGTATGTCCATGTGCCCCCAGAGGAACCGGAATTCTATCCGGCATCATCGCCCATCCAGACAGCCGTTCCCAAGAAGCACTATAAGATCATCTTTATCAAGGCACCGAACCCACCGACACCCGTGCGCCAGGTGCTCCCACCACCGGTTCAGGATGAGCACAAGACCTTGGTCTATGTACTGGTGAAGAAGCCCGAAGAGCAACAGCCCCTCATCCTGCCCGCTCCCGAGCCCACGGAGCCTAGCAAGCCGGAGGTGTACTTCATCAAATACAAGCAGCAACAGGCCAAGCCTGCTACCCAGTACGGTCCACCGCCCTCTGCCCCCTCGGAGGAATACGGAGCACCACCTGCCCCACGCACCGTCGAGCAGTTCTAGTTTGTAGTATCGCCTAGGTCCACAGCCCATGAATGTAAATATTATTTATGATCGCTGCCATTAAAGAGAGTTTATAGAATGCAAAATCAGCCGGATCTTTAAATCTTTAGGATATCACAGACTGCATAATTACTTATTCAAGGGATAACTTGGTAAACGGCAATTTAAGATGTTCCTTGTAAATATCGAAAGCTTGAGATATGAACAATGGCAAGTCAACATGTCACTCTGAGCAAAATGAGCTCAGCACTCAATATTTATTTTGTTTGTCAAAAGGCGTTTTTTGCATACAAATGAGGCTTTATTTTTATGATAAATAGCACCTACACAAGAGATTGAGAAACGATAATTGCAATTAAAAAAAGTGAGAAAAACAAATGGAAAGTTATACTTATTATTTGTGCTCAATAAACATTGAGTAACCTTAGGTACACCAAAAAGAATATTAAATTTTATAATTGGCAAGGATAGATAGGCTTTCTAATCTTTGAAATCCATTGAAATACCTTTTTTGGTGATATATTTTTTGCTGATCTAGCTATGTATATCATTATTATAATTTGTATATATAATATATAAAATATAAGTAAAGTAATCAATCGAATTGGTCTTAAATTAAAAATCAATTAAAATTAAACTCAGGAGTCCTTCAGACGATCAAAATAGGAGAAGACCACCAACCAGAAGTACAAGCCAAGAACTATAATGAAGTTTAACAAACAAATACCTAAAAATAAATAAAATCTTACGGGATTGGAGTATATCAAAGACAAGATATTCATTGACAATTCCCTCTGTGGCTACAAATATGCCCTCGGCGACCAAAAGAATAAAACGAAGACAGGAAACCGAGAGGTACGGCAACAGAAAACATCTTAATCCCTAAAATTACAAATATTTGTATTTTGTATTTCCAAACTAGTACAAAAGCTCACCAGCACGGCTCCAAGGAGAAGGAATAAGCAGCAGATTACATAGGTACCGCTTACGATGAGAGAGAAAAGTCCCAAGAGACTGTCGCCTTGCAAAGTAGGGTTAAGTATTCATTTACATAGTGAGTCGATACTTACGATCCACAAAGAACCGATCCAACCCACGGATGAGTACTTCAACGATGGCTATCAGAATGCAGCCACACTTAAGTTCTACACAGCAACAGCAATTGTCCGTGTATATCATTTTCGGTTCAGTTTGATTTTCAATGCTGTCTTAGATACTCTACGCCTGGCCAACTGTCTTACAACAGCCGGTAATTATGTTCGAGGCATAAATTCTGATCACGTTTAATTTTCTATTGCGGTCTGCATAATTAATAGGCTTTTTGTGGGCTTACACCAATTAGGGTCAATGTCATCGAATTGCAGTGCCAGATTATCAGTCTATATAGTTTACTAGAGAAATAAACCATACAAAATTAGGGTCTAGCGAATAAAAGAAATTCCATTTTCCAATAACAACCAGAATAAAAGCCTCAAATTTTTGACCATACATATTTGTTTATTCGGATATCTATAGCTAGGTGAATGTACAAGAACCTAAGATCTTTGCGTCTTGGCAGGCGAAAAGAATGTTGTGTAAAAAGTGTAGTTGTAGGTCTACTTAGATTAATAATAGTTAAATGCGAGGAGAATTCTTAAATACTAGGCCCGTACACGCAATGATTATAGTCAGCCTATAGCGGACTTTCGTCTTCGGGTCCGCCGAACTCCTCGCCCTAGGGGAATCGTCCGCCGCTATTGAAGTTGTTTGGGGATGGACGACGGATTGGACGCCGACTGCGGGACCTTTGCGAGAATTGGCGATTATTGGCTGGCGGCATCTGGTCCCTCTGCATGTTTCCTGGCGATGTTTCCCTTTGCCAGACAATGCGCTGCGGCCGGTTTTGATTGTTTGGGCTGCCTCCCCGCATCATTGCGCGACTACCGCGTCGTGTGGGAACTGCACTGCGCAGTGTCCGAAAACGCGTGTTCTCCGACGGGGAGGTGGCCTCTGCCTCTCGACCCTCCTCCTAGAAAGGCAGAAAAATCATCACGTTAGTTGGCGCAGACACAAGTTTCTTTTTAGCTAATTATAAATCGAAAATTTTGCACTTGCTTTTAATGTTAAAACGAAGTTAAAATTAAATCCGAATGGTGGGAAATGGCTAAAACCGTAACTCGGAGTTATTAGTAACATTCAAAACAGATTCAATCCCATGCAGGGTCTCACTCGGACCAACCTGCTTTTCTCCACCGTTATCTAGCCATCAAAGAAATTGCTATTTTGGACAAGAATTCGTCCTTACCTCAACACCCACCGCCGGCTTCTCACCCTCAGAGGAGACGCCATCGGCGCCCTCGTTGTCCTCGGTGGGGTTGCCCTCGGCAAGATTGGCCTGGTTATGGGACACCTCAGATTGACTGGTGCCCACATTTGGATCTAGACGATTTAATTATTAGTTATTGTTTCTTAGGGGCACTTTTTCTAACTTACTATCATTTCCTAATGGCTGTGAGTCTTCTTCTTGGCCAGTAGCCATTGTCTCTTCGGCGAAAGCCTCATCTGCCTCGCTGGCATTTTCTGCTTCCCCAGCATGATCACCTTCGTGAGTTGCCTTGTTGGCGTCGCTGACACTGCTTTCTCCTGCATCACTCTGTTTTTGCGGAGAACTGGCGGTGGCAGCTCCCTCATCACTCGGTCCTGCGATATCGTGCGGAGCAGCCTCGGCCACCTCGGCGGTGCCGTCGACTTCGGCGTTTTCCAAGCAGGCTGGCTGCTCACTAAAGTTTGACACTTGCGGTGAGCTCACAATCTCAACGGAGCTGTTAAGATCAATTCAATTAGTTTTGCCCATAAATGAAAATCGATTTACCTACCTTTCGTTGCGTCGAGCGGCTGCTGTGGACGTTGAGGCCGCTGCCTGTTTCCAGTTAGATGCTTCAGCCTGTGGCAAAGTTACCGGATTCGAGGACTCGCCACTGCCACTGGTAATGGCCTGGCTTTGGTTGTTCTCCTGAGTAGAAGCAGATGCGGTCGCGACTGCCTGGCTATCTAGCGATTGACTTTCCTCCTGTGCTTGCATATGCTGCTCAGGCACCTCTTCGATATCCACTTCGTTGTTGTCCTGGGCATCTACAGCCATGTCATCGTCGGCGCCCTCGTTGTCGTCCATCTCGTTGTCCTGCTCATAGGAATCCTCATAACCCTCCTGTTCAGCCTCACCTCCGTCAATGGGGCCATCATCAGCATCGGCTAGAACGTCTTCCTCGTCATCTGAGTCAACAACTTGGATGTCGTCCTCCTGATCGCGCTGCGAAGATGTTGGCATCTGATCGGCATCCATTCCGGAATCGCCAATGTGTCCAGCGGAGAGTTCTCCACTATGCATGGGTACGCGAAGTCGCTTTGTCATCTTTGGCATTTTTTCGGGAACGCCCTCTTCGTTGGTAGTAGAAGAGTCACCCTCCACGTCGCGTGGTCGCTTGATGCCCTGGGATGAGCAGCCGGCTTGGGTGGTCGTCACATTGCTGCTGGATGGGGTGTGCCTGCTGTGGCTACTCACCACCGTAGATGAGCTGCTGCTGCTGCCCGAAGTGCTGGGTTGTTGGCTTTGACTCCCGCCATCCTGTACACTGGGAGCAGTGGCATTTGGTACAGACGTGGAGCTGGATGAAGATGACGATCCTTCCACGCGAGGCGATACGAGAGCCACAACTTGCTGCTGGGCTCCGCCCACGAACAGTTGTGAGTCGTTCTGCTGCGGATGTTGGATGCTCTCCGCCTCCTGGGAACTTTCCGCTGCGGATGAGGCACCCATTGGTGGAATAGCAGCCACGGCCACAGATGCAGAGCTGGTGGATGGCATATAATCGGTGTGCGAGGACGTGGGCGATGAGGAGGCCATCGATTCCAAAGCGGCATTACCAGTGGTGTGTACCTGCTGCTGCGGTGGCACTAGAGCAGTTTGGGCAACAGCCGAGCTCCCTCCGCTGGCTGCAGCGGATGTAGTTGAAGTCGATGAAGATGATGAAGAAGTGGACGTACTGGATCCAGCCGGAGGTTGTTGACTGGTAGGCAGAATAGCGGCCGTGCGGCTGTTCTGCACAGAAATGGGACGGATGCTGGCCAAAGGAGTTTCGCCGCCACGCCAGGGAGTCACGGTGGCCGATTGCTGCACTGTGGCCGATCCGGACATGGGCTTTACGTTGGCAGTACGTGGAGAACTCTCTGAGATGTTGCCCTTCTCGGCAACAGAGCTGGTTGACGGTTTGGTGGACTGCTGCGATCCCAACTGACGGGTTAGCTGATTAATTCTCATGTGAAGGGATTCGTTTTCACGTGTAAGTCGCTGATTTATGTCTTTATTGGCAGCAATGTTCTCCTGCAGCTCCTTTTCCAAACGCGCTATGGTTTCGTCGTAAGAGGACTTGGTGCCAGCTAAGGTTGTCTCCTGGTTGGCCAAATCAGTACGAGCCACGGTAAGGTCCAGTACAAGTTTGTCCAGCTTGGCCTTATATTCCTGGCGCACAGCGCTTGCATCAGTCTCTGGCTCTGAACGTTTCTTCAGCTCCTCGAATTCTTTGGTAACCTTTTCATGTTCTTCTTTTAATGCTCGAAGTTGATTATTGACCTCCTCCAATTCGCCGCGAATCTTTTCCAATTCCGCCACGGACTCGGCTCCTCCGGCTTGGGCCTGTAGACCAATGTAGTAGTCCTTGTAGCGCTTGGCCAGTTTGCGCAACTGCAGCTCCTTAGTGTCTTTGTCTGCAATGGCCTTGTCTTTCGTTTCTATATCTTCGTTAGCTTTTATGAGCTCTTCTTCCTTTTGTAGCAAGCGATTCTTCAGTTCCATGATGTCCTGGGTTTGGCGCGCATTGTTTTGTTTAAGGTTGCTGAATTCGTCCACCTGCTTCTTACGAGCCTCGTCAAGCTGTTGCAGGTGCTTGTTTAGAGATGGTATCTCTGTGTCCATGCGCTGTTTCAGCAAGGTCAACTCATCCGATTGCTTCTTGGTCAGCTCTTTCTCGGCGGTGAGCAACTTGGCCAGGTGCTCGCGTTCAGCCTGCAGCCGTTTGAACTCCTCGGGATTGCGATTGCTCTTCTCCACAAGCGCATTAGCACGCTGCCGCCACCTGAGGGCTTCGGTGCGCAGCGAGGAATTCTCCACATTAATCTCCTCGATCTTCGATGTCAACTCCTTGTTGGCGCACTGCAGTGGGAAAAGTTCCTTCTCCACGCTGCTGATGCGGTCAGTGAGTTCAGTGACGCGAAGAGTTAAAGTATTTCGCTCCTCACGCAGAATGCGGTTGCTGTCGGTGATGGCATTCAGGGTTTCGATCTTTCGCAGCACCTCCTCATGCTTATTGGCCGACACTACATCCGTTTGGCTCTTGGTACGCTCTTGGTTCAGATAGCCATTGAGTTCATCCACCTTCTTCTGCTGAATGGTGTGCTCCGACATCAGACGCGCATTTTCTGCCTTTAAGATGTCCAGCTTGGCCGCGAAGAGATCTTTCTCCTTGCGGAGGAACTTGATGATTTTCAGTAGCTGCTCGTTGTTTTTACCCTCTTCGCCACCGGTCAGTCCAAAAGCATTTAAGCTCTGATCTGCGTCCACGACAGACTCATTCAGCGTAGTGTTAGGATTCTGGCTTTGACTGGCCAGAACAGCCAGTTTGGTGGCCAGGGCTTCGAGTTGATCGTGCAGACTGGAGTTCAAAGCATGCAAATCGGCCAAGCGCTGTTCTGATTCCTCCTTCTCCTTGTCGAGCAGCTTCTTGGCTTCCTCATTGGAACGCACGAGTTCATCGTATGCGGCTTGCAGTGATTCGCGACCGGACTTCAGTTGATTGAGCTCGTCGTTGGCCTTATAGAATTCGGTCTTGTAACGGGTTAGCTCCTGGATGTCCGCGGAGTGCTGTACCATTCCGTTGGCGTATTTAACCTCTACGGCATTTAGCGACTCAGCCAGCGTGCTGTTTTCGCTACGCAGTGTGCGAATGGTGCGATTAGATTCCGTGAGCTTCTCCAACACACTCTTAAGCTCCTCTTGGGCTGATTGTAACTGACTAGACTGGTTTGTAGTTTTGCTTTGCTCGGTGACGTTGGACAGCATAGCTTCCGCTTCCAAATCGGAGATCCGGGTCTTAAGTTCAGCCTCGGAATTTTTAAGCTTTTTAATTTCCTCCTCCTGCTGCGCCACCATTTCACTGTGCATATCGTGCAAACGCTTGATCTCGGTCTCGGCACTCTGTGACATCTTGTAGAATTGCTCTCCGTGCTCCCGAGCCTTTGCCAGCTCTTTGGTAAGCGACTGTATCTCTACTGTGGCCTGATCCAGTTTGAGTTCCAACTCCCGGGCTCGCTTATTAGCTGCCGCGATGGGGTTCTCGTTAATCGAGGGCGTGAGGCTGTCCTGTAGCTTTTTGCTTAAGGTATTGACCTGGATCACCTTCTGAGCAAGCTCTTCTCGGACACTAGTAAGCTCCGCCTGCCACTTCTCGGCTTGTTGCTTTTCCTCCTCTTTCAGCTTAATAGCTGTCTCCGCCTGTCGCTTGAACTCGTTAATTGATTCACGGAACTTCTCCTCCTCCTCTTGGAAGTGACGCCGTTGGGCAGACAGTTCCCGTACCGTGTCATCCAAACGCTGCTCCAAGCGCTGGCGTCCCTCCATCTCGGATCGCTCTAAGTTGGTCTTTATAAACTCTAGACTGTTCAAGAGCAGGGATTGGCTCTGCTGTTCCCGGTAGTAGGTCTCCTTTTCGACCTGTAGACGGGCAGTTGTGTCCTTCAGGATGCGATTCTCCTGGAGCAGACTGTGGGCCTCTGACTCGGCCGCTGCGTGCTTACGGTGGGCGGACATCACCTCATCCTTGAGCATGTGAACAGTTTGCTCGTGTTTGATTATGGTCTTCTCGTAACTCTTGGTGCGCTCTTCTAAAGTGGCGATCTGTTGTTTATATGTTTCTATCATTTTGTGCACCTGTTCTATTTGCTCCTTCTGGAATTCAGTCGCGTTCATCAGTTTACAGTTTGTGCTGGTTAGCTCCCGCACCTCCTTACGCATAGCGTCGAACTGCTCTTGGGCCAGAACCTCGTTTTTACGCTTTTCGTTGGTGTAGTAGTCGTAGTTTTCCTTCAGAGAGGCATACTTCCTGACCTCCTCTTCTAACTGCTGCTCTAGCTGGCGAACTCTTTTTTCCAGCTTGCTGATCTCTTCCGCCTTCGCGGTCGACTGCGTTGATGTTTCGAGCACAGAGTCGTTGAGCTCAAGATTGGAGTCGTCCAAGTCCACAGTCTTTTGCCCCAACTTCTTCTGAGCCGCGAAATAGAACTTTTTGTACCGTTCACACTTGGACGTCAATGAGGTGACTGTGTTGTTCTTTTGCGCCAATCGCACCTCCATTTCGGCAAAACGTGCATTGAGTTTGTTCACTTGCTCTTCAGATTGCTCCAGCAAAAGCTTGTGTTGGTTCTTTTCACTCGCCTCTAACAATTCTGCAAGATCCCGAGAAATATTTAGGAGTTGGCCATTCTTTTCGACTAACTCCTCTATAGAACTGAAAGTTACCAAATTATCGTTGATCACATGCTCGCTGGTGGTCGGCTGTCTTGACTGTTGGTTGCGGATGTGAGGCACTCCGGCCCTTAGACAGTTCACTTCGTCCAGCAACATGCACACCTGTCGGCCAAGATCGTTGTGCGTCTGTTTAAGCTTCTTATTCTCCTTTTGGCAGTGAGTCAGATTGAACTGAGTCCGGTCAAGTTCATGCTCTAGGGATATCTTCCGCTCGGCCAACTCTTCATGCTCTTGCATTAGCTGGCCGTAAGCCTCCTTCATCTTGTTGTATTCGGCGTTCTGTTTATCCAATATCGGGGCATTCTCACTGATCTCCCCAAGGATCGATTTCACCTGCAGTTTCAGTTGCTGGATTTCTCGGTTGCGCAACTCTAGTTCCTCGCTGTTCTTAGCGTACATAGAGTAAAGTTCTGTGAGTGATAGATCGGTGCGCATAAGGCGACTGGCCACCGCCGCACTTGGGGACAATTTACAAATAGCGCTTTCCAGGGTGCTCTCTTGAGCTGCCTTTAGTAATTCGTTTGCATTGGCCAACTCAATCTTTAGAGCTTCAATCTTCTGGTTTTGCTCATCCAGCTCAGCGGCATGCTTCTGCTTAAGAGTTGTTATTTCCGCCTGTAACTGGGCACCCTGCTCCTCGCCCTCCTCTACCAGGCGTTTCATCTCGGCGATGCCTTGTAGGAGTTCCTCACGTTGGAACATATGGTCAGCCTCGGTGTTTTTGAAGAGATCGATAAGTTTCTCCTTGGCATCGAGTTCTTTCTTTAGCGTCTCCACATACTCTTCCGACGCCTGATTTTGCTTGTAGGTGACGTCGTTTTGTGTCTCCACCTTGCGGTTTAGATCTTCGATGTTCTTGATCGCCTGGTCATACTGACCCTGAATCAGCTGCAAGGAATCGGTCTTCTCCTTGACCTGCAACTCCAGTTGCATGATATTCAGTGCATGCTCACGCCGAATGTTTTGCAGCTCAGAGTTGTTTCTGTTGAGATCTGCGCTTAGCAGTTGGATCTCTTTCTGCAGCATATGACGTTCGCTCTCCATGCGGCCCTCCTTGAGCTCCAGAGCCACCTCCTTGCTCTGGATTTCATCTAAGCGGGCTATGGCTTCGCACTTGGCAGCAATGGCGTTGCTAAGCTGCTGTTGATAGGTATGCAGATCTTGTTTTACCCGCTCCAACTCGGCCTGCTGGCGTTCGATCACGTTCATCAGCGAATCCCGTTCCTCGACAACAGAGCTCTTCTCCTTACGCAACTGAGACACATTCTGCTCGGCACTGGCAACTGTTAGTAGGAGCTGAGCACGTTCGGATGACATTTGGTCCAGCTGGTCGCGCAGCTCGTTAACATTTTTCTCAAAGTTGTTGAATTTGACGTGGTAGTCCTCCATTTTGTTTCCCATTTCTTCGCTTTTTTGCTCTGCTTCGGCTGTGGGAAAAAGGAAAATATGATTAATAACCATGCTTTTTTTTAATGTAGTATAATGGAGTCATTAGTTTAAACTATTTTGTAAAATATAACTTGGAGTGCCACAAAGAAATAGTGTTTTAGGTTTAACAAATTATATAATTATTTTTAAGAAAACGGTTTTCTTTTTCTTAAAAACTTTCGACCGGGTCCTTTAAAGAACATTGGCTCTTATAGGGACATGGCTTTGTAAAATATTTTTACTCTTGACATTAGCTGTATCCAAATGAATAAAGGAATATAAAGGCCATGTTGGATAACCTACATGTATCGGACATAAACGCCTATGATTGCCAGCACCTGATTTTCTGACTTCTAATATCTACCACCATGTAGCAAAGTGATTTCAAAATGAGATTTGAATATTGCGGCGATTTAATGTTTTGGTGGGAAAATGGCTAGGCCGGTGTTACCACACTGCCTGCAGATAAAAATTAAGCAGAAAAAAGTACTTGCAGCAGCCATTGTTTTTCGGTTGCAAGAAGCCGAAATGTCAATGAAAATGCAACAAATGAGTGAATGTATATTAGAATAATGTGGATTGTATGTGGATTTCATAACCCAAGATTAAAATTGAGCCAAGCCAATTTATTGCTTTCTTTTGCAAGCTACAAGTAGTAATGAGCCGGCAAGGCAAAAATAAAATGGGAGTCTCTAAGAAACTTGCAATGTAACTCACAGGTATTAGGAGACCTAAAGCGGACAATATATACATAAAAGGCACTTGTACAAACTCACCCAACCGATTGGCGGCCGCTCGGTTATTGCAGTATTCATCCGAAAATTTTTGTATATACGCCGACAATTTCGTCTGAACGTCTTCCGGCACGAGTTTCAACTCGTCGGGCTGAAGTATTTGGTTCAGAGATTGTGGACCGCTGAGATCCATGTTCGCAGTTGGTCCTTGTCAAGCAGTGGTGAATATCAAGTTTAGCGGTGCGAAATATATAAATTATGCTTAGTTTTTTGCAAATTTGCACTCAGCCGCCAGAGACGCGAAAAAATGGAATAAAGTGACTGGACGCTGTAGCGATGGAACAAAAAATGTATCGACGATACTATCGACAGTTTCGTAATATCGATGTCTTCCTTGCCGATTACCGTAACTGTTATACGACCATGCACAGCTGTTTGGGAATTAGGTGTAGGATGTTCACACAGGCCAACTTGTATAACTGTGGTTGAAAAGTTATCGAACGATCCATATTTATAAAAAAAAACGAGTAGAAAATGGAAAATAATCATAAACATAAGAATACTTGCATTTGCTTTTCATATTCGTTCTATTTAACCCCATAAAACTCTTTAAACCTCTTGATTTGGTGTTTATTTTGTAATTCCTTTTTTTGGGTAAATGTCTCACAACAACTAATTTAAGTCTAGGGTAATGTAATGCGATGTTCTTAAGTCAAGCCACCGATCTTGCTATAGCCTCTTCTTATTTTCCTGCACCACGTTTGAGTTCGTTCTGATATGGGCATGCGAACCTAGATCTATAGTCGGCCTATATAACCATCTAATCGGGCATGGATCGTAACTATCATATTATAAAGTTATATATGGGTATTTGTAGTTCATGTCTTTTAAACTCAGTTCTTTTTGCGCAACTTTTGGTGCTCAGTTGTTGGTTGGTTGTTTTACATTTTGGTTTCTTCGTTTGAATCTCCTCTCACACATCCTTTTGCTGTTGCTCAACCAAAGGATAACAAGCGTTTGGGTGCGAGTGGGCATGGATTGGTTAAGACTGGTTAAAGGGATGAGAACGTTCGGATAGTATTAATAGTAACTGGTAGAATCAGCAATATCGGTGAGGCATTCGAACTCTGAAACTCAGGAACTCAACTAGTATTTGATCGCTACTAAAACACGATTAACTTATGGGGGCAACCAACTAATTAGCAACCACCTATTCCTAGGCCTCCTCGCAGTCCTCCTCCTCGCGATGTACAAACAACCGATGGTTGCGGGCCTCCAGTATGGACCACACTACCAGCGGAGTGCAGCCTAGCACCATACAGGATCCCATGCAATAGAAACAGATCTCATAGTCCCCGGAGAGATCTCGCATCAGTCCCGCCAACGGGGGCACTGAAATGGCACCGATGCTCTGGAACATTCTTACTAGCCCATAGCTTGAGCTAATCCTGTCCGTTCCAAATACATCTGCCAGAAGAACGGGCATCAGGACATACCAACTGCCCAGGCAAAGACCGTAGACAGCAGCCGAAAGACCAACCAGAATCAAGGTCTTGGCGAAGGGTATCGTTAAGACAGCACATCCGGCCCCCAAAATGCTGTCAATAGAAAAAAAATCATCTTAGTTTGGATCAAAAAATGCCCGACATTTCTCTACTAACCACAAGGTATAGGTCTTTTTGCGATCAAAGAGCTGCAGGTCACACAGCCAGCCGAGTCCCAATCGTCCTATTAAATCCAGGACCGCACTAATGGCTACCAGGTATCCAGCTTCGCTTTTATTGTAACCTGAAAGAAAAATCAAATGTGTAAGCAATTCTAAGCAAAGTTTGAGTTAAAGATATCCTTAGGTACTTAGATCTCTCACTAAAGGATAAAGATTACCCACTTGAATAATCTAGATATTGTTGTATTGATCTTAGCCTTTGTTAAGCTTGATCAAAGCTCTGATCTCGGAAAATAAATTATTTTCTTACCTATCGAGATAACGTGTGCGGGCAGGTAGTACAGCATATAGGGACATCCGACGGACATAAGAGTAACGGAGAGGCACATCAGGATGAAGCTCGGATCCTGTAGTAGGCTTATATCCAGGTACATCTCTATGCGTTCGCAGCAAGTGCGTGGTCCCTGCTCCTCGTCATCTTCGTCATCGTCATCGACGGCGCCATGGCAGTCGCTATCTATGGACTCCACCAGCTGGGAGTCTAGGATGACGTGTTCCGCTTGCTCTGTCGGCTGCTGCTTGAGATCACTAAGGTTGCTCACCGGGGTGGGAATCTCCATGCTCTTACTAAGACCACGACTAACCACACTCGGTGGCGACAGAGGTTTCTCCAAATGGGCTTGGATCTTTGAGATCACTTCGTCGTTGGCAAAGACATTGCGCCGACGACGACTTCCACGATTCGAATCCGTGCCGGAGTGTTTGCGGTACACCCATGTGGAATCCGTGCTGAGATCCTCCACAGAGTGCAGTAGCCCGGAGCTGCGCACCTTCTTCATGGGCTTGATGAAGGTGGTCTCACCAATAATGTCCTTCACCTCGTCGTCGCTCTCCTGAGCTGATTTGTCCTGGGCTGAGGTAAAAATTCGATTAAGTAATCAGGACATTGGAACACTTATCTGCCTCACCTGGCTGCTTGCTGGCGTAGTAGTTAAGGTGGTTCTTGGACTCCTCCAGAAAGAGATGCTCAATGAACTTGTCGCTCAGCTCATGACCCGCACCCACCTCGCAGGTGTCCAGGTAGGTGGATGTGGTCAGTATGCCCGTGGTACTCGGATTGATATCCTCGTTGAGGGGTTTCGCTGTCTCCTCTTGCCCCTGCCCCGAGTCCTGATCCGTATAAGCACTGATTGGGCGATACAGGGTAGCGGAGACGCAGACGTGCAGCATGCAGCCGCCCAGGATGAGGATGGTGCCATGGAAACCACAGTTCTCCGCAAGGTGCTTTATCAGCACGGGCAAGATGAAGCTACCAGCTGCGGTGCCCGAAACGCAGATGCCATTTGCCAGAGCACGGTGCTTATCAAAGTACTGGGACACTATTACAATGCCCGGAGTTGTCGAGAGTCCTCCACCAATTCCTGTACAAGAAATATGAAACTTTCATGATAAACTTTTTCTAAAGGGCAATTACTATCTTCAATTCACCTGTAAGTATGCCAAAGGTGAAAAGCAGGTGCAGCAGACTGGTGGCAAAGTAGCTGAGTATCATGCCCATAGCACAGAAGATGCCGCCGACGAAGACCACTGCCCGGCAGGAGAATCGCTGGCACAGGGCACTCGACAATGGAGCAAGGACAAGGCAAAGAGCCGATAGGATCGCTGGAATCCAGGAGGCCACCGTGGCCGTGGAACTGGGAAACGTCTCCATGATTTCAACGTACAGCACACCATACGACTTGACCAATCCGGCCACCCAGAACTGCACGGAGAACGCACCGAAGACGATAAACCAGCCATAACCACCATCCGGTGGCTCCACATTGCCATTACCACTTTCCGTCGTGGTCGTTGAGGAGTCCCGATCCTTGGCCACCTGCTTGCTTCGTTTCGGTAGGGCAACTCTTTCCCGTTCTCGCTCCTTGGCCCTGCGGACGCACTTACTCCGTGCCGTATTTAAACCTGTTCCAGAACCGGAACCGGACTTTCGACTACTGCGAAGCTCGTGCGATTTTGCGATCAGCGGACGTGCCGTGATGCTGGATACGGTCAGCAGGTTTTCATTGTCGTCCTCTTCCAGTTCGGAGATCTGGTGTTCCAAGAGGCTGGCGTGCAGGGTTCTGGGACAGCATTGGGTATCCAGGCTAAGGGTGGCGGGTCGACGCATTGGCGAGGCGTTGGGTGAGCAGCATCCGGACCGGAAGGCGGCGGGCATGCCCAGTGACTCCATGTGCTTGACATCGAGCTCGGTGGGCACAATGATGTCGGGCAGTGGAGCCGGTGGCGCCGACACCACTGAGAACAGTGAGCCGCACTCGAGGCCCACGCCTCCGACGGAAACATCCACGCCTGCTCCTCCTCCGCCGGTGCCCTCAACCTGGTTCGTGTCGAGAAGGCGCCCTCCCGACTCGTACTGGACTCCACCAGCTGGGTCCGGTTCACTCGCGCAGTATACCGATCCCCGGGAACCCTGCGAATATTTTTTTGGTTTTTATAAGTTTTTTGTTAAGTGTAAGGGAGAAGAGTAAGAAGCAATTTTATTAATTTCTAAAATATTTATGGTATTCTTCGGCTTATCAAGCCCGAGAAAAAAAGTACACTTATTAATATTCCCATTGCATGACCTTTTTGTTAGTAATCCCTAATAAACTGTCACCGCTAAATTGACAAAGTTTAATTTGCAAAAGTATTTATCAAGCACTTATTATAATGAGTTAAATGTCGCAAATTTGCATCCATCAAAAATTCCGCCTTCATTCCGTACCATTAAAAAATGGGTTAACTTGCCATAAATCCGGGTCTGTTGACAAATCGACTGAAGGGGCGGGTCAAGGAAGCAACAACTTAGCCCAATTTGCATTGCTAAATGAAATGCGAGGAGGACACGCGACCTTTTCGTCTTATGAAGACGATATCCCTGCAGCGCCCTAATATATGCAATACGTTTTGTTTAATTGAGTTAACATCCCGCTTTTCTCCCCCTTTTTCCGTTCCTTTTTGGGGGGCCTGTAATTACCCGCGGACCGAGCGGATTTTCATGTTTGCTTATATTGTTATATGTACTTTGTTAAATCGATGCCGAGCTGCAAGGTGCATGCTGTGCCTTTCGGGCTAGCATGACGTCTGGGAATTTTCCATTTTCCATTTCCATTTGTCTGCGGGATCCTCTCCCACTTCCTCCAACTAAAAACTGCCGTTCTCCAACAATTCAGGGTCAAGTGCAAGGCGGTTGGGGGCGGTCTGGCCTGCGGTTGCCTTTTTGTTTTTTAGGGTCTGTCTTTGTTGCCGGAAATTGATGGGGGTGTTCGATTGGCAGCGAACGGGGGAGTGGTAATTCGCTCCAATCCAAGGCTGATGCAATGTTCGAACCCAAGGCTATGGCCAGGAAATACCCATGCTGATAACGCCGAAAGGCAAAGCACTAAGCTCTGCTAAGCCCTCGAAGGAATACGCAATTCGAAATGCAGTCAAATGAAGGATTTTGCATGTTGATCTTAGGTATTATTGGCGAACAGATTGAATATGAACTAAATGAATACTTTTGGATTTTTTCTAACTTGGCCAACCCTTAGAATTTGATACAACTATTTAATATATAATATTTCAGTTATAAATAAAATTGAATTTCTTTTTGTACCTGAACCTATAGATTTTGCTTGATTATTGAAACACTTTCCTAATTGGTTCGAATTACCTGCACCTACAAATATGTATGTGCTAACATTATCTAAACCTAATCTTCAATAATTCCCATTAACTCATTTCCTAAAAGCTTTTTGTTTAGCACTTTGTTATCCTTCTCATACCTATTTCTTGGTATTCGCCATGACGTATACGTAATTTGATATACTGTTGTGCAACAAACATCAAGTATGCGGCGCGTAAGCCCATTGGAAAGTTGATGGGGCCTTGGGTTAACTCATTTGCTATATAAAACAGGTGACGTACTCATTTTTTCTTTTTCAGTATATGAGAAAATAACATAGCAAAATAGATATTTAATCATAAATACTAATTCCTAATTTTAAATATTTTCTTAATTTTAAGTTTTAATTTCATTTTAAGTTGTTAGGTTTCTTTATTAGATAAACTCATTATATAATATTTTTGTACAGTGAAACTGACGTAGCGTGTGTCGAATTTCGTGAACGTGCCGCTAATGAACTGCCTGCCATATTGATGGCGAAAAATAACCATAGCGAATGCCAAATAATAGGCATGCAACATTCAAAGACGAATGCAACGTGTTGTGAAATATCTGACAGGGCTAATGAGGGTTGGCCAACTCTTGGCATTTGACAACTCCCCCACAAGAGCATGAGTCACAGCATCCATAGTCTTGTGACCTTGTCGAATGTCAAAGCGCAAGTCGGCCTGGTATGTTACCATTGTAGCATATCCTGGGCGCCAGGACCGCCTCCTGCTGTCAACTGGTATCCGGCTTAAGCTGTCAGTGAGCTTACGCTGGGGTAGCTCTGCAATCGCTGTTTGTTTTCAATTTTCTAACATTTCAAGGCCTTTGGCCGGGCTTAATGAAACGGAAGAACCTTCCCCCGGGCCAAGTTAGTGTGGCTCGTGTGTGGGCGCCTGTACGATAAGCGGTCAAGGTGAGAGAAGGGTGGCCCCTAGTTTGCTAGTTTGTTAGTTTGGGGTGGATTCAACGCACCACTAACAACTTGTTGAACAAAGGATAGAAGGCAGCCATGGCCAGTTCTCTGTAAAGATTGCTATTAGGTCACAGAGGCCTCCAAGTAGGCCAAACAGTTTATGCAATCAACAGGACAATTGTGTAAGAGTGCACTATTCACAAAAACAAACCAATGGCAATCTAAATTGGTTAAAAATAAGTAAGTTGGTTAAAGTCACTAAATGATTGAATAAGGGGAATTAAAGGTTCTAAAAATTTATAGTTTATTACCTTGAAAAGCTGCTGTTCTTCCAAACACCTGCGTTATTACTAAGTCTTAGAAAGACCCTGACCCAAATCGTACTACATTTTTCTTAGCTTTCTGGTTAAGATTTATATGTGAATGAAATGTGGTTTAGTGTAACCCCTGCTAACTGCATCCTTTGTGCAGTCAGGGCCACGCTTTGTTTACTTCCTTGTCCCCGTTTCGATAGTGATTATGATGGATGCGCTTTGTGACGTTGACCCATTCTCGTATCGCTTACAATGTTTACGTACTAGTAAGGCAGACTCTTTTATCTGTTGGCCACTGCGCATGCTCACCAAAGGAACTCAAACTCCAGCTACCTCAATAAAATTGCCATTGGCCCACTCCCCAGAATCCAACGAAATGGGAAATTGGTAACGGGGGAAAGGGGAGTTTCTTGACCTTCCCGAAAGGATAAGAGGATGCGAAAGGAATGTGCTGCTGGATGGATGGGTACTACTACTACTACCACTCACCTGTAAATGCCAGTCACGCTGTAGGGACGACATTGCCGTCCTTTACTGAACGTGAAACGCCTTTGATGTTTCTCTTGTTGCTCGCGCTGTTGTTGTTGTTGCTTGGGGCGTTGTTGTTGTGCACCCAAATGCATTGGGTTGCCTCTGCTTTGGGTCCTTAAAATCCTGAAGAGCTGACGTTCGCGGGCCTTCACCGGTTGGCCCAATTTAGTTACTCTGCTGTTACGTCTGCTTCTGCCGCACCGGCTCCTTTGGCACTGAATCCTTTGCGGGTTCGTTTTGATGGGTTTACTTTTAATGTTTCTTTATGATTTTGATTTCTTCGTTAAGTTTCTTCACTTGATGGCTTCCTTGAGGAACTTGTATGGGTTTTCTTAGGGGCGATATCCTTGCTGTTCGGGCGTCATGATGCGTTAATAGGACACACACAGTTCCCCTTTTATTCTTGTTTATGCAGCAGCTGTTTCCGTTTCCGCTTCCTTGTCGCCCCTTTCCGATACCGTTTTCAGCACAAGCGCACTCTCTCTCTCTCTCACTCACTCTTTGGCGAATATGCAGTTTTTGGAACAAATCGATATGTGGCCAGATTCCAGCTGAAGTCCTTTGTATTAAGTTTAACCAATCTCCATGTACAATTCGATCGTTTTTATCATTTAAATCAGTCAAAGATGTGCCTTTATTTTCCAGAAGTTGGCCAAGACTTTCTTTGAGAGGGAAAAACCCTTGCAGAACCCTTTTTTCCTTTGAAACTCTCCGTTTGTTGCCCTCTTCGGCGGATGCGACTGCTCTGCTGCTGCTCAAGCTGACGACTAAACTGATGATTTTCGTGTCCTCTGTAGGACTGTGGAAAATCCAACTCAATTGTGGTGAGCTAGGTGAAGGTGGATTAACTGATAGAAAAAGGAAAAACCAGAGAGAGAGGTCCTCTCTTCCTTCCGATTGTCCATCTTTCGTTTTGTTTTGCTAGGCTCTTTTGGCCGCTTGTTGCCTACAATGCCACCTCACGAAAAACCACCCACTTTAATATCTGACAACAGCTGATGAATGAACCTTCTTTTTTGCGGGAACTAGAAATTAAAGAAACAAATGTTAATGGGACTCCTGATACTGTATTTCTGTTTTAATCACATAAGTTTTTACCAATTTCTCAAATATGTCACTCTTTAATTACACTACAAATTTTATATAAATCAAAAATTCCACCTTTACAATTTTGAATACTTCCTAAAGCTAGGTGGTATTTTATCTGCGAATTTGTTCCAGACTTTTTGTCATGTGCAAAGCCACTCCCAGAAATATAAAGCTGATAGCCACGGATACGAGGACGGCAACCGGAAGATTCTTGAATAACCACTGTAGGATTATCGTGTAGACAGCGATTGCCATGAGTAGCAGGCACATGTACGGATAAATCAGCCATTTAATTAGCTGTGAAGTGAAAGGATTCTTAGATAGATGATCTTAATTGAATAAGTTAGCACCTTCCAAACTCCAATTATTAGCAAAAGCGAGACAAATGCATAGAAGGCCGATCCAGTGGTCCAAACAATTTTAACTGCCTCAGAAACGCCCGAAGAAGTGGTCATGAATAGGTAACCGGCGAATAAACCTGACATGAAGGATATACAGGCCATTATAGTGACGACCATCCGGCTTGTCGGCAAAAGTCTTCTATAGGTAAATTCGTGTTCGCTCATTTGGGAAGTATTTTTTATTTTGGTTCATATTATTGATATTCGAAAACTAAATTTTAAGATTATCGGGAATTCATTTTTCTTTACTATTTTTATGTTTCTGATAGGTTTGAAATAAGTTATTTGGTTTTTGACAGTTAACATGTTATCTGGTAATTTTTAAACTTTTACCGCGCATATTGACAGCACATATCTGTAGCTTTCGATATTTTAAGCAACTATCGATTAAAGTGTTAACCCTTTTGCGATTAGCTTTTAGTATTTATATTTTTTACGCAGACTAAATTGCGCACAAGATTTCCAGACGTGATTAATGTTGATTTCTGGTCTGGATTTTAAAGTAGTGTCAGTTCTTCGATTAGGCACCGGATAATCACGTTTCCGGGCAAGATTCCCGGGCGGAAGGGAGGCCAACAAGCAGTCCTGCCACCGAAATAGGTTCTAATACACCTGTATTATCAGACCATAACATCGATGACCTCTTGAGAGTGCACAAATCATGGATCCGTTGTTGTTCCTCATCGTTTTGGCTTCGTTATATGGCATTCTTTACTTTTTCGATCGCTTCTTTAAGGTGCGTTCTATTATATCCAGTATACCCTATTTAAATATTAAATGGTAACACCGTAGAGCTGCATGCACTATCCATACGATGCCTTCCTCAAGAATACCGGACTGAGTGTCAACTTTTTGAGCCTCCATTGGCATACGAGTGCCTTTAATAGAACTCTCCTCCGGTGGGGATCCGCTGGGAACAGCTGTACGCGTAGAGTAATGCTTACCAGTTTCAATGCGGGTGTCCTAGTCACCTTTTCGCTGCTCCCGATTGGTCTCATCCTGCTCATAGCAACCATCTTCAGCAGTGGCGAACAGGACAGCTCTTCATCCGCAGCCTCGGCCGTTGGAGTGCCGGTACAGCTGGAGATTTTGCTGCCGGGAGTCAATCTGCCGCTTGAGGAGATAGGCTACTATATCACCACATTAGTGCTCTGCTTGGTAGTTCATGAAATGGGCCATGCCCTGGCTGCCGTAATGGAGGAGGTTCCCGTCACAGGGTTTGGGATTAAGGTGAGAATTTGCTTTGGGTATGCATTTGATGACAATGTGCTAATGAACTCCTCTACTTTCCAGTTTATCTTCTGCCTGCCGTTGGCATACACGGAGCTCTCCCACGACCATCTTAACAGCCTGCGCTGGTTCCGCAAGTTACGCGTTCTGTGCGCCGGCATCTGGCACAATTTTGTGTTTGCTGGTGTATGCTACCTCCTAATCTCAACGGTGGGCATTACCATGTCACCACTTTACGCCTACAACCAACACGTTGTGGTCACTGAACTAACAAGAAAATCTCCGCTGCGAGGAGAACGCGGCCTGCAGGTGGACAACCAAATCACCCAAGTGAACGGGTGTCCGGTGAACAGTGAGGAGTCTTGGGTGGCCTGCCTGCAGAACTCATTAAAACTGAAGCCAGGTTACTGTGTGAGTGCAGAATTCGTGCAGCTTAACGACGAGAGCAGTGCAATTTCACATCACAGCATTGATGGACAGCTGCAGTGCTGTGATGAACTGAATCCCAATGTGAGCTGCTTCGAGGTGGTGGAGGATGCCAATGGAGATGTGCCCGTAGAGCTGCCGCAGCACGTGTGTCTCAATGTGCGTCGAACTGTGGAGGAAGTTACCGAGCACTGTTCCTCGGGGGTCTGCAACGAGGGATTCTGCCTGCGTCCGTTGATACGGAATATCACTGCCATAATGACGTTTAAGCGTCAGAATTTACGCGGCGAGAAATTGCCGCCGGTGATCTATGTGGGTCATCCGTGGGATGTCACACGAACAGTAGAGGTATCCGCATTTGTGCCGAGATACTCCTTTGTGAAGGCTGCCTGGCCAGATGCATGGCTGCTGCTCCTCAAGTATAATGTGGTCTTCAGCATAGGATTGGCCCTAATCAATGCCATTCCCTGCTTCGGTTTCGATGGCGCCCACATTACCAGCACCGTGATTCACAGCTTCTTGGTGGGCAGAGTTGATCAGCATGCCAAGAGGGATCTCATTTCGGTGATCATCACCAGCGTGGGCTCTCTGCTCTTTGGATTGGCTCTGATTAAGGTGGCTTGGCTGAGTTTTTTGCGACCTCTGCTTTAGGAACTGATATTGATAACTGTTCTATGGAACCTCGGAGTCCAACTCCCTCCAAAGACGCTAGACTGCTATTTCACCTCCACGAAACACACGAAAACACAGCGAATTGTAGCACCTCTAAGATTCGAAAGCTTTTTGTCATAGTCCTTAGTCTTAACTCGTATTTATTTTCGTACGGTTGTCGAGCTCAAAAATAAAATCAAATTAAGCTAAGATTTCTCTTTAATATTGTTTCTATTTGCCTTCGCTGACTCCACTCAATTGGAGGCTAGTCTTTAGTTCTGTGAGGCTGCGTCTGCCGTGCTGGATGAGCATTTTTATGGCCACTTCGTCGCTCTGATGGCGATTCGTCTGGAAATCGTGTCTCGCCCAGGATCTCAACTCTACCTGACTGCTTTTGTCAGGAACTTGGCGAATGGTACGGAAGATGTCCCGATAGAGCTTCAAGACCTCCTGGCGCAGCATAAACTGAGGTAAAAATTTTAAAAAATTTGAATGAAACATTTCTGGAAATTGATTTATAATTTGGCATGATTTCCGAATAGTATTTTTTTTATACACTATGATCAACTCATAAACTTAACTATTATGGAATCAAATTCGCATAATCTTTATTCAAAACTAAAAAAGAGCTTTTTATAACTCTGCGTACCTGCTTTAAACTAAGAGATGCCTTTGGTAACTTGGACATTTCAGATTTTAAAAGTTTATTTGCTTATTATATTATGATAATTATTATTTTTATTATTAATAAAATTTGCTATCCATTTTCTTAAATTGTTGTAACCAATTAAGCAAAATGAAAACAAGAACAGCTGATTGCCAGCTGCTTAATTTTTTAGAGATGAGAGCAATTTTCTAGAGCTCGCACTCTGGCGATAGTTCATTACGTTTATAAAAGCACGTTACAATTTAAAATTCTATTTGAATATAACTTGTGCGTTTAAAAGTGAATACACCGAAATCTTTTATTCTGGCGGTAACCGTTAATTGCTGATTAAATGTAATAGTATTATGAAACATAATTTACCATGATTTATTTGTATTAATATACACTTACGCACCTGAAAATAATGTTAATAATGTTTGATATACATTTGTCTTATCTTGGGAGACTAAGATTTGGCTGCACTTAAGGCGATCTACTTTTTTCGTGGCAGGGAAACAATCTGTAGCCAAAAGTCAAAGGCAATTAATGTTTAAATTGCAAATTTCATCAACTGTCACTAATGAGTCAGTCGCAGAAATAAAATAAATTGTTGTAATGTCTTAACAAACTTATGTTTTTGCGCATTGATGCGGCGTGGGAACGAAGGCAGTGACATCTAACACTAAATTTATCTGGCTCGTGTTCAATTTAAATTAAAGTCTCGGCATTAAGTGCCACATTTATCTAGACGAATACATTGCTTGATTGGCACGCCAGCTGCTTCGCCTCTGTTTCTTCTCTGATTATGATGTTCTACTTAAGCGATTCAATTGTTTCCTCGGTCATTTCGGTTATTAACCGTCAAGAACAATAGTCGTGAAAGGGACTGGCATTATCTCCTGATAGTTGGTACTTGGCATCGGCTTGTGGTAAGTTCTCCTCCAAGTACCGGTCGTATTGATAGAATTGCCAACTGTTTTTCCAGACCCAGTACCATGGTCACTTACAGTTACCAATAGCTTCTCTGTTGGCCAGCAGTTGGGCCCTATAGAGAGTAAGTGATTCACCCAGGTTAGAAATTATTTAATTTAAAATTCAGAGCCAGCAATATCGCCTGGTACTGCACTGCAAAAAGTTAATGGTTGGCAAATCACTGATAATGATAACAAAATATTCAAAATATTTTTCTAAAAGTTGGAACCGATCCTATTTCCCTCTTTGTACAAGATTTCTATGATATAATTCATATTTTATAAAAGACATAATTAATATTAAAAAAAAAGATCGAAATTCCCATACAAAATACAAGCCAACGGTTGATCAATTTCGATATTATTTATCCTCGGTACGCCATATACGACCTTTCTGGCTGTCAAAATGCATTTTCTCCTCGCATTACTTAAGTTGCTCCCCATTAATTTCCCATAGCCATTTCTCTGATCTCTGCCCCAAGTGCGTTTTTCTCCCCACCAGCACAAGTATTTTGTGCAAATTAAAACAAAAATTGGACATAACATAAATATCCGAGGCAGAACAAAACGAAGGCAGGTGAAGCGGTGCGATTTATTTTTAACTGCCCAATGCTCCTACATATAGGAAATTATGCAAAAGAATCTCGCGCTGCAGCCGAGTGCAATTTCGTTTTCGTTTTCATCCGCCAGAGATGCCAGCGTCTGCGCTGCTCTCTTGAGTCATTGCACTGTGAGAAAATGCGAGCTCTATTTATAATAAATAACAATTCAATTTGTTTCTTTTTAAATGATTTTATGTTTTAATTGGAAGCATCCCTTTAATTGTTATATACGTATATTTATATCGTATATTTATTAGAAATATCAAATTAATACAAACGGGTTTTAAATTTCTCACTTTTAAAAGACAACTTATAGTTTAAAAGTTTTATTAAGTTTTTTAAGTTATAAGTTAACTAAGGGTGTATTTTTCTCTGTGTGGCTGCTGCTTTGGGCGCTGAGGGGGTGGGCCCTACGTCATCAAATTCCGACCCACAGCTGCGGCACAACGATGACGAAGAAACGAAGGCAACAACACCGAGGCAGCGGCTCAGCAGAGGAGCAGCAAAAGCAGCAGAAGCAGAAAAGCAAGTAAAATCCACACGCCAGCGGACGGGTGCCTCAAATGTTCATGAAACGCGGACGCGTGTGGACGTCGTTTTGCGCGAAACCGCTTCGAAAAAACAATTTGTAAATCCGAATCGGTTTAATCGGTTTATTCGAAACGAAATTCTCGGGTACGTGCATGTGTGAAAGTGAAAACGAAATGAAGAATGAAAATGAGAACGGTGCATGAGTTTCCTTGACGTTCGCTTTCGGAAAATCCATCTCAAGAAAACTGTAAAAGAGCGTGCGAAAGCAGAAAGGCCAATTGTGAGTGAGAGCTGAATAACACACACGCCAAAAATATAATGTTGAAAATATCTGGCTATTTTTGGAATATATATTTGCTTTTTCCCACACGCTGCATTGAAAAATTTATACCTCAAGTGAAGCAACACACAAAAAACCTCGAGAAAATGATAATCTTTTAAAAATCCAAGATATACGCTTTAATATAAATTGCATCTCGTTTTTTCGAAAAGTTCTCAAAAATAAAAAACCAAAACAGTCATCAAGACAAAAAGAACAAATTAAAAAAAGAAAGAAAATAATCCAAGGCGAAAGAACAGCTAAAGTGAAATGTTTTTAATGGGCAATCAGAAATGATGAAGATCGGGTAGATATATCGGATTGAACGAAGAAAGAACGCATTAAAGATGAGCAGTGGGGATACTTAAATGATCTTGGTGGAACTTGATGAAGGATTGCTTCCAGTTCTATAGCTAAAACTGGAGTGCATGTATATATAAATTTAGTAAATTTCCGGAAATACCCATTGCTCAACTTTGGATACACAAAAATATTCCCTTCAGATTCCGATTACTTCCCTTTTGAGCTCCACAGGGAAAAATAAGATCAAATTGGTTCTTAACGTAAATGTAAATATTGTGATTGTAGTTTAGAATTAGACGTCAAAAACAACGCCTACCGAGAGCTTTTATTTAAATTTTTGTTTGAAAATACCAACGAACCAAAGGACAGATATCTTATTAATATTTTTTTCTGTGTAGCGACATTATAGTCTCTTTTCTGTCTGATTTCCTTTGAAACAACAATAAATACAGTCCGCATTATGCATATATATACAAGTATATATCGCCAGTGTTGTTGTGTCTTGGTGCTTTGTATTTTGTATTTTGTATTTGAATTCGAATTTGTAGTCTTGTGTCATGCGATAGGTGGTAACGTTTCGTTTCGTACAGGGTATTGAATTACAAGACACCAAAGTGCGCGCCAAGCGAACACGCTCGCTCACACAGATACTTACATATACAGCGAGGTGTATAAATATATCGCAGTCCGATTCTGCCGCATGCGTATCCAATGGATGCGAATCGGCCTGCAAAGCGGAGGGCCCAAGAATATACATACGTATATCCGAGAATCGAGAGTATCGAAAAGGAACTGTAAACCGATGTAATTAATTGTTTTTGGGGCCGAACAGTATCCAATGATTGATGTAGCCAAAAGTTCATTTGTTTACAGTGGCCAAGATCAATGACTCGGCGCCCTATAAATACATACCCCCTATCCGTTAGCTATCTAAAATGTATCTGCTGGCTCAACTCTGACCCTTGGCCTCTCTTGTGTTCCAGTTTCAACCCGAAAAAAAAAAACACATACAATATCCAACTGAAATGTCCACCAAGACGTCGCCATCGTCCACTTCTCGAGATGCCAACGTGGGATCCTCTAGTGCAATTCCCGTTCAGATCAAAAAAGAACTGCCCAGCGATGAGATAAAGGTGAGTGCGTCTTCTTGAATGAAACACTTTGAGATACTTTCTTGCTTCTTCTAATTAATTGCCCCTGTCTGCACATTATTTTGCTGAATATTCAATAACAAGGATGCTGACAAAGTATGGAAGCCAACGTGTGCGTTGAATTTAAAAATAAAGAAACGATTTTCTTTCGTTCTGCTTTTCGCAAAACATTTTCACTCGAATTGCTGCGAATTGCATATACGCCGAATTATTATTATTATTTGTTTTTGTGTTTAGATGGGGGAAAAGGTGAATAACACCCACTCGCAATTTGCGCATCTATATCTCAAGTTAGCAGTAGCTTTGAAGTGGATCCCATATCAAGTGGGAGGTAAATTACTATTCGGCTGCACATAACGGGAGAATAAATATTAAATTTGTTTTTTTCATAAATTATTAGATTTATTTTTATCACGAAAGTGAGATAGTATTCTAAATGGTGTAAAATTATTAAGGTTATTAAAGAGGGTAATTTGAAATCTAAAAAGTTTGTTCAGTTTCAGTTAGTTTCCACTTCCAACTACTGATTTGCATCCGCAGAAATCAGCTTTAGGAACTAAGGTTATTAACATGAACTTTCCACATGAATTCCCTTGAAATACCTGGGCATCAGATCCCTTCTCCCAAGTATACCATCCTTAAGGGCAATAGTTACCAAAGCGTTACCAAGTTACTTGCTTAACGAGCCCCGAAATATATTTGAGGAACTGCATGTTGCACATAATTAGTTTCCATTTACAAACCGAGCGAATCCAGCTAAACGAGCATTTCCAACTAAGCACTGAAATCAAAGAATCGGATTCGAAATGCCTGGGCCAGAGAACTAAAAATCGTTTCGGCTTTCAGCTTTCTGCTTTTGCAGTTTGTGGTATTTGGAAATGTTTATGCAATGGCAATGATAATCCAACACCCCCACTTCCACACCAACACCAACACCACCACAACACCCGCCCGTAGAATTGTGCTGCACAAAAATTCCTTGCAACTTTGTTGCCTGACCGACACAGGGTACGGAATTTTTGTAAGAGGAGTTGCAACCAGCTGAGGAGATTCCGATTGCGAATTGCGATAACGCGATTACGCGGACGGACGTACTCTCGTAAGTCGAGCGGTAGAGTTGGCGGTAATATTATATTGATAAATTTTTATAATCATTTTAACGAGTGAGCGGGTCCGATTCCCATTCCGATTCCGCACTGTGTTCCCTCCTTATCCATCCATTCATATTTGCTTTATCCGCCAAATGAGCAAAATTAATTTAATGCCACAGCAGACAGAGGGGCAGAGGAGTCCCGAAGCAACATTTTTGCAGCACGTGTAACCTGATCGGCAAATTGAAATTATACCCCTTGACTTGCAGTTGGGCGCAATGATACTTATTGTCGGGCATAAAGAGGGAAAACAAAAACAAAAGCAACGACAGTGGCAGCAGCAAAACCAAAATTATTATAATGAATGAGCTGGTTGGGGGCTTGGGAACTGAGTATCCGCTGGGGACTGAGGTTGCCGACTGGTTTTCTAGGTAAACGTGGGATTTATATGGATATCTGTATATTTATTTATGTCTATCTCATGATATTTGTAATGCAATTGTCGGTTTATAAAACTGGATTTGGTCCCTGACATAGTAATATATTTAACGTTTAACATTATATTAGAAAGTATAATAACATGATAGCATTATCTTGGTTCTATATATTTTTTAAAGCATGATTAATATGTAGTCAAGTGTAATTTTCAGTCAGGTCATAACAATCGTTATAAGTTCATAAGAACTTATTTCTAAGTAGAGTATGTAGAGGGATTTCTTTAAACTTTGTTTCACCTTAAACTATTTCCTGCCAGAAATTACCATTTTGTATATCAATTTCTCGTCTCTTATTTTTCTTTTCCATGTTGGCCTGAAATTTCCTTTCATTCAGGATCTTAATGTCGCCCAACCTCCTTTGAGTATGCAACACTTTGCTGACTAAAAATATCAATTAAAAATATTGTAATTCATACCTTCCATTTTCGCTCACCTCACCCAGTTTCGGTGTCGTTTTCAATATTTTAGTCCTCCGCCAGCTCCCCTTTTGGCCATAATTACAAGCTGCATTTACTGCAAAGACAGCAACCAGGACAATTTTTTTTTATATTTAATGGCCCGAAGGCAGAAACACACAGCGTAATTAAACAACAACAATAAATCGGTTGAGGGTAAGGGATAAGGTATATGGGATAAGGGGAGGTGTACGCGCTTCATGGGTGCAATTTGATAGGACTGTGGTAAGGCGATATCCTTCAAGGTTTCCGCTTTGCGACCGATGTCAAACCGACGCTGAGGCTGGGCCTTATACGTATACATATATATCAACCCAAAAAGGATGTCTTCGAGGCATTATCCTGGGAAGTAGAAGGTAGAGTGACAAAGTGTGCAAGGTGGCCATCAATAAATGAAATCAATAACTCTTTGTGGGCGGAATATGTGAAAGAAATGGTAAACAATGTTTTGTTTACAAAAATAGAAGGTGTCTACTATTTTTGGGAAATTAATTTTATTTATTTTATTAATTTCTTCTACGAACATTAAAATATAACTATAAAATTAATAATAATGTGTAAAACATATCACATAACATATCTTCAGGTTTTTAAAAGTAATTATTTCTTATATTTCCTGGAATCACAAACATGTTTAGCCCAAAGCTGCAATTAGCCTATTCCATAAGTTCTGATCAAATGCACTGGCAAGAGTGTTGCAAATATAATATGCATCTGTCTAGAAATCGCCACCGAATTAAGTGATGGCAGACTCTAAGCAACATTCTATGCATATAACCCAGGGTTCCGACAGTAGGGATTGGATTACACTCCGCACAACCGGGTGTCTATGGAACGGGGAGACTGCGAGGGGCCAGATGACGATGACGATGACACAATGACAGGCAGCCACTCAGGAGGGCAGGGCGGAACAGAGGGGGGAAACAGAGGAGAGCTTTGGGGCAGCGGTGGCAACTGGGCTCAAATGTCGCCGCAGCAGCAGAACTTTAATAACAGCGCCGCAGATTGAGTTACAAACAAAATAGAATATGATAAATTCTACACAAAACACCAGGAACCAGAGCTCAAAGGTGTGACAGGAGGGGGGTGTGGGGGAGTGGTCCTTATAGTAGTGTGCACAGGTAACGTGAGGCACCCTGTGCTGCCTGCCACATGCAACATGCCCCACACTTTGCCCCCAAACAGCAGCTCAAATTAAAATAGCGTTAAATTAATTCGAGCCACTGCTGATGGCCCAGCATTACGAAAGCGAACCCGAGTGGCCAAGAGGCTATGTGGATGGATGAATGGATGGATGAATGGTTGGACGGATGGCTAGATGGATGAATGGGTGGCAAAAAACCCTTGACTCTGCCAGGTTGTAGGTGGTTCAAAATGCTGCAGGTAAAGGCATCGATGTTCACAGTGCATGATATCCAGTTTCTTAAATTTTATTAGGATTAAATCATTAAAATTATTTGGGCAAATGCCATTTAAAGTTATTGCTGAAGGGAAATATAAGTACTTAGCAAGGTAAATTTTCTTGATTTGCCTGGTTATTTAAATTAGTTTATATTAGTATATTTTACCTTAAAATGTTTCTATTTGACCTACCTCACAGATTAATAATAGTGCATATGAGGGCAAACCCTTAGGTTTCTCCTTTCCTGACTCCACCCTTTGAGTGCTTTTGGCTCAGATATATACATCTCCGTCTGAACAGTGAGCCACCCATATCTGGTGTACATTAAAATGAAATAGAATATATCACTGACAAAGGGCGGAAGGGGGATTGGAAGGGAAATGAAAATTCGCTGAGCAAAAGCAACAAACGGCAAAGGCCAAGTATGTCATGTAAGAATTCAAAAGAAGGACGCGCGTCATTCAATCCTGAGCTATCGATATTCGATTACAGCAAACTAAAAACCGACTGACTTTGTGCTCGACTCACATTTGTATGTATGTATGTATGTACCTATATATGTGTCTGAGAAAACTAGCGTAATTCTAGAATTTGTTGCCATTGGGTGTTGTTTCCACTGCCCGACGACAACGACGACGACCATATATACTTTTTCGGGGTGGTATTCGAGGGGCCTGGTATTGGATTCGGTTTGGGGTACGGACACCAGCTCTGCTGCAGCTCGGTTTTAGTTCGCCTTAGTCTCAGTTCAGTTTACTGGGTTCAGGGTGAGTTATTATAAGCGTATTGGGTTGCCAATCCCGCTCCTCTTCCTCCTATCCCCGCTCCGCCGCAGTCACCCAGTCTGGGTCTCGTTGCTTTGGCACTGCCAGCATTGCCGCGTCGGGTACTTTACATTATTCTATTAGGTTTCCTCGACGGTAACTCTAGACGTGTATTAATGCGAGCCACTCGCATAACAGCCGGCTCCACTGCAGCGGGATAAGCTCCCTTGAATGTCCACCTCGGATGGGTTCGGAAGTAGGTCAGGAAAACGAAATCAATTTCGATCGATAGTTGGGGGTATATCTTTAATCAGTTAAGGATAGGTTGTTTCTGAAGATGATATATAGTAATATTACTTTAGAGCTTTAGTACTAAGATCTTATAATTAAAGTTAATTCTAACTAAGGAATCAAAAATAGATACCAGAATCCTTAGCCCACAAGAGCTCAGAAAAGTATGCTTTAGTTTATGAAGGTTTTATAAGAAGTTACTTACGATAAAGTAACTCTTCTTAGATCTTTCACTATTTCTCTCAGTGCGCTCAATGCCAGACATATAACGAACTTGGCAGTCGGCTTGGAGTTCCCAGTTCCCACTTCTCTCACCCGTCAAGTTGGTTCATTACGATTCATAGTAAAAACGAAAATATGATATGTTTTTGTAAGTTGAGATTTTGCAAAATGAAAGAAAACACAACAAACTTGAACAGTCAGATACTGAACGAGTATTGCAAATGTATCCACTGGATTCTTGGGCAATAATTACGAAAAAAAAGCGAAATGAAAAGCCAACCGAAGAATCTGAACAGATCTGATTGCTTGACGAGACAGGGGGTGGGAATGAAAAAAGGAAATTCGAATTGGAAATGTAAAGGTAGACGTGTGTGTTTGTATTTTTCTTAATATATATAAACTTTTAAATACTTTTATATCATACCATTCGACGGGCAGAGCGAATCAGATCCCAACTCCATCAACAACAACAGACGGCATACGATTTCAGTTTTTAATTAATTGATTTTTATTCGCATTTCGGTGTAGAGTTTCAAGCATGGGCGCGAGTTTGAATGTCGCTTGCGGAGAATGCACTGAGGAAAATGTTTACCAAGTTCATTATTTTGGACATTTACTAAGCGAAAGATCAAGTTTATGTCCTTTAATTTAAAAAATATAAGCCAATAACATTTATTTTGTAATTATAAACTTTCTGTTGAACAAATTTATGAAATTTAAGATCTTCCAATAGTTTAAATAAGTTAAATTTAGACCATTTTAATATTGTATAAATATACTTTAGTATTAGTATTAGTACATGAAATTTTTCGCTGTGTATGTCTCCACTTGTCCGCCCCTTCTGGCCCACCCCTCGAACCCGTTGAGCCACTGTCAGGCAGCAAAGAGCTGAAAAACTGAACGAACGCACAAATCAGAAATTAAAAACCGAACATAAATTAACAGACAAATGATACTAAAAACCGAGCTGCCGAAAGAGACGGCGCATGGGATAATGAGAGAGACGGAGGGAGTGGAGTCGTATCTCCGTTCCTCGGGTTACGGTTACTGCAAGATGCTGAACTTGAGCCAAGCGTGCGTCGCTCATAGCCCACTCCTCCCCTTTAGCCGTATATCTCTCCATCCCACCTGGACGAGGTCGCACCTGAGGCGTGTAATTGATACGCTGAAGCAGCGGACTCCGTAGATTTTATCGTGCGAATTGTTAATACTCTTTTTCGCCTTTTCTGTCTTCGAGGCGACAGACAGCGAAAACCTGAATGCGAATACGATTGTCACCGATACGCGAATTGCAGCTCTACAAAAAATAACCAAGCGAGCGTGTGAGCGCTGTTTATCGAGTGCGAAAGAGAAAGGAGTCAGAGTGTGCAGGAGAGGGATGTTGTGGTGTAAACGAGAGGGGATACGAAAGAGACGGCGACTTATTAGACGACTTGCATTTGTCAGCAAGTTGGCAGCAACGCTTAATTTGAAGAGTATCGGATGTCGCCGGGGATATCCAGTTTGTCTGGAGCTTTATGATAGATGCAATGAAGGCGATGAATCATTTGGCCAGCATTGGCCAATTGTGGCTTTGGCTTTGTCGCGCATACCAATTTTCCCTGAATCTCAGTATTGGACACCGTTTGTGGTCACATGGCGTATGAGCAATTTGGCATTCCGCAGAAGTAGCTAAGAGAAAATGAAAACCAAAAGACTGAAGGGAAAGAGAAACAACTTGGTAACAAATCGGAATAATCTGGGCTAAATCTGGTTAGGTGTTTTAAATATAATTTAAGGGGGAGAAACACGGGTATAATCAAGAAATAAAATGTATTTTTAATTTTTGTGGAATTTTATCTTCTACCCACTTGATATCACAAATAGTGAGACCCCTCTTAGCCCCGCCTCTGGCTAAAGACTTTGTGCAGTAAAAACCACGTTGAATTTGAGAATTTCAATGTAACCCGATCCCCAAGTTTGTGCAGCTCTCACAGCCTTGTGTGAAATTTTTATGTGCACCACAGACGGGCACAGAATGATACATATGTACATATATCTTCCTTGGTATAGGAATGGAATTGGAAGAGCCTCAAAATGACAAAGAAAAAAAACAAACAACTTCAAAAGCCGCAAATGTTTTCTGCATCTTGGACTTCAGACTGAGGCTGAATTTTCGGCTTAAATTTAAAGGCAATAAGGCAGGAGACACACGCAAAGCGGACAGAGTTTGTCCGGAGGTATTGGATATCAATGTCGATGCAGGGAGTACCAAAACAAAGAGATGTGGGGGATAAGGGGAAGGATACCCGTACCCTTGCAAGGGAAATATGCAAATGACGCCCACTCCAGCCACCTGAAAAAGCCAACTAGTCCGGCCCTCTGGCCGTAATGAAGCTCTCTGTTACCTGTTTGTGCTGTGATATGTTTGTGGAAAATCGGGTGTACGAGGTGTAAAAGGTGTGTGTGGAGGTGTTTCATGCGTGGATGTTTCCCCCAAAGTTATCGATTACACTGCAACTTTTGTTAGCCTCGGGGAAAACTTGCTTTGATATGGTTAGATAAGAAGTCGCATAATTGGACATCAAGATCAGAGGTCAACGGGCAAGTCAATTTGTAATTAGTGAAAGTAACGTTCGGTCGGTGGATATTGTTCTTGGTCACTCTACCCTTTAAGTTTTCATGGTCCTCGGTTATAAAACCAGTAGTTGGCCACAATTTTACACCTGCTTGGCTGTGTATTTGTCCATGTTTCAGCTGCAAGTTAAATAAAGAAGACACTAAGAAATATTTAACAAGAAATAAAAGCTTAAATTGGGATATTATTAGAGTAATATTTCTTAGTAATAGTTTTTTTGAGCAAATAAATTGAAATGTAAGCCTTAATAAGAATCGCATCTACATATTCTTTTTTGATTTTAAAAAACATGTTTTAAAAATTTTCTCTTAGTGTATACCTACTGATTCGATCTCCGTGAATATCGGGTGTCCCGAGGGTCATGTAAAAGGGATCCAGGGGACTGTGTCAGCGATTCCCACTTTTCCACCACTCATTTTTTTGTTTTTGTCTTTTCATTCCAGGAATTCGCTCACAACACCATGAACGAGCTGCTTGGCTGGTATGGATTCGAGGGTGTTGATGTGGATCGTCTGGAACTGACCGCCAAGACGTCGCGCCTGCTGCAAAGTGCTGCTGCTGCTGCGGTGGCCAATCAACAGAACCATCAGAGCCACCAGCTTCACCAGATGGAGCACCAGCATTCAAGTTTGGAAAGGAAGCGGGGCAGTCTCCTGCGCAGTAGTCGCAGTTCTTTGGCAGCAGCCTATCACAATAACAACAACAATGGCAGCAGCAACAAGAATAATGTAGGAGGAGTCGGTGGAGTAGGTGCTAGTGGATGTGGTGTGAGTGGGAGAAAGGGCGGTCTGCTGAACTGCAGCAGCACCACCACCACGCCATCGGACCACGATACCCGCAGCTCACGGGAGGAGGACTCGAAAAGTCCGCACTCCATCGAAAAACCAGCGGTAGTACCGCACACGGAGGAGAAAATAGGTGCGTATTTTTGAAATTTGTACACCAAGAAGAATTTAGTTAAGCCTTAGAGAGTAAAATATGCTTTTTGAAGATGAGCTGTTTCGTAGTTTAGTTAAAGAAATTTAAGAAATAGTTTCTAAGCAGAGCATATAACAGGTAATTCGAGTAGAGTGTAACCGAAAATCGACAGCAAAAGTCAAAATCAAAAATTTTGTAACCGACCTAAAAAACTCCCGTAGCCACAACCCACTCATCATCGAGTGCTTTTTGTTTTCTGAACTGAACGGAATTCGATAGCTTCGACTTTTGTGCTTCCCCGAATACCCGTTGCAATCCCTCCAATCCTTTCGTGCATTTGGATCCACAGACAGGCTTGAAACTGTGCTAACTTTTCATCAACTCCGTTCAGAGTTTGCCGATGCCTGCATTATCGAATAACAGATTCATTAAGACCCAAATATGGTTTACACAATTTTGGCTACCAGGGAGCAGGAGGAACACGGCTATATTAGGAATTGGATATTCTGCCAGCTTGTGAAAATCAAATTTGCAGTTCGAAAGGAATCAATTTCAGTTTAAAAAGTACTTTTATGATTTTAAAATTTGCTTTTCTTTCTTCAATTCATTTATAACTTGCAGTTTAATTTTAGTTAGTCTTTTTATTAAATATCAATTAGCCCTTCACTAACATCTATTTGTCTCCTTTACAGACTTCAGCAACTGCTGCTGGTGCCATCGACCGATTGCGGAGAATGCGCCAGATTACCTGACTAGTTGCGACGGACCGCGTTACTGCTCGGAATCCTGTTTCGCCCAGAGCCGGAGGGCATCCTTCAAGAAGGCCAAGACCTGCGACTGGTGCAAACATGTCCGACATGCGGTGAGCTATGTTGACTTCCAGGACGGTGCCTCCCAGCTACAGTTCTGCTCGGAGAAGTGCCTCAACCAGTACAAGATGCAGATCTTCTGCCACGAAACACAGGCCCACCTGGACATGCATCCGCACCTGCGGGATCAGGCTCTGGATGCGGGCAGTGAGGCTGGGTTAATTACCCCGGATCTGTGGCTACGCAACTGCCGAAGTCGCTCGGCTTCGCCTGCCTCTACGCTCTCGGTGTCTCCTGGACCACCTGCTCTACCAGCATCCAGTCGTTGTCCAGACTCACCGCCTAGTCAACATCCCAGCAAACCTCTGATCTCAGTGGCTCCCGTTTCCAAGTTGCTGGCTCAGAAGAGTCCTGGTCCTGCAGGAGTTCCACCACCTCCGCCGCCACCTGTCCAGCGGCACTTGGGTGCCAAGTTGGGTCGCCGGAAGCGCCGAGGTCTCTCCTCCTCATCGGGTTCCGAAACAGTGGCCAGTCTGCTGCAGAAACAGCAGCAACAGCACCAGCAACAGGCACAGCAGCAACATCAGGCACCTCCAACATTAACAGCTGACTTTGCGGGATCCAGTGTCCCACTACCTCCTCTCTCACCCATGCCAAACATGCAGGAGTCACCACAGCAGCAACAGGCTCCACCTCAGGTGGCTCCTCCACAAGCTCTTCCACGTGGACCTACGGCCATTCCGGCCAGCTACTTTGCAACGCCATCAAATGGTGTGCCCATGGGACATCCTTTTGTAGGCCGTCCTCCACCACCACCGCATCACTTTATGCATCCTCCTCCACACGGAATGATGCCGCGGGGATTCGGTCCGCCATTTGGGCCACCTCTTCCGCCACAAATGCCCGAGCTAGGATCCTTGCTGGGTGCTGTTCCACCAGTGACCGTGATGGTGCCATATCCTATTATCATCCCCCTGCCGATACCCATTCCCGTTCCCCTACCAGTGATGGACTTCTATAAGGCACACCTAACTCCTGAGGAAAGGAAGCGTTTTGACGAGGAACGGGCTGCCTCGAGCAGGGGAGATAACCCAGGAGAACAGGAACAGCCACAGCCACTGGACTGCAGCAAAACCAGAAGTGAGTTGGAGGAGGATAAGCCAGATGTGGAGCAACCAAAGGAGCCTCATGAGGAAATAGACAAAGATCAGGAAGAGGATGAGAAGGAATCCATACCAAAGACAAATCCAGATAGAGAGACCACCCCGGCTTCGCCATCAATCTCGCAGGAATCATCGTCCTCAACGCAAGAGACACACTGCATCGTAAGGGATTCAGCTCTATCCGAACCAGAGTCGGACAGTCAAAAACTGCCAAAGCTGAAGATCACGCGGCTGCAGACCAAAAGGACGCTCATCCAAACCAAAGAGGCGGCGGCCGAGTGCAGTCGACCGCTGCGCAAACGCAAGAGGATCATCGATTGCGATTTCCAGAAGATGGCCATTAAGGAGCCGGAAGTGAACAGCGATAGCCACCACAGCAACGGCAGCGACAACAAGGAGGCGGATCCGGATGAAGAGTGCAATATGAGTGGCAACCACAGCAACAGTGGTAGTGCTAAAGCTAAAAAGTAGACATAAACCTTAGTTTTACCCTTAAAAAGTAGTAGAATGTATTTATCTATGTATGTGTGAGTGTGTCTGTGTGTTTGTCTAAGCGAAAGCGGAAATGAAGTCAAGATAAAGAGAGGGAGAGCAAGCGGTTAGGCACAAAGTGCATGCGGTAATCAGAATTGAATCTTAATAAACTAAAACATAACTTATTAAAAGGAAACTTTTATGATTATTGGTCGGAAATAGTTTTAATCTAACCACTTAATTAAATAAAAGTATTTTAAATGGTTAGTAATATAATATAACCTTTAATAAGATATACTTCATAAAAATATCCATTCTTCCTTCAAGTGGTACCAAAATTGAATTCAATTTACTTAATATTACCAAAATAGCTGCAGGCACCTAAGAAGATATGTTGCCAACACTTTTAATTGGCCTCAACAGTAACCAAATTCATTAACCATTTCTGAACCGAAGCAAACATCCAAAGGTTATTACAAAAATACTTGTAAACGTAAAGCTATTTCAAGAGGATTTCTGAACCGTTGCAGTCTAGGGAATTTGGATCAGACATTGTAACACTTAAGACTAAATGATAGCTCAGTTGTAGAGGTCCCACAATGATATCTGGCTGTCCATGCCTGCCGCCGCCATGATAGGAGCATGCCACATGGCCACCGGTTGGCTGGAATAGGCCAGGTCCATTACGCCGCCGTTCTTGTGCTGCGTTAGAACGGCCAAGGGCCGAAGGCTCTTCCAGGAGAAGATCCTAATACGTCCGTCCCAGCCGGCACTGGCAAACACTTTCTGATCGGAGCGAATCCGAACGCAGTTCACACCCGGATTCTTGATGCATATTTCTGAGCCACGCTGCAATTGCATCGAGGGACGCTGGTAACTGAAACTAATTAGTTTGTCAGCTGAAGAGGAAGGGAAATATTATAAGTAACAGAGGAAATCTTTTAAGACTGAAAATTTGACTTACTCGGACTACCCACAATGCCGCGATTAGTGACTGGGTCATAGTCCACTGACGTGGCATCTACTGCTAGCTCAAGCACATCTACTATGACGCCAGAACTGATGTCCCAGGTAAGGAAGTGCCCACTCTCATACCCAGCCAGCAGAAATAACTGTGAAGCGCACTCAAAAGGCTTAAAGCAGGTGACACTGCCCAATTTGGGGAGTTGGGGATCATCTGGGACCAGCATTTGGGTGGGAGCTGCCGCATCTGTCACGTGTAGCACTCCGATGGATGATTCCTCGCATGGATAGAACAGCAGCTGTTCGTTAGTGTTGCTAGTGCCCGTGTGCAGGGCAGATCGGCAGAAGCCCATATGGTTGACCGGAATGCTGCGCTCCTTAACGTAGCTACTGCCACCGATTGAGAACATTGTGATGGTTCCGCCCTTCTCCTGGGTCACCAGTCGATCGGGAGTGTGATGTAGGTTTGTTATTGGGTCGGATCCTACCTCAAAGTGCAGGGCGCAGCGGTTGGTCTGTAGGAGGATTTATTGGTTATTTTATTGAATTAAAAGAGAGTAAAAGTGATTGTAAGTGCTGTTTGGGATTGTTTTAAATTATTGGCATATGACAGATACTAATTAAGCGATAATCCTAGTCTAGTCACTGAAAAAAGATAATTGGTGCTCAAGAAGCCATTGTTTTTACATTGAATTCAAATGAATGATTTGTTGAATAAGAAATGTTTTTTTTTCTTCTAAATATAATTGCCTTAAACTTGGCACCTGACACTGTGATAGTGCTAAAAATATTACAAGAATATTGGATCAGGATCGAACTACTAGTCACGGGAACGATCAACAGGTAAAAATCTTGGTCATTAATACAGCATTTTAAATATATAATTGCGATCACTAGCCGTTTCCCTTAATGCCAACGTAATACACCTTTGAAATAGATAAGTTAACAGTTTCTCACCTGTAAGTCCCAAAGGAAAACACTGCCTTTAACTGTTCCCGCCAACAGTCGTTCGTTTTCCTGGAAACATAGCGAATTCACAGCTCCCATATCCGGAGATCGCAGGCTGAATACAGGATCTGGTGGTAGCACAGCCATATTTTAAAATTTATTTAAATTAATTAACTTAAATGAGTTTGTTTTTGTTTGGTCTCGTGGTAGTGTGACCGTTGTGGGAACTTTTTAAAATATAAGTCCTATGTTATCGATTAAATATGTACAAAGTTGCCATATCGCGTCATAGTTCCTCGCAAAAAACGTTAGAGGGCGCTGCTATTGGCGCGCATTTCACTAAATTCAAATGATTCTCCACCCGCAGCTGTGTGACCTATACGCTATATAGTAACCCTGGCGAATGTTTCTCTTTTTCATTAAGCGTGGTAGCCTTTTGCGGAGAAAACAAGCTTAAAATTTTACAGCGAAAAATCATTAAGTCTCTAAATGCGCAGACTATTAAAAAACATAACGTGCACCAAAGGCTTACGCGGCTTTAATGGACTTTGTCAGCGGTCTTTCGTCTCTCATGTGGCCTAGACGGTAAGGCCCAAATCGTAAAAGACTTGTCAGCCGCGCGCACTTGGCCAGATTGCGAGCGAAGAAAACGGCCCAATATATATATATATATATTTATATGTATATATATTTAGAGTCCGGCCGTCCGCAACAAAGATCGCAAAATAAACATGCCATAAGCTCGTTAATCAATGCTAAGTTGACAGTTTTAAGTGGTTTTAGCGAGCCAACACCAGCGCAAACGGCAAATAAGTCCGAGACTCCTGTTGTGCCGCAGGCTCAGCATGATTTACTGTCCCAAAAAAATGCGCTATATTTTAATTGAGTGCAAGAATTTATTTGAAATTTTTGCAGTTTTTTCAAAGGGTTATGATTTGGAAAAAGTGTCGAGCAAATATTTTCTTAAGCTTAAATATTTTTTAAGTAATAGAGTTTTTACTTAAAATCTCTAGATCTTCAAAAAATAATGTATTTCCTATTTAAAGTAAAGAAAATTAAAAAGATATATTTTTAAAACCATTTGTTAGTTTCAGATAAATCGATTACGTATTTACAATTTCCTGATACATTCGATTTTGTACTTTTCCACAGTTGACTAGACAACCAGACGCAGTTCATAATTCGATTTGGATGCAACAAGTTAACACGTTTTCCCCTAACCCAACAAACGCAACCCTTTTGGCCCCCATTCAGGCGTCTGGTGAACAGTTGAAAATGCTATAAGTTCATTTAACTGCTGAGCCAATCATAAAAAGGGTTCAAGCCCGTATGACCATTCCAGCTCATTTGCTTTCGACTCGGTTAATTTTTGTGTTTTTTTTTTTTGTTTTGTCTCCCACAGGATAAAGGAGGAGTTCGAGAGGGGGGAGAGGTAGCTGAACGACAAGTCCATAAATCTTTTCGCCACAGAACCAAAGGCACGAATCGCTGGAAGTGAGGCGTTTAAACTATTTATGCATGTTGGGTAATCCATTTGAAATGGGTCAACGACTACAACAACAACAACAACAATAGGAACGGCAACGGGAACAACGAGCTCATAAAACTCCTTAAACGTTTCCAATAACCCAACCCAGTTCGAAGTTGAAAACATATTGGCTTGTTACCTTAATGAAGTCATAAATTTTCGCTATCGCATTCGGGGCATCTTGGCCAGGAAAAGAAGAAGAATAAGAAGAAGAAGAGAAGTTCCCCATTTTGGAGTCGGGTGTCCAAGTCGATGGAGCTACAGGTTTCTAAGGAATTCCATTTCGGGATAGAAGACCCACTCGGATACTCGTATACCAAGTGTTTTGGCACACATATGTACGCGTCCGTTGGCCGATAGTTAATCAGGCTTAGGCTGATATATGCTGACAGAGTCGGTCTCTGGTGTAGGCCGCCACTCTCCGAAAAGGATACGTCCTCATAGCAGATAATGGTCTTTATATATCCAAGGGGTATACCCCCAGCTGGGCGAGTATTCCGCGTATTTGCGAGGCGGGCTATGCAAATGAAGTTATCACGCGACAAACAATGTCTGCTCCCGGCCCCTGCCACCAATAACTTTATATGGTTGTCATTATTAGTCGGAAATTAAATGGCAACGGCCACAGAGGACGACACTTGGATGACTACCCGACTTATTTATGTGCTACCTTAATGGAGCTTCATCTACTCGAAATTGAGACGGCGATTTGTTCTACTCCCCGCACCTTCTTGTTGCCTTGAATCTGGGATCCCTACTCCTTACTGTGCTGAGTTTTTATTTCGCATTACTTTGCAATGTCCATGAATCACTCGAATGGGTAAAAGGGTGGCCATGGGGTCTAGCTGCTGGTATTTTGATTTCAAGTTCGCTGGGCAGAAGGTGTTCCAGAATCAAAAGGAATTAAGGTGAGGTGAAGTTTATAGAATATAATATTTGTTACCACTCTCAAGTCCACTAGTTTGTTTGAGAAGTACGAGTATCTTTGAGTACTTAAAGAGATTCTGTCCAAGGATATTTTTGACTTTTAAATAACCATTTTTATAATTAGACACATAATAAATCTCTCCAACTACTTTTAGGCACTTGCAAACAGATACCGCCACAATTTATAGCCACTTTTGCTTTCGTTTGTCTTTTGTTTTAAGCTTATAGAAAGTGATTGTCACCGACTGATGCAATCATTGTAGAAACCGACTACAGATTCCCCAAAAATAAGTTGGAAACTCCAAGCAAGCGCAATCAATTAAAAATCGACGTCTATCAGCGTTATTATAAATCAAACGATAACATAAAATTGACACTAAAGGCGTTTCGGCCATTTTTCATGCCGGCCAACGTCGTTGTCGACGACGAGATTAAGGCCTCGGATATATGGCATCCAATGCGCTGGTGGCCAAACTTAGATGGAGTCACATTTTGGGGCACTTGAGCTTGCGTCTGAACTTTGCTTCGTATTTATGCAAATTATCCGTTGCCGGACGGGAAAAACTGGTCCACAAAACGGCAAATGCAAGGCGAAGTGCTCTCTGTAATTGATCAATTTCCGCCGAGCAGCCAGACCGGATCAGATCGAATCGAATCGGTTTGTATCGGATCGGATAGTTTGGCCAAAAGAAGTGAGAAGTTGGCAGACCCGCAGGTTGCCCAGATCCGATTGAATTGGATAATGTGATGGCCACTTGATCTTCGACTGATTTATGAATTTCGACGAGGGCTTGGCTAATGAAATGCCACTTTAGATAACATATTTTGTGCCCGTTTTGTCTTTTAACCAGGCAGAGCACCCACCATCTCCATATAGGTTAGAGAGTTATGGCACCTGGTGAAGGTGCACCCACATATCGACAACGACGACATTCCACTTGATTGCCCCCGATGCGGACTCTCGGAGCGGCAATCAGACGCACTCAGCAAAAGTGCCAATCAAGCGCAGGACATGTCGACAAAGGATGCGTTCGTCTGCCCATAATCCTGGGTGTGAATGTCGAGTAGAGATAGGTACAGTGGGATGGGGCACTGGACGTTGGATGTCGGAGGGCCTGAAATCGAAACCTTGTCGCTGGGGTGTCAATAACATTGTCCGTGTGACTGCCTCCGGGCATGATTGTTGTCGTCGTTCTGGTCGTTGTTGCGGCCATTGATGATGTGAATGCGTTTTCAGCTCCATTGAACTGGTAGAAGCGGTACAGTGGACGCTGGAATTTGGTTATTAGGTGAGGCTGTTAAATTAAAGATTAAATTGAAAACATATTTTACTTAAAAGTACTAGCTTATTGCTAATGTTAATGCTAAGACCACTAATCGAATTACATAAAACATTACTCTATTTATAGTTTATGGCTTCTAAGTTTTATACTAAACCACGTGTTGTGGCACCTAAGAACCAATTTGTTTTTGTTTAAAATTTTCAAACCTCAATATATTAACTAATTTAATGTTTGATTTATGTAGCAAGATCAAGCTTGCTCCACCGTTGCTCAGAAATTCCAATTTAATTGCGTGAATCAAAGTTGTAAATCATTATGCTAAGTGCCCTTTAATGTCTCAAAATGCAGCTCATTTGCAAGTGCAGGTCCCTGGGTATCAGTATACCAGTGGCCAGCTCTCAGTTCTCCAATGCATCCACAATATGAAGCACTGGCCCCGAGGGCATATAATCATGTCTGAACGGACAACGCAGGATGAAAAACGGGAGCGGCTTAAATTGCTACTGGCCAGGCTGTTGGCTGACATAACCAGGGGGTTGAGATGGGTATGACTTGGAGTTTGGGTTTTGGTGTTTTTGCATACAAGAACTACTTTCAATTATCAATTATGAAGTTAATATCTTCTTCAGGTGGAGTGTGCAATTTGAATGCCAAGAGGTGTCACTAGCCACTTGGTGGCTAGAGTTAATGGATCAATCAGCACTCTCTTTGCCATGGCTATGAATGAAATTGCGGTTTCCATTACCATTTCGGGACATAATGAACGGCGCTCGTTTAATTAAAACACCGCCGACTGACCGACAGAAATCAATTTATCTGTGGCCCCAAACCAAATTGCGGTGCCAAAAGCCCGTCATCATGGGGCGAGGCCATCACCATCGCCATCACCATCATCAGTATCAGCATCAGCATCAGCATCTCATTGTGCATACGAGCATCGGTAATTGGTGGCCTGGAAGTGGATGTGGAACCTCCTGCCATCCGATAAACACCTTAAATATGAGCCTGTTAATTACTGTAATTTGCTGCACAGCCCCCTGATTCAAAAATGAGCCACTAAATGCGACGACAATCGCAACATTGGGCCATCGCACCCCGGAGGATTAGGTGACCCAGTTCCACGAAACCAAAGCGACAGCTGTCTTTGCGTGGCATGCAACATCAATTATTCAGGGCCATCAAACTTGGTGGCCCAACCAACCGAAAGTGCAAACAACTAAGCCCGAAAGTTACACAGAAGTCGCAGCATGAAATATTGACAGCAGTCGGCTGGAAAAATATAAGTTAAAGAAAGTTAAAGCCAGCGAAAGTTATTCAGGCTTGAAGAGGGTGTTGTAAGCTATGAGATAACAGGTGGCAACTTAAGTATGGAGCAGGGTACTAACTAATTTTATTAGTATTTTAAGTTGAGTTTAGGCAGTACTTAGCTGACAGGAAAGTTATATCTCATATAACCTATTTTATTAACTAATCTTTTGATAGTGATCA